CCTCCGTTGGGGTCTGCCCAGTCACGCACGAAGATGGAGTAATCACCCACTAATTATACTCGTTAGAATAGAAAGGCAAAGGATTATGGAAAGGAGAACAACATACCTTTCGACGACAGGTTGCCCAAAGCCGCTGCACTGTTACCTTGCACCTCGATACTCTCAGAGTTGGTCAGCGGGATCAAGACATCAAACACCCCGAGGTTCAAGAGATGCGATTTGAGCTCGTCACTAAGCGCCAGCACGGCAATCGCGGCGGTCATTTCAGATTGGACGGTGAGGGGAACCCGCAGAACCAGATCCTTACACTTCTGAACTGCACCGGCCTGCAGGACGAGTTCTTTGTTGCGATCGGAACTGGCCGCGAGATTGCGGAGAGTGGAAATGGCATGGCACTGAATCTCTTCATTGTCTGTTGTGCCCAGCAGGTCCACCAGAGGCTTCAGGAAGCCCGCTTCGATGATCGGAGATTCGTTCAACGGGTGAATAGAAATATTTCGAATACAGGCAACTGCGGAGAGGATAAGAGGCAGATAGGACGATTGCAGAAGGCGCAGGAGAGGGGAGAGGCCTTTCGCTCGAACGATCTCGAGCTGATATTTCTCGTCGGAGGCGAGATTGCGCAGGGCGAGCGCCGCTTGACACTGCACCTTGGGAGTAGAGGAGTCCATGAGGTGGACCAGGGACTGTACCAAACGCGACTCGGTTTGAGCCAGGCGTTTGCGGTTGGTCGAGTCGACGGCGATATTGCTGAGCGCGGTCGTGCAATAGTACTGTACATCGACGTCGGGGGATGACAGCAGTTGGACAAGCACGGGAATCGCGCCTGCGTTGACCAGTTGCTGGCGGTTATCATCTGCTCGCCTTGTTAGAGTAGAATCCCACACAAAATGTCTGGATTGCATACCGGAATGCGTCATGTTGAGCAGTGCGCCTGTTGCATTACGCTGCACACGCATATCCTTTGACTTGGCCAGGCGGATCAACGGACCCAAAGCTCCCGATCGAGCGATCTTGGCTTTATTTTCCTCATGTGTCGCCAAGTTGGTAATGCACCCGACCGCATTGCACTGTACCTCGACGTTGGGCGACATCATCTGGCGGATCAGGGGAGCCAGCCCCCCAAGGGCGACGATCAAGACCTTGTTCTCCGCTGTTGTCCGTTAGCGACTAGCTCGCTAGCTACGGGAGAGGATGGCACTCACCATTCACCGCGAGGTTGCCAAGTGCTGCACTGGCAGCTCGTTGAACCTCGATATCTGAGCTCTGGAGGAGAAAAAGAATGGGTTCCAGTGTATCACGGTCGACCTCCCGTACATCTGTCCAGCGACCGTTAGAAATTGCAGCAGCTCCATCGCACCCACTCCAACATACCTCGCTCGGTGATTTCAGCGAATGTCAAGCTCGCGCTCCGTTGCAGATCGACATTCTCGGAATAAACGAGGGTGCTCAGAGCTCGAAGAGGCTCGCCCGAGAAAAAATCGGTCTCGGCACGCTACAAGAAGCTTGGTGAGTCCAGTGACGTATGATCGGGAAGGAAATCTGCCACGTACATTCTCCAGATAGCCCAGCAGGTCTGATACTGCTTCCCGCTCGTTGTCGGCCAAGGTGGTTTCATAGATGCCATCTCGTGAGCGAGCTCCGATGGGTCCGAGACAGGCCGTGATGTGACACCAGCGGTCGACGGTGGACAGGCACGACAGACACGCGTTTGCGATTCCACTCATGGCTCTTGACTAGTGGGCCTCTGGCCCTGCCAATATGAACGGCAAAGCTGAAAGAAGAGACGAGGAGTCGTTCGAGACCAGGGTTGGTGGGGGTTGGTGTAGTTGTGTGGTAGTGTGGTCGTCGGGGAGTGGAGTTGGGGGGAGAGTAACAGGTTGAGGAGGCTGGGAGAGGGTGGGAAGCCAAAGACGGGAGTGATGTTGAGCAGGGGAACACAGAACGGGCGCGTGATGGGGGATAAGCTTTGGATGGAGGAAGAGGGTAAACAAAGGCGAAGACGTCAAGAGAGCGTGTGGGCGAGCAAGAGCGACAGAGGAAGGAGAGAAGGAGAGGGGGCAAGCTTGCTTATCACGGCCGAAGACTCAACGATCATCGCAGGCATCACAAGAGGAGATCACACGTACGAGTATATTCCCGTCATAGTCTCTTTCGTGGGAACTAAAATATACTAGCTAGACTACTCACGATGATCCTAACAAGGAGACTGCTATTAACCAACTAACCAACTATGCCCTCACATAATCATAGGTCAAGGTCAGCCACTCTCATTGTTCCGCTCGGCCTTTCTCCCCCGCTGTCCTGCTCTTTGCCTCTCTCCACTTCCGGCGATACATATCCCCCCATCTCATCGGTTTGCCTCACATACCTTAATCCTAGGTGCTGGGCCTGACAACGACGGTCGGTCTGACTCTGCATGCCTGCTGCCAACGCGTCCATGTCGGCCTCCACTGCCACCACTGCCGCCTCTACCATTTCCTCTGACGCACCTCGTCCAGGGCGTCTGCGCCGCCTGAGCCAGCTGCGCGCTTATACCCAGAATCACCTGTCCTCGTCCACCCGGGGCTCCCATCGCAACAGTATCAGCAGTCGCGTATCCTGGCGGTCCCCAACGTCCAACACCGGCCCGGACTCCACGTCGTTGCACGGGGAGACCGCTGCGGGCCCATGCCCCGACAGTGACCACCCAGCCCTGTCCCGCTACACATCGGCTCCCACCTCCAGCTCCCGAGTCCTCGACCACGCCGGCCAAGCCTCCTCAACCGATTCGGCACAATCCACGTCTTCCATTGACCCTGCGACGCAACCACCGCATGTCATGGCGCGGCTGAGGAGTGCTTCTGCTGTGCAAAGTCGGCCACCACCACCACGCACCGGCGACCGGACGGCCAATCCGGAGCCATCCAGCTCATCGCCCGAGCCCTCCACGACGCAGGGCGAATCGGTGGAGCCGACCGATGCCGGGATGGCCGAGGTGACCTCGCCGAAACCGAAGCAGAAAGCCACCATCCGATTTTTCCCTTACCAAGACTCTCTGCAAAACTCGAGGCCCTCGCTACCGTTTGTCCCCATTACACGCACACTACCCTCTGAGAGCTGTGTGATCAAGGTCGGTCGGTACTCCGAGCGAGATGGCGTCCCCATCCCCAACCCAGGCGAGCCCTCTGATGCGCCCGTGGGCTTCAAATCCAAGGTCGTCAGTCGGAAACACTGTGAGTTTATGTATGTCAATGATCAGTGGCACATCAAGGATGTTGGAAGCTCGTCGGGGACCTTTTTGAACCATATGCGTCTGAGCCAGCCGAATATGGTGTCGCGACTCTACACCATCAAGGACGGGGATATTGTACAGCTGGGAATCGACTTCCGCGGAGGGGAGGAGATGATCTTCCGATGTGTGCGGATCCGGATTGAGTGCAATCGGTCGTGGCAACAGCAGCCCAACGAGTTCAAGTATGTATAGATCGACTGTGAATCTGGCGCGTGGCTAACAGTCTGCGTTTTTTCAGCAAAAACACCGAAAGTCTGATCAAGAACCTTGGCAAAGGTGATACTGCGGACTACTCCGGTTGCCGCGAGTGTTCCATCTGCCTCGGATCTGTCCTGGTGCGTTGTTTTCCTTTACCATCCCCTGTGCCGATACTAACTGTGTTGAAGCGACCCTACCAGTGCCTGTTCATGGCTGCCTGTGCCCACGTCTGGCATTATAAATGTATCAGTCGTCTGCTACATTCGCCTGATTATCCCATGTTCCAGTGTCCCAATTGCCGTGCGTTTACGGATCTGAGCGCAGAGGTCGACGACTCCAATGACCAAGATAGAGAAGACGAAAGGGAAGAAGGATCAGCAGCTGTAGACCGATGCCAACCTCGATCTGAGACCCAGTCGCCCGCAGGCTTGCCAAACTCGACCGGTGAGCAAGGCATCAATTCCGATGGAGCAGAACTACCCACCGATGGGGAGAATCTCCCTATCTTGGAAGAAGGCGAAACACCGGTGACCGAAGTACCTGACAACCAGAGCTCGAGTTCTCCAGCTCCCGATTCGAGCAATGACGACCTCGCCCGCAGCGCGACCATCAATATCCCCGGCTGGCAGCCAACCCAGCCGCTCAGCGTCCCTCCTGGGCGGCCCTCACAGCTTCGGTCCGAGACCCCCATCCGCTCCGAAACATCTGACGACAACCCAATGACACCGCGAAACGATTCAGGACCGCTCGCGTTTGATGGACGAGCCGGGATGTCATGACATGGATTTTCTATTCTTCTCTCGCTCCAAAATATCGTTTCGCATCTGCTCGTTTTCTACGCCTCCATCATTTCATCTCATGTCTGCATGAACTACCCATCGTCTGCATCTTCCAATAGCGCTGATTTGCCATTTTTCATCCGATTGTATTTTCTCCATGGCGACGTGGCGCTCCCTTCTTGTCTGTCTCTCTCTCTCTGTTGTTCCCCCCTTATTCGGGCATTTCCATATACCCATTTTCGCCCTCCGGGCCGTGTGATTACTTGTGCAGCTGATCTTCTATCTGTCAAATATTTTTATATCTTCTGGTGACCCTTTCATCTATGGCCCACCAGATAGGAAAGAGAATATCAGAGCCAGCAAGCGCATAGACTCGATTGTTATTCCCCAAATGTCCATATCTAGATATCACGTGACTGATATTAGGGCTTACCTTCTCCCTTACAGAATCCGTCCTTCCTTCCTGGTATAACAATGGGGTAACTGATCGAGTGGCTAATCACACACGGGTCCCGACATCTGCGCAAGAAGGGAGTCCCGTTCGAATCAAGGATTCGGGTGGTCACTTGGGACCATTGAAGAAATAGACCTGTCACACGAGGACCTGTGATATCCCTGTTGCGGTTCTTTGTGCCCGGCCCACGCGTAGCCACCCAACCAACACCTTAAAAGCCGCTTCTATCCGCTGAGGTGTTCTCAGCAATCTCAACACGTCAGAACCAATCGAGATTCCAACAGCAAAGCAGACCATGGCGATTAAAGATTCAACTGAATATCTTGGAAGTGCTTCTTGGATCGGAGCAGACGAGTACGAGCCAGGCGGTGAATTCCATGAGCGGGCCACGACATTCCTTGAGACAGTCAAGTGGGAGGTGCTGGCGTCGATTTCTTCGCGCCTTCGTAATGGCGTCCCCTGCGAGTTTAGCGAGACGTATTCTATCGGACACTTCAACATGGTCCGCCGCATTGCATTTGCTGACGGGGTTAGCTGGGTAGCAAGGGTAAGGCTACCAGAGATATTTGGTGACCGCGAGGCTCTCGATGTGGCCAGCTCTTTCAAGGTGGAAATATCTACATGCCTATAATCATAAAGAGCTCCAGTTAACTATATTGTTTCTCAGCACGTCACAACCATGCCTCTACGGTGGCTAATACATCCAATATTGGCTAAATGGTTCCGTTCTTGAGCATTTTTTAATTTATTCCGTCTCACTGAACCCTTCCATGTCTCGCGGCTCACGTAGCTTGGTCATCGCCTCGCAACACCTTGTCAAAAAAGCATTGTCTTTTCGAATGAATCCATCAGATTTACAGCCCTTCCAGCTACCTCTTTGCATTCATCAGTGACATCTTGTTCCTTGATGACTTGTCCAAAGCGGTATTTCCAAAATTGCCATCTCTCCACAGCAAAGTTGGCTTGTCCCTGATAAAGAGCACCAGGCATCCACGACTGCGAGTTGGGTGATGTCGGATTATGTCGAAGGGCTGATTGGCTGATGTGTGTAAACAAGCTTTGTCCATTCCATAAGATCCACTGGGCGGCTCCTAGCAGGAACGCGCTGCGGACCATCTTTCCTTCACTCGCCAAGTCTTCCTCAAGAGCATCACGCATCGCCCAAATGGCATACGTAGGATTCGTGGGGAGTATACGATGCTCGAAGAGGTGAGCTAGGAAAGAATTGTAGTTCACATATTCGCTTGAATTCTCATGATCTGGTCCTAGAAAATTCTGTCAGGTTATCAAAAGGACCATAGCTGGCCTTTTTCCTTGCTATTCAAAGTGCAGCTCAAAACTTCTCTAGCATGTTCCATCTCATGAAAACCCTCTCTTCACTCGAAGCAATCTAATTCTCGTTAGTGTTTGTTGCCGCCCGCTTTTTTGTTGGATTCGGAAACATCATAGCCTCCAATGCCGCGCCTCTACTTCTCACTGAGATTTGCCATCCGCAACATCGAGGGCGAGTCACAACAGTGTATAATCAACTCTGGGATATCGGATCCATTGTCGCAACATGGATAACCTTCGGCACTTTTAATATCAAGAACAACTGGTCTTGGAGAATCCCGTCTATTTTCCAAGCATTGCCAACTTTGCTGCTGTTTATCTTCATCTGGGTTGTCCCGGAGTCCCCGCGTTGGCTTCTCTCGAAGGAGAGAGACGAGGACGCGCTAGCTGTATTGGCTAAATATCACGCTAATGGAAACGAAACAGATAGAGACGTACAATTTGAATTCCACGAGATTCGGGAGACGCTGAGACTTGAGTTCGAGGCCAAGAAAGTCAGTGGATACTTGGACTTCTTCCAAACAAAGGGCAATAGATATCGCCTTTTTCTAGTCCTCGCACTAGGTCTTTTTTCTCAGTGGAGTGGCAATGGCCTGACTAGTTATTACTTCGCCCTGGTTATGGATAGCATTGGTGTCACTGACGCGGCCACTCAATTCAAGATCAATGGCTGCAAAACCATCCTTTCGGTAAGTCGCGGAAAACGAGTTTCATGAAGGCATTTATTAATATCACACAGTTGATTGTCGGCCTTATTGGAGCAGCTATTGTAGACCAAGTTGGCCGCCGACCTCTCTTTCTCACAGCAACATTGGGTGAGCTGCTCTCAAGTCTTATTTTGGAGCTATACTAAGAAGACGAATGATAGGGATGTTTGTTTGTTTTGTCCTCTGGACTGCCTGTTCAGCGCTTTACGACCTTCACCATAATCTAGCAGCTGGCAAGACTGTGATCTTTTTCATATTTCTCCACGGAGTATTCTATAATATCGCCTGGTCAGGTCTACTAGTCGGATATACCGTCGAGATTATTCCATACAAGCTCCGTGCAAAAGGACTCATGCTTATGAACTTCTTCGTCCAGGCAGGATTGGTTTTCAACCAGTAAGCCTCTCCTGCTTCTCATCTTACCTACTTAACCTATGTTATGATCTCGTCGTGCCATCCTTTTCATTGCCGCAGTCTATTGGCATGAGACTGAGCTGATACGAATTGCATAGATATATCAATCCTATTGGCCTGAGTCAACTGCAGCCTCGGTGGCGCTTCTACTCAATATACTGCGTGAGCTTACTCTACTCCCCCCTACTTGGTATTCATGGAATGTGCATTTCCATACTCACATTATGCAGGGCTGGCTTTGTTTCGAAGTCATTTTCGTCTTCTTTTTCTTTATTGAAACTCGCGGGCCTACCCTTGAAGAGATTGCGAAGATCTTTGACGGGCAGGATGCTCAAGTGGCAAATGTGGACATGAATATTCTTGAGGATAAGCAAACAGTGGTCGAAATGGAAACCAGGGATTCAGATGCAGAACAGCGAGTTTAGCTGAATATACTTAGCTCAGAATATCTAGCGCAGACCTATCCTCGCGAGCCCTTGCAGATACAACTCAAACGCGAGTACAGCTGATAGGCATATGATAAAGCTCATATCTCCGGATGCATGTAATAACACTGGGTTTAACCTGGAGCTATGATTTAAATACATCTGGGGAAATGCTGCTCAAACTGCAAGTTTCCTCGGTTCTTCCCCGGATCGTTAGCCCGGGTAAATAGGGCGTGGGGTGGGGAGCGGCTGATCGGCGTTTGTGGAAAGCTGCCCAGCGAAGGTTCTCCACATACCCAAGCTGAATTCTAGGCCCGGGTAAATATGAAAGGGAGTTGAGTGCGGAGTTGAACGGTGGGGCTATTTGCAAACATTTCCTTCCCTCCCTCCTGCGATTTCATAGAGAATGCTCTTTGTGTGTCTCTCTTCCAATCAAGATCCTTTTTGGCTATGGCGCCTCCCATAAAAGTCGGTATCATAGGCTATGGCTTTTCAGCCAAGTGCTTCCACTTACCCTTCATCTTGCCTAACCACGAACTTGAAGTGCACGCTTTCCTTCAGCGGGCTGCGGCCCCCTCAGAAGACCCGGCATCAAAGACGAAGCCCTGGGGCCACTGTACCGTGGATTTTCCACATGTCAAGCACTATCAGACTGCCGACGACTTTTTTGCCGACGTTGCCATTGAACTCGTCATTATCTGCACACACAATCACCGCGAGTTTGTGGAGAAGGCGCTCAAGTCGGGGAAGCACGGTAAGGGAGCAAAATGAGACCTTCCGCTTTTTTACTAGAAAGCTAACCACATATTCCAGTTGTTGTCGAGAAACCATTCCTGGCTACGAGCGCCGACGCAGATGAGATGATTGAGCTTGCGAAGGCAGAAGGAAAGGTTCTGACAGTATTTCACAGTACGTGACTGCCTCTCCAGCTTTATCACCATAGAACCGAATTCTTGGTTTTCACTCGTACGTGACTGACGAGAGGGCCTCTGGTTCGTTATATGAAGACCGAAGATTTGATAGCGACTTTCGCACCTTGGAAGACCTTGTGAAGAAAGGTGCCCTTGGTGATGTCAGGGAAGCTGAAATCCATTACGATATTCCCTCGCCATCTTGGATTGCCGGGTGGACCCAGAAGGAGTATATCCCGGGTGAGGGCATGATTTTCGGCCTAGGTAAGAGACCTTCTCTGTTTCTCGTGCCCGTATAAAATTTGTTGAGACCCTAAGAAAAGGCACCCACACGATCGACCAGGCTCTGCATCTATTTGGGCCCCCAGCCTCGGTAACGGGCTTCCTCCGGTCCAACCGCGGTGTTGACAGCGACATCGACGACACGTACACCATTATTCTGCAATATAGCGGGGATAAGAAGAACCTGGTTGTGACTATCAAGACAGCCATCGTGTCGCATATGAAGGACCAGCTCCGTTTTTTTGTCAGAGGAACGGAAGGGACATACCTCAAGGTTAGAACAATCTTTGAAAACACTTCCCGGAGGCAGGAGAAATGTAGACACAACCTTCATATAAGCAGGCTAACTAAAATCCCTTCTCCTGTTTAGTTTGGCACCTGCCCTCAAGAAGAGAGGGCTATCGCAGCGCCAGCCCAGCCCGCCATGGATCCGAACTTCGGCGTGGAGGACGAACACATCTGGGGCACCTTGACCACGACCACGGAGTTTGACAGCTCTTACCAGGTCCACGATGAAACCACGGGTTGCTGGGTTGGTAAGTGTCCAAGCTTGCCGGGCTGGTACCGCGGTTACTACGAAAACGTGGCGGCGGCGATTCGGGGACGGGAAGAAATCTGTGTCAAGCCTGAGATGGCGAGGGATGGAATAAGAGTCATCGAGCTGGCGAGGGAGTCGCATGTCAAAGGGGCCACTATTCCCTGGTCGTAAATGGGGGATATCGGCAGTGAAGCCTACTATTCAGTGGCGGTTCCTGAGAAGTAGCAATGATAACTGCAGAGGTGTCTGATAGATAGAGTATAGTATGCACATGTGGAACCAGACTTCCAATTGCCGCCTTTGTCTAGTGTTACCTTGAATGTCAGAAAGGAAGGCGCTAAATGATAGCATCAGCCATCGTTATAGTCAGTTCATTGTAACAGTCGCGGCATATCTGAGGTGTGGACTGATGTTAGGGTGACTTGACGGCAGCGCTGGCCCTGCCTCCGACCGGCGTGCGGAGCGTGTTCATGGATGCTCACACCTCTGGGGAATCTCAAGCTTCTGTAGAGTGGTCGCACGATAAATAGGTAAAAGTACACATCTATGGAATAGAACGAATTCCTGGCCCGGATCCTCCAAAATGCATCTTGATTATTCCAATTCAGTTATACTTTTACAGTTACTCCTCTACTACACATTCTTGCAAAAAATTATCAGTATTAATAGATCATGACGGCTAATTCTAGTCCAATGGCTTTGCTATTGCTAGCTGCGTGACCGGCACTGCCGCTCGCACCATTCGCTCGACCTCAATACGCTTCATCTCTTCTTGATTCTGTATTATATGATTAGCAAAACTCGTCTGCCAGGATTGTCCTCTCTTCCATAGGCAAAGGCATAGAAAAGCAAGGAGACTAGACACATAGGAAAACGTACTTTTACTCGTTGTGGTGTGAGCAAAGCGCGGGGTGCTGTGATCTTCCACTCGGGCAGACCCTCAGGCCTGCCTAGATCTCGGAGTATCTTTTTCTCAACGAGACTGTATTCTTTGGGGTCCGAACGGTTGAAATTGAAGGGCTCCTTGACTGCAACAGGTGGGTTCGTGATAACTCGCACGGTTCGAAGCAGGTTCCGCGAGGCTGAGTGCAGCATCAGGGGGTGTAGAAAATACACATCGCCGACCTTGCCAGTCGCTTCATGGAAGGATTCATCACGCGTGGCCTCCGGGTCGCTGATCCACTTCATCCACTGAGTGCGACGCTCCGGGCCTTCGAGGTCTGGTGTGCCGTTGGGCGCGAGGAACGGAGTGGTTCCAGCTGGATGGTCGTACTGCGTTACCGGTGCATTAGTATATCTTCCGCAATTTGATTGAAGCGCATTGAGTTTCAGTGTCATTCTGCAAAAAGAGCAGGGAGGATGATATACCATGTGCTTCGCCACCAGGCCAATTCCATCGGTGCAGATAACCGTGCCACCGCCCTTGGGCTCAATGTCACTGAACAGCGGAATGACCAGAAGTGCCTGCTCTCCGCTGTCCAAAAAATGCACAAAGAAGTCTCCGTCATTATGCCAGTTATCAAGCGTGCGAAAGTCCAGCGGATCTGTGGGTTTGAACTCTGGCTTTCCAAAGTTGACAATCCAACCGTCCCTCCAAGTTTTGCACCAGTCTGCCATCCTATCTTCGCCGCCGATGAGCTCGCACATGACGTGCCATGCCTTCGGCGCAAAGTCTTCAATCCGCACGCAAGAGTGCGCCGGCATGTTCAACTTCTCGGTGGGCCACGTGGATTTGTCGTCGGGCGAGGCGCCCAGACGAGTCCATAGGGATGAGGTGAACTGTTCGGCGGCCTCGCGGGAAAAGCATCCCTCTACCTTGATAAACCCATGTTCCAGCCAATGCTGCTTCTGCTCCTCCGTCAGACAGGACTGATCATTAGCTGGAGAGGTCATGGTTAACAGCTGCCAGGCGACGGGAATTATGTCCACTGATTATCTATCTGGTTTTGATGTTGAGCTGAGCGTCTGCCGTACCTTCCTGTTTATTTATATATTATATACCGCGGTCAGATCATGGAGGTCTTCTTGTCATCGGCTTTTACTCCGCACGGAATGCACCGACTATCAGTCCACTAGAATCCAACCGCCCGATTATCCGGCGTTTTACCCGGATTCAAACATACTCCCCCTCAAAGTGGGACCCCCAACAGCTGACGGAAATGCCGGCTGTGCGGATTATGTCGGTCTTTCTCTCTTTCTCTCTCTCTCCCTCCCTCCCCCCAAACTCCTTTTTGAGCTTAAAGCAATCCCGAATTATTGCAGTACTTAAAACGTGACAGGAATCTATACTTCCAACAATGCATGCAATCGCAGCATGCAGACCCTTGAATGCCTAATCACGATCATGTGTCATGGGGATCTTGATCCCTCCGGACTCTCAACGGCCGCATGCACATTAAAATAAGTTTCAGTATCATCGTATTCAGCTAGAATAGGATAGAATTCTCCAGTTGATACTGTGCCCGCTATGGGAGGTCCGGTATTCTCTCACAAAAAGGTTTGTCCCTCAAATCCTCTCAATACTGAAAGTACAGCTCACCCTGATGAATACCAAAGCTTGTTCTACTCAATATAATTGAAAATAAAGCGGGAATGTCCGTATTTTCTATGCACTAGCTTTCCTTACCATTATAAAGGGGTAATAGCTCATCTTCCTGCTGAAGTTGCTGGTTCGGCATTTCCCCCATGAACGGGAAAAGCGTTCAAAAGAATTCGTAGCTGCTCCCATCTTTGGCTCCACATATATCTTCCAGAGTTGAGCCATATAGAGTAAAAATGTATAAAAGATTGTCAGAGTGACGCCCAGTCGACATGCGTTGGGAGTGGGAATGTATCTCTCTTGGTTCCCTGTGCCATCTTCCCGAGCAGCGAGGTCAAACCCAATAGACGTCGGAAAATACAACAGATACACCAACACCGAACGCATCAGCGGTCCGTGTATCAGGTAAATTGGGAAGCTGATGGATCCAAGCCAGAGCAACGCCCGGTGTGAGAGGACTTTGCGCATTGACGGCGAGAACATCACCCCAAAGCAGACCATCTGTGCTCCCACACTAGCAAAATACCGGCTTATATTTGAATCTCTTGGAAAAATTGTTTGGCCAATATGTGTAAGTTGAGCCGAACATGCTGCTTGTTCTGAGTATTGATCTGGATACGAGCAAAGATACAGGCCCATGCCCACAAGGCCGTAAGGTAGAGACTGAAATAGAATTTGCGGCTGACGGGTCGAGTTGTGAAAGTTGTAAAATGAAATTTCTGCCATAATCATGCCGGCAAATATGTTGATGCCGACGCCCCCTGCAGATAAGTTCAACGTTGTGATTAACAGCTTGTGGATGCAGATTTCAAACTCACCATCTAGGGTAACCCAACACCATATGTATAATACAATCTCCGCGGCGACACGCATTCGCGGTGTAGTATTCACCAAAGCAAGCATAGTCATGAAGACATATAAAGACCCACGAAACAGAGGTAGGAGTGCCCACTGGGGTTGATCGTATGCATTTTCCCCGTACAGCCAAATCCCTGCCAACTGGTGGACCAGATCTTTCACTGCGGCCGCCAAAGACGAACTGGGCTTAGGAGCTGTCGCCCTCAGCCAGTATGCATCCACTTTTCGAGCTAGCTGAAAAGTGCCAAATTGGCAACAAAGCCATGTCAAGAAAGTTACAAAAGCTGCTGGGAAGACCAGTCGTCCCGTTCGGCAGAATGCGCCATTCGATAAGGAAACGAGGGCTTCAGGGACGGCTCCGGCCCGGGCAAGTTGGACGGATTTCAGTGAGTTGACAAAACCTAGCAGAATAAAAAATACAGCCACCCATACTTGGCCCTGAATGACCAGTCTGAAGATCGGACGCTGGAACAGAGCTGACTCGCCCGTCTCTGCGAAAGTAGGCGGAATCAGGAACGTAGCAAAACATAGTGAAGTATGACTAGCGACGACAAAAATTGCAGCAATTCCGCGAAGGCCCTGCAGAGACGCATTGAGAATGTCAGAGGAATTGTTATCTTTCAAGACAGTGAGTGCATTTTAACTGGTCCAGCAACACTTACATCAGCCCAACTGCTGGGGCGTACCTGACCAGAGGCATAAATCAATAATGGCCATATGGAGCAACTATGAGTACTATGAGGTGGTCGATCGGTCGGGCCATATTTGGATGTTCGGAAATTATCCCCGTCTTGTTTATATAGGCTGTTAATTAGCCAAGAGGTCCCAGGGCCGCGGGAATGGGAAATCCGTTGGGATCAAAAGACGCAAGTGTCCAGCTGCAGATGTAACATACTTTACTATTGTCTGTCAAGTAGAACCAGAAGGGAGGGAGGTTGAGGCCGAAGTTCCGTTCCTAGTATCCTAGGGCTGAAGCCGGAAGCCGGTAGAGACCAACATTCCAACCGTTACTTCCCATGTCCCAGAGAGATGCTATATTATATAATATTCCAAGAACATTGCTTTTCAACAGCAAGGTGTTCTAGAGCAGACAGGCTTTCAATTAAATCTCTTGAATGGGCAAGACCAAATACCGACGGGATTGCACTGGTATCTGTGCCTATATTAGGGCGAATAAGACTGTTCCCAGATCGATGATGCAACCGTGGTTGAATAAGGAGAAGGAAAAGAAGAATAAGAAAAATTGGCTGTTTTTGGATGCTTTCATCTAAGGCCTTGGCAAGATCGCCGCGTAGGAATGAATGATCATCGTGCAGGAATGTGTGGTAATCCAGGCTCCCTTTCCAAACAACAGTTCTGTAGACAGCAGATGCTGTGGGTGAGGGCAGTATTATGCGAGACGATGTCTCTTTTGCTATCTGAGAATTTTGTTTTGGTATTACTCAAGATGCGTGCTGTCGCATCCGTTCGTTCGTGCCTGGTCTGATTTTACAAATAGTGGCAGTCGATACGCGGCATCCGCCCAGTAAATGCCCCACAGTACGGGTTCACGATAGCCAGTCGAGATTTCGCCACGTTCCGTTTGCGTTATTCATGCACATCCATGCAAAGGAGCAGGATGACCAGCTATAAGTCTGCAACAGGTCGTAATTTGATAGTCTATTTCAGTAGGCCATTATCTTGTGAAGTTCATTTATACAGGAAAATAAGAATCTTTGCTCAGCGGTTTAATATGTACTTCAGCGAGTTGTATAACATTGCACTGGCCACGCGGCAATAGAATGTGGTGCTAGGAGTTGTCTAGACTTTTTTTAAAAATTTCCTTGATTGTCTATTTACTCTCATCCTTAATTTTTATGTATTTTTGAAGGCACGATGTAGTCGCGGTAGTTATACATGTCGTCAGAAATGATGTTGGTCCACTCTACACAATGGACCGTGCCGTGCCCATAGCGCATCCCCGCATAAGTTAACGTTAGTTATCTCGACTCTCCGTCATCAAACTTGCTCTTCTTGAGCAATGCATTTGTTTGTCTAAGGGCCAACAGATAGTCCACGTGTGCTGTCAACCATATAAACATCCCTGTTTCATCGTTGTCGCAGAGTGAAATTCACTTCCAAGGGGTGTTCAGGGGAGGTGTTTCACGATCGGATCGACAAGAGCTCTCACTCACCCCTCACAACAATCAAGTCCGTCTCTAGCATCTTGGCAGAGTACAAGATCGGTCCAAACAAGTAAATATGAGGTTGAATTTCAGCCAGCCTGCGACTCCGACGCTGAGCCGCCAAAACACAGGGCTGTACAGCCGGCACCACCAGCGCCGCAGGACGCATCCCCACCAGCTGTCGTCGCGCGCAAAGCCCAGAAGGTATAACCCTATTCTACTCTGATCATCTGGACCCTGTTTGACTCTCTATATAGATGGCCACTTGTCTTCCGATTCATCAAGGGGGCGATCCACGCTGCGATCTTGCTACCCGTTTTCCTCCACGCCGTGTTCACGGCCTTCGTGGTATATCTCGACACCTACGTCTTCGACACGGTGGGCTTACCCACTACTATCGTCAGTCTTTTTCATTCTCTGTTCGTCTCCCTCAATCACTAACTAATACCTCTCCAGATCCCCTCCCTATCAATCGTGGTCGGCCTAATGCTCGTCTTCCGTAACCAAACCTCCTACAATCGGTTCTGGGACGGTCGAAACGGAATGAGCTCCCTGAACGCCTGCGTACGCAATCTCGTCCGCACAACCATAACAAACAGCTACAACGCTAAGCGCGGCCCACCCACCTTGTCCGAGCGGGAAGACATCGAACGCACCGTACGCATCCTAATGGCCATCCCCTACGCCGTCAAGAACCATCTCCGCGCCGAATGGGGTGCCGCCTGGGTTATGGGCGGGACATTTGGGACGGACGTGGACGAGCGCGGCACTACGGCGTATAACCCCGATTATGCAGGCTTGCTCCCTGTTGGTCTGGAGGGCCATGAAGATGAAGGTTTGGGTTTGCCGTACCAGCTGACTTTTTTTGTGGATGGATTTATCAAGCGTGGCGAGGATAGAGGTTGGTTTAGTGCCCCTGGCGCAAGCCAGATGCAGGCGCAGTTGAATGCTCTGATGGATGCGTATGGGCGCATGGAGACTATTAAGCTGACGCCGATTCCGGTGGCTCATCTGTATGTTCCCCGCCACCCTGCGAAGGAATTTCATTGCTAATTGGTTTTTTAGTATTCACCAAAAACAAGTCCTCGCGCTGTTCGGCTGCGTCCTCCCCTTCGCCATGGTCGACGAGATGGGCTGGTGGGCTATCCCCATCGTCAGCCTGGTGATTTTCACTCTGTACGGGATTGAGGGGATTGGATCCCAGTTAGAAGATCCCTTTGGGTATGACCGAAATGATATCAAGATGGATGCCCTTGTTGGTGACTCGAAGATGGAGATTGATGTTGTGTTGAACGAGTGGCGCGCGAGGTCAAAGGTTCTGGATGCTGCTGCTTCTACCGCGGTGCATGCTGGTCATGGGGAGCGGTGTAAGGATAACTTGTCCGACGTTGGAAACAGGGGCGATCGCGAGGAGTTGTTTGAGCCGCCGGAATTGTTCTTGAAGTTGAGGCCTAGGACGGCGATTTAGAGAGTCCTGCTGAGCTAGAGGGTTGGTTGGGTACTTCGAAGTACATATTCGTGTTCTTCTGTGGCGCTAGTCTCATATCAATAGCATTCAGTCACTTTTTAAGAACTCTAGTGGGACACTTTAGTTGGAATGGCTGAGCTAATAGCCATTGCGGGTATCATTGCGCTCTGGGGTATTTGTATACAGAAACGGAAAGATCAAAAAAATAGTAGAACTAGTACCTCAAGTCATAGTGGAGGTTCCAATGCCAGCACTCCATCCAGAATTGAATCAGGGGTCACATCTACCAGAACCTGAGACACTGCCATCATGTCGCTTCCATACTGGAGGCTGCGATCATCGTAGGGCGTGGCGACGACGACGCGATGGCGGAACACCTTCCTTGCCGCTAACGCCACGATGGAGGGTGTGAGGTAGTCGATGTCGTGTAGAGGTGCCAAAAGTCTGTCAGAGTTAGTCAACTGGATATGCCTTATTCGAGGGGAGACCTCAAAACTTACTGTGCAAAGCGGGAAAAATGATTGCTCGCTTTAGCAGACACGCCGCCGGCAACTGCACGGCTGAGGCGGAGGAAGACGACAATATCCTGCATGTATCGGACCACTTCTGCACTTGTGGATACTGTCTCGCTTGCTGCGGAGAGTTTGTCCATCATCTATACCCATGTTGGTCAGATGAGCAGTCCATACGGGAGGGAGAACAAAGCTTACTGTTCGGTCGACTTTGGGGCTCTTCTTTTGGAAATAGCTCGCTGACTTGCGAATGACGGAGGACGCTGATTGCTCTCCATCCGAAAGACAGTCGATATCTTCGAGGTAGACGTACCCATTGCCAGGGTCGTGGAAGTGAGAGATGAATAGATGGTCGTTCTACAGCTCATTAGCTCATCAATATCGAGTGTCAAGTAGAACATGGTGACAGACCAGATGGAACTTGAATGGTGGGTGAAGTTGATCGCCTTCCCGTACCACGAGAGGCACAAAGAGGAAGTCCTCCGGCGCATTCAGGATGGCGGTTTCCGTGACCAGCTTCCGAGATCGCATCAGCTGTACGGGTATTAGCATGGCTCGAGATTCTCACCATGATATGAGATACACACCTCCAGGATCTGGACCTGAATGTCCTCGCTGATCAAGTTGAAGTTCTTGGCAATGACCATGTTGACCACATTGCTGGAGTCTGGATGTGTACCTGGGATTGGTGATTTGCTGCGCTCCCGCAGACTCTTGTATGAAGACAGGTTACTTGACTACTCTCGTCAGATATTTTTTCAGTTCCATCTTTGAAACATTGGTAGATACCGTCTCGGTGTTCATGCGCGAACCCGTTGGGCGGCCCTGGCTTTTGCGCGACTCTGGCGTCAGAATCTCACTGCAGATGTCGTCTATCGCAGTGGTCGAAGCACAGTCAACGATTGAGTAGGAAATATCAAAGGTATTCAAGCCAATCTATGGAGTGGGTTAGCGGGAATTACCCCATGTATGATCATTCGGTCATACCAAGGCCAGTTCCTTGGCCAGATCATGGATACAGGCGCCGGTGGTCTCGATCAAGCATTGTTCGCGGGCAACCAGAGACAGCCACAGGGCCACTTCAATATCGGACAGTTGCCGGGCCAGGTCGTCGAGGGTCAACTCGGCCATGCTTTGTGATGAAGCAGACCCGAAGCCGGTATGGAAGGCGGAGGGATGAGGCGGAATGGTGCCTGATCTTGTCAAGGTGTCTATGTTACCTCATCCAGACTAGCGCGCCCGTCAACTTATCGCCCGCAACAGACAGCAACATTACTACGATCTGCCATCCCGCGATGATCCAGCAATGGCACCCTCAAATCCCCTCGCTAACTGGGACAAGCTCGGGGACAGCTTCTACCGTCGCGTATCCGTGTATGACGCCATCTTCGACGAAGATGTCGAATTAGAGAACTACATCGTCGCCGGCGCCCCTTACGGTGGAGCTATCGGTAAGAACTGCACCGACCACCAGGACTGGAAACCACCAAACTAAATAGTTGCAGCGCTCTATCGTGATGAGAGCAAGCTGGTCAGATTTCGGGACACCCAGGCATCCCGCTCCAGCATTGATATCTACTCCTGCTCTGGGAAGCCCATCAATCGCATTCATGTGCGTAGACTCCTCCCCTTTCAGATGCACAGGCTGACTAGTGCTAAGTGGGAGCAATCTTCTATTCGGGGCATCGGCTGGTCCGATAAGGAGGAGTTGTTGGTGGTCACCGAGGACGGCACGGTGCGCCGGTATTTTGGCTTGGATGGCGAATTTACCTCGTTCTCTCTAGGAAATGTAAGACTAGTGTTCAATGGTGAACACAAAATTCTAACAATGTGACAGGGTGCAGAAGAATACGGCGTGAGAGCATGCCAGTTCTGGGCATCCGGTCTTGTGGCATTACTGTCCAATAACCAGTTGATCGCCGTCTCGAAGTACGACGAGCCGCGCCCGAAGCTACTAGCGCCGTGCCCAGAAGGCGAGGTTTCTTCGTGGTCTCTCATCCCGCCAGCATATACGCTGTCACGGTCCGTGGAAGTCTTGCTAGCTGTGGACAAAACCGTCTATCTGGTCGACTCGACAGAAGCCGAAGACAAAATCCTGCAGGATGGGCCGTTCAAACATGTTAGCGTATCTCCGTCAGGCCGTTTTGTCGCGCTGTTGACTGGCGAGGCCAAACTGTGGGTGGTCAGCAATGACTTCCAGAATAAGTTTAGCGAATACGACTCGAAATCCCGGGTCCCTCCGAGCAGCGTCAACTGGTGTGGCGATGATGCTGTCATTCTTGCTTGGGAGGATGAGATTCATCTCGTGGGGCCGAATGGAAGCGCTTCAAAGTGAGTTAGCTCGGCTCGATATTCCCTGTGGTTATGGCTAAATGGTGCAGGTACTACTATGATGGCCGCGTCCATGTAATCCCTGAATTTGATGGAGTCCGGCTCCTCACCAATGACACATGCGAATTCCTACACAAAGTCACTGGTAAGTGATTTGTTGCATCCACTTCCATTTCTGCTATTGACCTTCGTTCCAGGTGTCACCGAAGAGATCTTCCGGCTGGGCTCGTCGTCTCCTGCCTCGGTCCTTCTCGACTCGGTAGAGCAACTAGAGAAGAAATCACCCAAGGCCGATGAAAATATCCAACGAATTCGTTCCAGCCTACCCTCAGCAGTGGACACCTGCATCAAAGCAGCGGGCTATGAATTTAACGGCTACTGGCAGAAGCGGCTGCTGAAAGCGGCGTCGTTTGGCAAGTCTGTGCTCGAGCTGTATAACAGTGACGATTTTGTCGAGATGACCGAAAAGCTTCGCGTTCTAACAGCCGCACGAGATTACAAGGTTGGATTGCCCATTTCTTACGAGCAATACCTGCGACTCACCCCAGAGGGACTCATTGAGCGGTTGATCAATCGTCATGAGTATTTACTTGCCATTCGGGTCTCGGAATACCTCCAAATCCCCGCCGACCGAATCTATGTTCATTGGGCGAGCCAGAAAGTCAAGGTTTCCGCTGTGGATGATGAAGCCGTATGCAAACTTATCGTTCAAAGACTGGACGGAAAGCCGGGGATCTCCTTTGAGGTCATTGCACAGGCTGCGTATGACGAGGGACGGTCTCACTTGGCCACTCAGCTGCTGAACCATGAACCACGGGCGGGCAAACAGGTGCCTCTGCTACTGAACATGGAAGAGGACGATCTGGCACTTGACAAAGCTATCGAAAGCGGCGATGATGACCTGGTCAACTACGTACTGTTACACCTGAAAAGCAAGCTCCCGCTCGCGAGCTTCTTCCGCATGATCAACACGCGTCCCATGGCCTCTGCTTTGGTGGAGACCGCTGCTCGAGACGGAGACATGGAACTGCTCAAGGATCTGTTCTATCAGGATGACCGACCAATCGAGGGCTCCAATGTTCTGCTATCAGAAGCTTTGCAGGAAACGGACTTGCAACGCAGAACGGAGAAACTCCATCTCGCAGCTCGACTGTTGTCGGACTCGAAGGATGCAACGGTGGTGCTGCACCAGAAATTAATCTCCGAAGCCTCTCAGCTTCTCAAGTCTCAAGAGAGTTTGGACAAGGACCTGGCAGATCGGCCCGAGTACCTCGGTCTTAGCCTCAATGAGACGATCTACAGACTTATTCGTGCTGGCTACGGGAAACGAGCCCACAAAGTGCAGGGCGAATTCAAAATACCAGAGAAGACGTACTGGTGGTTGAGATTAAGAGCCCTAGTGGCCAAACGTGACTGGGGCGAGCTGGAGGATCTCGCCAAGGCCAAAAAGTCCCCGATCGGGTGGGAGGTAAGGCATCACACAACCCCTAGGTCCGGTCATTCGTGCTAACAGAGAACGACAGCCCTTCTACAACGAGATCCTAGGCGCCGGCAACACCAAGCTCGCATCGATGTTCGTCCCGAAATGCACAAACCTGCCCGTCGCCGACCGAATTGAGATGTGGGTGAAGTGTGGAATGATCGTCAAGGCGGCAGAAGAAGCGCACAAGGCCAAAGATGTGAATACGCTGGAGACGCTGCAGACGAGGGCATCTGGATCTGCTGTGTCCGAGATCGAGCGCATGATCAACCAACTGAGGCCGAGGAAGTAAGTGATTTCAGGTGATCTCGTCGTCTTCATCCACGAGCGCGGGGGTCTCTGGGACGGGATTGGAGACTGTGTGAGTAGATTTCAAGACGGGTTTCGATTCCGATGGTGCGGTATCCTCGGCCATGGCATTGTCGCCTTGTTCATTATTGTCGGCCTCATCCTCCTGCTGTTGCAGAGCCAGGAACATGGCCGATTTCCGGTTCGTATCTTCCCAGTCGGCCTGAGAGGGCGTTGTCAGCGATTGTTGCATTCAATTACATAACCAATTCATACATACCCTTCGCGAGTTAATCGTTTTCTGTCGATTCACACTCTTGGCCAATTTGACTTCCATCTGATCTACCACTGCCTCTGCTCTCTCCATGCCCTTCTGCTGTCGTAACCGCTGGGCTTTCGAGATATTCTTTCCCTTCTTTTGCCTCTTCTGCACACCCGAGTTTGCACGTTCCGACAGCACTGAGGGGCGCTGCACCGTAGGAGACTCTGCTCGAGGCAAAGTCCTCAGAGATTTATCGACGTCCAGACTGGGCGATGCCGCCCGCCGAGCGGCGCGGGAGTGTTGCGACAGGGCTAAACGCAGGATTAGACAAATTGCAACAATTTATTATGGGAGTATTAAACTCACGCCTGTTCTTGGCCATGGTGGGAGTGGTAAATATTCAAGTCGAGTTTGGCGGTAGGGGAGAAACATTTACTGATAGTAGCGATAGGCCAAAAAAAAAAAAGGTACGGCGGACGACAGCGACCAGCCACGCAATTTGTATACGTACCTGCCAGTATAGATAGCCTCAGTTGATCTGGTCACTGTCCGTCCCACCACATCTATTTATCTACATCTACCACTTCCCACCCGACTCGGTGATTCTCGCATATGCTCCACCTCGCCCATGCTCATCAGGACCTCCTCCTGCTGCGGCGGCTCTTCTTCTGATCTCCTGCATCATTAGCCATGAATGCTCGTGCAGAGGGATCGGATATCTTCTCAACCAGCCCCATCCATTACGCAAGCCGAAACAGCCATTATGATACAGCGGTCACGATCCTACAAAACAATCAAGTGCTAGCCTACACACTCGCTGCCATCCTCGCCGCCTACCTCGTCCTAGACCACTTCGGTTTCGCCCCCATCTCCGTGATTCACGCCGCCTGGAACAGCCTCGTCGTCATAACACCGGCCCGGCTCGTGGTAGCCCTTGACCCCGGCATGGCCAAGTCCGACCACGATGACGGCGACGGCGCCTCGAATGCCGCGCAAATGACCTTCCAGACCAAAAGCGAGGCGATGCAGCGCATTTTCGGCCTAGACAACACCTCCTCCTTCCCGTTCTTCCCCCGACCGCGATCCCTCTCAGGCCTCGGAACCGCCCTTCTCGGCAACAACAAGGACGCATTCCCGCCGGGACTGGGCAACTGGGATAACTCCTGCTACCAGAATAGCATTATCCAGGGTTTGGCGTCGTTGCGGTCGCTCTCTGCCTTTCTGGGACGGAATGTGGACACATTGGCGGAGACGGGTTCTCTTTCTACACACCAGGCTCTCCGCGGTATTATCGATCGTCTGAACAGTGCTTCGAACGATGGACGCAAGCTGTGGATTCCGCCAGACCTCAAATCTATGAGCAGTTGGCAACAACAGGATGCTCAGGAGTATTTTTCCAAAGTGGTGGACCAGATCGATATCGAGATCCGGAAGGCTTCGAAGGGACAGACGAAGAACATGGGACTCAAGATTGCAGGACGAGAAGAAAATGTCGTCCGTGACACCTCTCTGGACTTGGAAGCGGTGGATGAGGAGGATGCCTTGCCGACTCCGACGATCGAGAAGTCCTCATTTCGCAACCCCCTGGAAGGATTGCTCGCCCAGCGAGTGGGTTGCATGAAATGTGGGTGGACAGAAGGGCTGTCGCTCATTCCATTCAACTGCCTCACCGTCCCGCTAGGGGGCAAATTCGAATACGATGTTCGGGAGTGCTTGGGTCAGTACATGGTACTTGAGCCGATTGAAGGGGTGGAGTGTGCCAAATGCACATTGCTACGTTCCCAGGAGCAGCTCCGCAGCCTTTTGGGTGGAATCGAGGAAGACCAGAATGCGTCTCTCAGTTCGGACTCGGTACAGCTGAATGACGCGGTGAAAAAATCCGCTGAGGAACGGCTGGCAGCTGTCAATGAGGCCCTTGAGGAGAATGATTTTGCTGAAAAGACCTTGGCGAACAAATGCCGTATCCCCAGCAAAAGCCGGGTTTCGACGACCAAGTCCAGGCAGGCGGTGATTGCACGGACACCCAAATGCCTTGTCATTCACATGAACCGCAGTCTCTTTGATGAGATGACGGGGATGCTGAAGAAGAACTACGCTGCTGTGAAATTCCCCAAAACGCTCGATCTGAGCGACTGGTGCCTTGGGGCTCAGGTCTCAGAACAGGAATCACTCGAGCAGTGGGATATGAACCCTGCGGAGTCGATGCTTCCGCAGCCAGGGGAGGCAGTCCAGATCACCACCAGCCCACAGTACGAGCTGCGAGCAATCATCACACACTACGGCCGACATGAGAACGGACACTACATCTGCTATCGTAAGTATCCGACAGCTGTATTTCCCGCCCAGCCACCCGACGAGGTTCTTCAGGTCGAGGGCGACAAAGAAAAGGCGGAGCACTGGTACCGTCTCAGCGACGAGGACGTGCAGATGGTCAGCGAAGCACATGTGATGTCCCAAGGCGGGGCGTTCATGCTGTTCTACGAAGCCATAGACGAAAGCCCTCTAGCGCACTCGAACCACGTGCAGTCGAAGACAGCCGAGTCGGTGTCCAATTCCACCATGTCCGAAAACCTATCTGCTGCATCCACCGTTACAGATGCCGATTCCAGTACGTCGCGCGCGACCACCGTTACCGATGCCGATTCTAGCACTTCGCGCGCGACCAGCGTGTCGACACCCGAACGCGCCGCTCTCCCAGCGGAAGATGTCAAAGCGACCGTCCCGCCGCTGAAGACGTCGAACGCGGTTGACAGCGCCGTTCACGCACCTGCGGAAGAAGCCGGCACACAGTCTGTGGCAACCGCATCGTGATTATGATCTTTTTGGTCTTTTCTTCAGCACAAACAATGCCGTGAGTCGGCACTGCATCAGTGATACCCATGCGCCCGCTTATTGTCGTGGGCTCGTTCGATTTGGAGTTTTTGGTCTGGCCTAGTTGGTTGGTTGGTTGGATGGATGTACTTTTATGGATGGCTGCCTTCCCTATGAAGCAGCTATGTTTATATCCTTGTCTGCCCAGTGTTTCTTTGCTGTACATACATATCTTGACCTTCTGCTCATCTGCATATGCAATTTCAAATACTCAAAGACTATCAAAGTTAGCCTACATGTAGAGATGTATATATCTCATCTCAACCTCAAATTCAGCCGAGATACCATGTATGATCACGAAAACAACCCTCATTCGGCTCAAGTCCAAGTCCCATTAGCAGGACCAAAATATCCCCTCTCGGGCATAGGCAACCAAGAAACGCCCTCTGCATCCGCAGTATTAAGATAGACAGTATTCCCCCACCAAGACGGGAATACAGCGCCCGTGTAAGAAATGCAAAAGAAGATAACAATTCCACTAAGCGCAAGACCCGTATCCAAAGCCGCCGCCAGAATATAGTTATACTTAGTCCACCAGGCAAAGAAGCGGCGGCGGATAAAGTAATTGAAGACGAAGTTCACCAGCGCCCAGCTGGAGTAGTTGATCCCCGTTGCCGGCGGGACGTTGTACGTTCCCACGAAGATCAGCGGCCAGTTGATGAGCTTCCAGAATTCGCGGCGCGTCAGGCGATACAGTCCATAGGTTACCAGTGGTGCGACGGCGCCGATCCAGAAGAAGTGCAGGAGACCCGAGTAGATCTGGCCGGCTGAGTAGAGACGGCGCGGACCGACAAGTCCCCAGATCACGGACGAGGAGTAGACCGTGCGGCCGTTGGGGCAGGAGAATCCGTCGGACTGGTGCTGTTCGCAGATATCTTCGATGTTACCCAGCATCCAGATCGTGACGCCCGCTTGGGTCAGAGCACCCAGGAGAGTGGCAACCCCCTGCGCGATGAAACAGGTGCGCGGGGGTACCTTGAGGTAATGCGCGAGTTTCATGTCCATGGCGAAGTAGACGCCCTGTCCGACTACATCAGTCGAAAGAATCTTGAAGATCATGTTCGCCAGCGGGCGTCCTTCAAAGAGGTAGCCGCCTATAAACTCGGCGAGCACGTTCAACTGGTTTGCGTCGACGTTGGTGATACCCTGCACGATCCCACAGGGGATCATATACACAGCCGGGATAATCAGCGCCAGGAACACTCCGTACACGGGGAGGTTGGTGCCGTAGACTTCAACGACTGCAATGGAGACCCCCAGGATCACCAGGATGATCGCGGCGTACCAGTACCACGGCGTGGATTTGTACGAGGCGCGCACCAGACGCGCGTGGATATCGAGTCTGTTGCGGCCCTTGAGCGCTGCCCAGAGGTCGCGCGCATGCCAGAAGCCGATGTGCGTGAGCACGGCGGTGATGGATGCGAAGGAGAGTCCGTACACGAATGCGAAGGTCATTCCCAGGTAAGGAGGGGAGTACTTCTGGTACGCGGCTATGTCAAGGGACTTGTCTGGGGCGACGACTCGGGTTGTATTATACACGGCGCCGGTGTTGTCGTAGACGTCGGCGGTCATAAGCGGCAGGTACGCGGTGAACCAGACGTTCTTGTAGTAGAGGACGGGCACGACGATCCAATAGAAGACCGCAAAGCCTGCGAACACGTTCATTGCGGCCCATGACGGGGAAAGTAGAGGGTTCGTGTTGTATGCGATCTGGCTCCAGTCGAAGGTGATGGGACTAAGCCCTAACCCGGTCTGCATGCCGAACAGCTGGTTGACAATGACATTTTTGGGCGCGATCCAGCACACAAAGGTGAAGTAGGACAGCGCGGTGAACATCAGGCCGGGGAACCAGTACCAGACGAATGCGCCGGCCATGACATACAGGAAGAAGCGCAGGCGGGAGATGCGCCATCCGTCTGCAATGTGGTTTGCGCGCGAGTGCAGTGTTTCCAGCATGGCGCAATTGGACAGGACACCAGGCCAGATGATGCGAGCTGGTTCGACGAGCCACGGAGCTGTGAGTCCAGCAACGCCGAAGCCGAGAAGCTGCGCACAGATAACGATCAGCACATAGAAGCCTGCCGAGAGCCCAAAGTTGTAAAAGGCTTTGCTGGAGGCTTGGATGATATTTGTCGAGTCGGCGCTGGCATATCCGAAGGAGACATTGCTCATGATCACGATCGTTGCATGCTCCTTGATATTGAACTTGCGGTCTGGGTTGATAGTAACCGAGCCCAGAGGGCCTAGTGTGATTGGCGTGACCGGGAGAGTCTTTGCTAGGAAGACGCCGAGGGGATAGGCCAGCAATTCGGCCACTAGAGCGACGATGTGCACGGATGGATAGCGCAGCGAGAAGAACTGGTTGATGCCCGATCCGAACATGGTGAATACAATCCCTAATACCCACATGCGCACCGTGTTGACGGGCATACTTGGGTCGTCGGTTTCAGGAACAACGGCCCGGACTATTCGAGCTTCATCAGGTTTGTTTCTTGATGATGATTCCAGTCGCTGCACTTACCCTCCGGGAAAGGCGATCGATTCGAGTCATAATCGTACTCGACATTTTCATCCTGCTCTTCGTGGCTAGTAGCGTCGAATTCCGCTTTGTCTAAACGGCCCTCGCCTACCTCCTCGTCCGTCAGGACGTGGCCAGGCTTGACAGACTCGAGTTTTTCGGACTCCATGCTAAACAGGAACATGCAGCCTTGTGAATGTCGGGCCCGATAATCCTGGGCATGGCCGGTAGATAAAACATCGGAATGCCCGCCCTAGGGACTCGTTATCACAGCACCGGCTTTTTAGCTGTTTTAGCTCTGGTTTAGCGGGCGACAAAACGCGGGGAAAGATAACGCCTTCTTGATCGGGAGGCGGGGATTGCTTTCAGTGTTGCACGGAGTCAGAGCCATCATGATTGACAAGATTCTTTGTCTTTCTTCTCAAACATTGAGCTGTGAATAAGAATCCGGAATATATGGTCACTTAGGTATAGCGAACTGTGAGTGACCGTTTAACACCAACGGCAGTTGCTGTCTTATCTCTCCTATCTTTGATATCGGAAGCCCCGACGGGCACTGATTGGGAGGTAGATCATGCCCAGAAGAGGCAGGCCAACGCAAGGCGCGGTCCCCCCGCGAGCGCTGGAGCGCAGTGCGCAGGTGATCCGAGGCTGGATTGCGCGTCGGATGCCAAGCGCGTCTGTTTCGCGTCTTTGGAGAGCAAGGGTCAGGGAGTCTGGTCTAGGCCACCGTTCGCCCAATAATTGCGACCTAGATGCTTAGACTAGAGGCAAACAACTAGGATGTAACTACCCAAGAGGTGCACTTCCAGGCAGTCGACTAGCGATAGCCTTAGCGCTGTGAGACCAGGACCTTTCCAGAGCAAATAACTAGCAGCCGACGAAAAGGGCAGTTCCTAGAAACACAACGAAGGCGCATCGGCCGCTATAATCGCAACGCGACCGCATATGTATGTATGCCGCGGCGTCGAAGCGTTCTCGAAACGGACAGGGATGGGCGGGTTGCAGCTCGTCTGGAACTACCCCGACCGATCGACCAACCGTAGTTTCAGACGAACTAGGATTGTTCGGCGGGTATGAATATTGAATTTCCCGGGCTCTGAGGCGAGCGGAGGGATTTCTTCCGTGTCGAGATAGTTAGTGTCCATCAAAGAATTCTTATGGCTTGGCGAAATTGGTACGGTGGTATCTCCGTGCTAACAGCTAATTTCCCCGTAAATCAGAATCAGAATCAGGAGGCTCCAGACTCATGTCTTTGTGTTGCGAGGTAAGACTAATTATTGGCGAAAGTAGAGTCTAGTTTCGGATCGAAAGTGGGTTTCCGCGGCGGATTAGGGTTACTCATACTGCACATTGGCCAGAACTGCATTCCCAGTGGACGATGCACCTGTGTGTACTCTGTACGCAACTCACAGTGTCTGCATTGCATGTTATTCGATATGCATCTGTGCAGTCTTCCAAGTGGGTCGATCCGATCCCCATGGGGGAGGGGAGTTCTTCATAGTTCACCTCGATCTGTCAGTACATTAGGTACGGAGTCGATCAACACGACAAAGATATATATTTTGTGTCATATAACACTGCACAACCTGATCGATCGCGATCCGCCAGTTACTCGTACAGGTCAACGCCAGCGATCTCCGATGCGTCCCCAACCACAGTGGCGAGTCCGATTATTGGATCCTTGCTCTTGACTGGTGGCTTGCACAGAAGTACCGAGATGCACAGTCCTAGATCTTGCATGACACCGGAATCTGAATGCCCTGCATCTACCCTTGAACTGGAGATTTTCCTCACAAACAATCGACCAGTCTCGCCCGACAACAGAGGTAAAACATGTTTGAGAGAATGAGGTAACTTCCCATATCGAAGCCACCGGGCTGGTACACATCTCCAACACAAGACCAACTACGGGGGATAAACGAGGTCATTTCAGTCAGGAGCGCCCCCAATTCCAGCCCCAGCCCCAGGGCCGGCCCCTTTCCACTGGCTCGGATACATTACGAACGGTAATAATAGACCATTACTTCATAGCCCGACCCAGCAACGGGGGAGATGAAGAACCTAGTAGGTAGCCGTGCCGTGCAGAGATCCTGTAGGAATGTACACAAATAAGACAGGGGGAAACAGACATCCGCGGGCGATCAGAATCAGACCGTGGACCGCGGCCCGACCCCGGGTTATCTGAAGCTGCCCAGCTGTAGACAATTAGACAGCTCACCCTGAACAAAGCACCGACGAACATGTCATTTTGTGGTGTTATATTCCCATTTCGCCCCGTTTCCCCGTTCCCCGGCGGGCCGACGCGTGAAAGGACGACAGATGACACGGGGGCGGAGATGCCTTCATATGGTTGAAAGACTGGAGAAAACAGGATATGACCAGTCTGGCGGGTATGCGATGATCGACGACCGAGGCTTCCTGTTCTGCCCCGGCACGGCGGGAGGGCCCACTTGGGGTCGGGGGAACTGCGATCCTTTCCGGGGGAGAAGAAGAGAGACCGAGGAAAGGGAGGGAACCGGGATATGCACTACTATTGATTGACACATACATGTCTTGGAGCGATCTCTTTTTGGGGTTTGCGATCTCCCGTGCAGCAGGGATCGAATCAATGGACCGGGGGTACTAGAGTCACCGTTGTAGAAGTAGTTAGTCGATAGCCCTAATTCACTAATGAAACCGAGAACTCCCTGTAACCCCAACCAATTATCCGAGCTCGTGATTATTATTCGTGCAAAATCGGCCTCCAGGAAGAATAGTCTTCCACAATCCCGGGATTCATCCTTTGCAAAGAGGGTCTATAGCCGGGAACTCCCTTTATCCGTGGGGAACGGGGAGAGACCCGCCTCCAGACACCCGTCCGGCCCCGACCGTTGCAAGGCTGGAACAGAGTCGAGGCCCGCATGTGTAAAGGCCCCATAGCCCCCCAGAGACCCGAGGGAGAGGCAGCAGTGGACCGACGGGCAAAGTCGCGTGAAATCATTTTTTTGTTTTTCTATTATAAACAGCGAGATGCGCCGGTCGCCCGCGACCGTGGTGTATAATCTCCATCCCACTCTCCTAAATTATTGCTCTATCGGTGTGGACGTGTCGGCCACCGCATTTCCTGTCACTTGGGATTCATATACTTGATTTGACCGAATACACCGCCAGACCCTCAGCGGTGTGATCCAACCATACTATCCGATTGCGATCGGAACTGGCGACGGGGAAGCACAGTCCCCCGTTCACCGCACCTTCTTGATGGTTGGGCAGATCGTGCAGCAGATCTCCGTGCCAACTGATTCATCCGCTGTCAGAAAAAAAAATAATTATTATTCAATAATTGCCGGAAGTCCTTCCGCCTCGATCTGTCTTTTTTGCTCTGTCTCAGGCCCGACTGCAAGGGTGCCCGGAATCTAGAAGCCTTCCCCGGCATCTCTTTGTACTCCCCCAGATGTGCTGATAAACGCTGGCCTGCCCTCGGGACTGATATTCTACTCTTTGTCACGCTCCGACTTATTTACCCTCTCCACTCCTCACCTCTTCTTCTTCGTCTCCCTCTCTACACCTACGCTTCTTTCATACTCCCTCCATTCACCACAGCGACTCCCACCATGGTGATTCCCATCCAGTCGCGCCTTCGCGACATGTCGCTCACCAAAGCGGCCGTGTTGGCTCCCGTGGCCAGTACCGACCCAGCACAAGTCTGCTTCAGCTGGAGTGGCAGCTCCTACGACTGCTCCCCCATGTCCAACCCATCGGCACCACCACCGACCCCCAGCGACTCTCTACTGGACCTCAACCCGCGCAAAACCTCTTTCTCCAGCGAGCTGGGCATGGGTGCCGCCTGCGCCTTTCCCTCCTGGCCCAACCGCCCATCACTATCGCGCAGCGAGTCTCCGGACTCGTTCTCCAATGCCTATCTCTCAGACGAGGATCTACTCTGGATGCCTACTTCCTCAACCGCCACCTCCCCCAACAGCGCGATCGAGGACGCGCCCTGCAAAGACGCCCTCGCCTTCCCGGCCTCCATGAACATGGAGCAGCAGCTTGAGCGCATCCGCGCCGCTGCCGCCGAGGAAGAAGACCGCGCCCGCTTCTTGGCCAAGGTCGAAGCACATGCCCGCGCCACCCAGGCCCTGCGCATGGCAAAGCTGGCCATCATCAACGAGCGCGAGACGGCCTCGACCAAGCGCAAGAAGCGTCGCGCCGTGGCCACGCTCAGCAAGCGGCGCGCTCACTCGTCATCGGCCAAGGTGACGGCACATGCCTAAGCTGCCCAATACCAACCACCAACGGGCTGCGCAGGCGCCGTCCACCTTTCACTTCGCCGCATGTCTTCTTTCCTACCAACCAAATTTACACCACCCGTGATACCCGCGCCTGACTCGATCAGATCCATCCCACCATCAACATCAGCCCTAACTCCATAATCCCCGCGCTTACCTAATCCCTTATCTCACCGCTTCTTATCTTTTTAAGCGTTGGCGCTGGATCCTCACATCAATACCCGAGCATTTTCCCGAAGCTGGACCGGTGTTTTTTATTTTCTTTTTCTTTTTTTTTTTTTTGACTTTTTCCCTTAGCGCCTCATCTGACGATTATTCCTGATTCCTGATACCCCCACCCTGCCTGTATTGTTATTCCTGTTCATTTTCGTGTTCATTTTCAATTATCCGCGCCCTGCGCATCCCGCTGCCCCTCAGTTGTCCATCACTCTCGGTGTACTGTTCTCCGATGAGCCTAGACGTGGCCCTGTGAGTCAGATCACAGGGTAGCAGTGGCCTCTCTTGAGGTAGCAAAGAACCTATTCATAATCATCCAAACAAATCGGAAACTATTATTATTATTACTCTTATTCGCCTCTTCGTATCATTCCGATTATTATTATTAATTATAAATCATCTCTGCCACACCGGTAATACGAGAGAGTCAGACTCGCTGATATTCGTGTCACTCCGCGAAAGGTTGATGCTAATACGATCGCTGACATATTCTTCAGCTCGGCGCTGTCCTGCGCGCTTTACGCGCGGCCTAGGCGTGCGGCAGCTGCGGTGAGGCGAAATGTCAGGCATACCATGACAAGGGTTGCAGATGAGATCAGATAGTGGATGGGTTGCATCTGCAGATGGAGCATGTGGATGTACTTTGCATGTGGTGGCTTACCCATGATCGGTTGGAGGTATAGCGGTGAAGTCAAGGTTTTGAGTATCAAGTATGACTGACGAAATTAAAATATATTATTAAGAATGGCTTCAGCCTAGCCTGTAGCAAGACTGTGAGTGTAGATTAGTTCTATGAAGGTATCCAAGCACACAGAGAACCAGCCCAAGAGAGAAGACCCTACAGCCCATTCCCCAGTAACTCGGCCCCCACCTCCTTCAACAACGGCTCCTTCTGCAAAGCCGGCACCACCGACTTGGACGCCACCGTCTCCGTGGCGCCCATGGCGCGACAAAGATCCACCAGCGCGCCGTCCAGCGGCGCCTCGTAGACTAGCAAGCCCAGCGCAAAAAGCAAGCCATGCAGGGCCTCGGGACTCTGCTCTTCGCGCGAGATGGCCTCGAGCAGGGACGCCATCAGCTCGACCTGGTCTTCCTCGGCGAGGGGGTCTGGATTTCCCCCAAAGCGGGCGTTGTGGTTGAATGCGGCGAGGTTATAGGCGAAGGAGGCGGCCACGACGCGCAGGTTCTGGTGAGAGTCGAGTAGGGAGTTGATAGCGAGGCGGAGACAGGTTGTGCGGAGGGGAGATGTGGAGGAGACGAGCTGGATGGGGTATAGAGCTGTGCTGAAGAGGTTACAGGCTAGTTGGAGGGCGACGATGCGGAGGTTGTAGGGGACGGAGGTGAGGTCTTCTTCCTCGTGGGAGAGGGGGGAGAGGAGCGTGAGGAGGGTGGTGTGGTTGGTCTCTTCTGCAAAGTAGCCGCTCACGCGCGGGTCTAGGAAGAGTAGACGGACGAGGTCGACGACTGCGAAGTGGCTGTCGCTGGGGAGAGTGGCGTAGGAAGATTGTAATGACGCTGCGAAGGAGGGTAGGTCTGGAGCTCTCACGTCCGCAGCTGGAGCAGCAGAGTGCCGAAGCTTGACAAATTCAATCACCGGTGCAATGGCCGGATCCTGTTTGAAGGCTGCGGGAAGCTTTTGGAGGAGCTTGTCGAGGGGTGGAACCTTTTTGTACGTGACAAAGTTGTTGATCGACCGCTGTAGGCTGGAGAGCCGGAGATTTCGGTGAGGATGAGCTGGATGAGCCATCTCCAGCAGCATGCGAACATTTCCCTGAAGCTGGGCCGGGCTGGCACCGCTCCATTCATCCAGCTTTTTGCCCTTGAGGAAGGTCATGAAGGTGGGCGTTGCGCGCACGCTGTATTTCGTGCTGATGTCGTATGCAGACCCAACATCGACTTTGATGAGAGTCGCGCGGTCACCCGCTTCCGCGGCAAGCTCGTCATAGGTTGGGTAGACGACCTTGCAGGGAGGACATGTTGATGACGTGAAAAAGATCACTGCGCAGGAATTCGTCGCGGAAGCTAGCTCGCCCTCCAGCTGGCGGAGATTGCTCACCATCCGGACCATGCCTGTTGGTTGTCTTGATTCAGCGGCAATAGTAGCAGCAGGAGCAGCAGGTCGAGCTGTTGGATGCTGAACTGGACCCGGTCCAGTACCCTGCGTGACTCCGCGTAGAGCGTTCTCGATCTGGGGTTTCAGCATCTGACCAAACGGGGTCTCGAGAAAATCTCGTGGCAGGTTTCGGATACGATCTGGAATACTCTTGCCGACCAGGAACATGGAAAAGTCCTGGGTGAAGTTATTGCAATTGTGCAGAAATAGATCGTATGACTGACGAAGTGTTAGACTCGATACGCAAGGAAATAAACGAGACAGAGACAGACCTCGGGAGTATAGATTTCTGCCAATGACCCCAGGTACTCCTCGATCACATCGGGTGGGAGCTCGGTCTGGCCCATGTGCAGCTTCTCCATCGGCTGGCCATGGTGAGTACTGCCAGGGGCCGCGGTCTGGATGCCCTGGCCGAAGTAGTACTCGACACCATTGACCACGAGCGATGTGTGGTAGATGGCATCCATCTGAATCCCTGTCAGGGGAAGCGAATACTAGCAATCACTCAGCGTGAGACAATGTTCCTGGCGCGTTTAAGTTGGGCAGTGCATACCATTCGCGCGAGACCCTGTACATGAAATCAGCTGACTGTCTGACAAGACGCACATTATGGGAGCCCTACCTTGGAGAGGTCGTATATGTACAATTCTACATCCATACTGTCGGCGGTGGTGGTGATGATGGATGTTGCGCGGACTTAGATCGGGACTTAAAGAACATCGAAACCAGGCACCGAGACGATCACGTCAGCAGCGTCACGTTTCCTGCGCCTTCGACGATCTTCGACCGACTCTATGGCCGTGAGTTCTCAAAATATACGAATATATGGTTTAGAGAATATTGACAATGATGAATAAAGAAGCAGTTTCTGCTTTAAAAAACAAGTTTAGCATTCCAAGTTAGCGAGTGGTAACTAGGTAGGAACTGCTGTACTGACCGGTCAAAAAGCCATCCAAGACACAAGCACTTTGAATTTTTAACTGGTCAATGTAATTATCAGTTTCAATGACAATGTTCAAGAATAAATTGTCTACTCTGAGAATCCCAGAATATCTTCGTGGTGTAGCTACACCTCCATAATCCATACTTCCCCATCCTCCAATCGGAACTTAACTTTCTTCTCCACCCTCCTACCTCTTCGTCACTCACTCACTCACCTCACTCACCCCGAAAATGCGAACGCCCTGATCCCCACCACCTACTGGGAGACCCATCAGCGACGCGATATGGTAAACCTCTTCCTCTCCTTACCTTTCGATTATAAACTAACCCACAACCTCCCGCAATCCAGCCTCCTAAAAGGCGCGGTGCGCCCGCCGCCACCGCCAGCTCCTCCGCACCAAAGCGCGCGCGCCAATCCAAGCTCGCCAAGGAGAACAACATCAGCGCCGAAGAGGAGAATGAGATAAAGGAGGTCTTCCAGTTATTCTCGGCACCGAACGACAGATTTCCGGGCGAGAAGGACGGAGTGATTCCTCGCGAAGATGTGCGCAAGGCTCTGGTGTACGTTTCCGTCCTACCCACCTTCACCTCTTCCTTCTCCCCAAACGGAACCAGTTCCCTGCCCTAAAAGCCTCCAAAGAACAAAAAAGAAGACGGTTCTCTAAATACTTGTATGGAAACAGAGCACTAGGCCTCCCCCGGCAGACTCAACCGAACTCTCCGACATCCTGACCGCGCTAGACCCAACAGCAACAGGCTTCGTGCCCTACGCGCCGTTCGTCTCTGCATCTGCGGCAAAACTGCGCTCGCGCGACGACGACGCAATGGCCGCCGAGGTGGACGATGCGTTCCAGCTATTTACACGCGGGTCCGATGGACCGATCATTACTCTGTCGCACTTGCGGCGCATTGCGCGCGACTTGAAGGAAGATGGGGTGGGGGATGACTTGCTCAAGGATATGATTCTGGAGGCGAATGGGGGTGCTGGCGTGAGTGCTGGTGTTACATTGGAGCAGTTTCATGATGTTATGAGTCGGGCAGGTGTTTTCTAGTTTTTGGTTTGGGTTGTCTTTTGTTTTCTTCATCTTCAGCAATATTCGAAATCAGAGATACCCGCATACTCGAATGAATTCACGAACCCCAACTCAAACCACGCCAATCTAAATATGGTATGGCCGTAGATTCCCCGCTTCTTAAAATATGCAGTGTATTTTACATGACGCTGGCGAGACCTCGAATGGTGTTTTGTAGACGGAAACTGCTGTACCTGCGTTTTCTGCATTTCACGTTGTTTGGGACGATCACGCATTAAACCAAGTAACCAACTAGGCGGAAGTGGGACCACTAGCACTCGGGAACTTGCCGAGAACGGGCTCTGGTGTCATCTAGCTGCGTCTCATCTATCGGTCCCGCGTATAAGAAGGCTAGATGATCGCCGTTTTCTTCTATAGCTATGAGGAGGGAAAGATGGTCGACTTCTTGTCGCATCGCCAAGATTTCGCCCTTGTTTGGACTGTTCGCATGAAGATCCCATGGCGCAATACTTAGTTATGGTATATAACAGTGACCCATCGGTCACTGTTAGGCAATACGGTACAGTTCAATGGGGATTGCTGAGACGGAAACTGAAATTAGATTTTAGGGTCCGGGAATTAATTAGAGATAGTATGGGGGATATATCTATCTGGGTTTGTTGGATAGGGGTTTCGTTGGATTGTTGGTTATGCGATTTTGCATGTCATACATTTTACTTCTTCCCTGGCTTCCTACAAGATACAATAACAATTTCCAAGAAAATAATAACCCGTGTTGTGACTGTAGATACATGTTGTCCTCCATACCATCCGTTGCAATTGTCATTCAAGCAAGAAAATTAAACCAGCGTCCCAGAAAAGAGGTGAGAAACACAATCGAAGAAAAGAGGAAAAGAACGAGCAGAGGACGACCGAAGATATGACCCGCGCATCAACTATCAAGACCCTCTGAAACCATCCACGAAGGGTGTCAGATCCAGATCTAGAGCCTGGAAATGACCGTGCCATGGGGTGCGTTTACTGGTGAAACGTTAGCATGACAATTGATCTATTTGGCAAATAGTTATGGCAGGCTTACAGAAATCTCGCCCATGCCGAGGTCTTCGCCGGCATTGGCGGCAGGCGCAGCAGCTCCGTTGACAGGGGCGCTGGCATCAGCAGGGCCATTCTCGTTGAAGTAGTCGGCCATGTCCGCATCGAGATCCTCCACGGTCTTCTGGGGACGGCCAGGGTTGCGGCCACCACGGCCACGGCCGCGAGTAGTACGGCGTCCACGAGCGTTGGCAGCTTTGCCAGCGGTAGCAGGCTTGGGCTGAGCCTTTTGAGCCTTCTGGCTGTCGAGGAATCAGTAAACAATGTCAAACAACGAATCAACGGTGACTTACGCAATGCGCTCACCGAGCGGCTTCGGGGCGGGGACCTGGGGGGCGTGGGATGCATCGAAAACAACTTCGATCTGTTATGATAATTAATCACTGCCCGACAAATAATCGACAAGGCGCTTACCTTGATGGGACGGCCATCAACCAAGAGTCCATTCAGCTCCTTGGCAGCCTTGGCGGCGGTGTCGGCCTTGCCAAAGATGATCGAAGCAATGCCACGGCTAGTACCGTTCTGGTTGTAGGTGAGCATGACCTTCTTGACAGGACCTGCGGACTTGGTGAAGTATTCCTATAGCGCAAGACAGACGATCAGTATTTTCGTCACAGTTTGTGTCAGATCAATCGAGATCGAGTGTCGAAACGGCGAAAAGGCAAACGGAGACGGCAAGCGATTCGACGGCGAAAGAGCACCAGCGAGCACACAGCGGCGACCGACTAATCAGTTAAGACCAGCAAGTCTGGGCCTCCAGCCCGCACCATGCACAGCGACAGTATCAGACTGTCCCTTGATTGTACCCACCCTGGCGCGACCTCGCCCGCATTGAAGCCTAACTCGAAACGCAACCATCCGATCTGGCATCAAATATTCCCACAACCCCACAACACCCATCAACAGTAGAAAGCGACAAGTCCTCGAACGACGGGCATATGCTCCCAGAAGGCCGCCTTCGAAGCATTGCACCTCGCCAAATAGCAGCCCTCAGCAGGCAGTCCCGCCTTGTGTCCTCATGTCGCTCTCGTTTGGTCAAGTCGATGACTCCGACGTAGATACACCTCTCCAATGGGCACGATGACATGATGTCAGGCCATGGAGAAGCGAGACTCTCCATCGAGAAGGATAGAAAAAATAGTCCACCGGTATTTTTGGCCGCCAGACCGAATCTCCGCTGGTTCACTGGTGCGCTCGCTGATGCCCTCTGAAGCTCCACATATATACGAGACAGGAAGTGTATGAGAGCGGAATCGAAAAAGCGATTGTGGACGGTGAATTTTTCATCAACCATCCTAGCACCGTACTCAGAGTCACGATGCACGCGGATTTTCACCCGAAATCGACGCGTGCCAGGTCTCTTTTCATAGTACGACGACAGAGCTCAACTTCAAGCTTCGCGTCTGCCAGCAGGAAAAATATCACGCAGAAGCATCATTGAAGGAGCAACCTGTCTGTGCCGGACACCGAGCGAACTACCACCACCATGTGGAAGGAACGCGCAGGAGGAGGTCGGGAAACGCGAGTCGAAGCCGTTTGCACCTCGGAAGGACTCGAAAACACAGATGGCTATGGAAAGCCCAGGCGAAGGCCTTTCGATCAACATACCTTGATATTGGCCTCAGTCACATCGGCAGGCTGGGAACGTTAGCATGTGTATAGGCAAAGATGACTGAGGGGCAGACATACCAGACCGCTCACGATGATCTTGCTGGACGGAGTCGCAGCAGGGGTCGGGTGGACCGCCTTGGCGGTACCCTTGTTGGACTTGGTGGACTTCTTCACGCCTCCAACAGTGGAGGGCTTGCTGGCAGACGCGCGGCGGGCGCCACGGCGACCGCTCTTGCGGCGGTTGCCGACGAGATCGTCGAGAGAACGGTCCAGGTTGGCAGACATGATGGATACTTGTGCTGGCAGAAAGTGGGCAAGTATTCACAAGTAGAGATGTCGCGACAAGAACGCGTTATCGATGGATGACAGAATGCGTCACAGGGGTCAGAGCGTTCAAGAGAGACCGTCGCAGAACAGTCGGCGACCGTGAAAGAGATGATCTCAGATGGATGAGAAAGGAAGAGTTGGAAAGAGAAAGGAGATGAAAGAAGCGGAGGATGGAGAACGGAAAGGGGAGGGATGAAGAGAGAAAGGAAGGGGATGAGTCGGGCAGAAGTGGCCGTCAGCTGGCGCTAATCCGCTTTGGGATGGCCGCCATTCACTGTTTCTATTCATGGACTAATGACTACAATAGGCAATCACAAGAATGTCAACGCCAGTGGCAGAGCTATTTATTCACCTGCGGCTTCTACAATTATTGTGCGCCAGTTTTGGCAGTGAATATTTGCGTATGCATTCCATTCATGACAAGTAGACCCGACAGAAAGAGAAAAGAGCAGCCAATCCCAACTCCAAGCGTAGACGATAGACAAGGAAAGAAACGAAAGATTAAAACGACCATTGAATGTACACCAAATCAAGCATTTCAGCTCTTCAGAGCCTCCAGCCGCCCTCGCATCTGTTCGAGTGTTGCCTCCTGATCCTCGAATTGTTCCTCCTCGGGCTCTGCAGCCGGAGTTTCCGTGGTGGGTGTGACTGGCCGGGGAGCTGCAGCCTGATCGAGCTTCCCCTTCAGCACTTCCTGCAAAATCTTGTCGATTTCAGCATCAGCTTCCACCTCCTCATCCTCGAACGTTGCGGTGTCGGTAATAGCATCATCGACCATCTCTTCAATAATCCCCGCTTTCACCAATTCTGCCGAAAGCTGGTGCATCGTGGACGACAGTTCCGGCATCCGGACGAGGGTGTTGACATCCTTCATGATGCCGGTGGACTTTTGAAGACTGCCCTGGATCTTGCGCACCGAGAACGCCTCGTTGACCTGCATCCCCACGCTCTGGAGCTGGGCGCGGCTAGTCGTGAGTCGGGCGGTCTGCTTGCGAATGCGCACCAGTTCCCTGGCAAAGGTCTTGGTTTCGCTGGTGGCCTGCTTGGCTTGGGATGGATTGCGCTGGGCGCGCTTCGACGAGCTCACGATAAACTGGCGGGTCTTGGCATCGAGTTGCTTGAGTTGGTTGAGGTCCCGGTCTAGCTGGCGAGTGTTGGAACGGATCAGAGAGTTGCATTTTCGCATCTAGTGGTGTCAGTCAATGGTTGGGACACATCCCCCGATGAGGATGAGCGAGCGCCTTACCTGAGCCGCGGGGTCAGGCCCGAAGAAAACAGCCTTGAGGGACTCCATCCCCAAAGTTCTGATATGTATCTGTCTGTCGGTGGGATATGTAGCTACCTACCCAGTACACTCAGGATGTCGAGGTAGCACTCGTGCCCATGAGCATGATCTGCGGGATTGAGGATGTAGCCAGCGGGTTCAATGAGAGCCAAATTCGGGGTGAGCAGAACACAGCCCTGCTTAAATGCACCAGGACTGCAGACCCCGTTCAAGTTGTAGTTGTATGTAGGCCGAATGGATCAGACGAGGCAAGGCGACCGAGGGGGCTGAGTCAGCATCCTGACGTTCCTCATGCCTCAGGCCACCACATGCAAACCAGGCAAACCCGATGCTTCCAGTACATTCTACTTTACGGGCAGCGTAGCTCCCTCTTCCCTGCCACACAGTGATCCCTCCACCCCCATCATCGTTCTCTACACCTCCATCCCCCTTCTTTCCTGATTCTTTGATCTCCTTTGACCCTCTCTCTCTATTCCCTGATCAAAATGCCCGAGACTCTGACTCCCGAAGGTACGTTCTCCCCGCTGCCTGGCTTCCCCGCTTCAGTCCCACCACAGCACATTTTTGCGTGTGAAATGTCAGCGATGTTATCCAATTCACGCGGTGCCTGTCACAATGCACTATTCCACATGACTCAGATCAGGTAATGAGCACTGGTTGACGCGGAATTGTTTTCCCCCTCTAGTGACGTGGGCGCAGCGCTCGTCCGCCTCGGAACCCGAGCGTAACTATCTCATCGTGAACCTCAAGACTCCCGACGTCGCCAGGTCGGACGCCAAGCTCAGCATCACCTCCAACAATGTTTCCTTCTCTGGTCCTTCCAACAAGGGTGTAACATACAGTGTCTCGCTGGACCTGTTTAGCGAGATCGACCCAGAGAACAGCAAGGTGAACCACACCGACCGTGAAGTCGAGCTGGTTCTGCGGAAGAAGGAGCTGAAGGAGGAGTACTGGCCTCGTCTCCTGAAGACCGACAAGAAGATGCACTTCCTCAAGACGGACTTTGACAAGGTACTATTTGAACACATCCCCCCGCTACGACGAGCAGATGCCTAACAACATTACAGTGGGTCGATGAGGACGAGCAAGATGAGGCCGGTGATGACGACTACGCGAACAACTTCGGCGGCATGGGTGGTGGTGAGGAGGGCGGCCTCAGCAACATTGACTTCTCCAAGCTCGGCGGCATGGGTGGGGCGGGTGGCATGCCCGACCTCAGCGCTATGATGGGCGGCATGGGCGGCGCTGGCATGGGCGGCGCTCCTGGCGCTGGCGATGCCGAGGGTGAGGATGACGAGGTCAGTTTTGCTTTCCATCCATCTTATGTGTTTTTTACTGACGTAGATTGCAGGACCTTCCCGAGCTCGAGGAGACCGAGGAGTCGTCCAAGATCCAGGAGGTCTCCTAAATTGTTTCCGGCAAATGATGATTGAATGCGAAAAGGAGCGCTGCTGCTGGTGCCTACAGCTGGAGATGTGGTTTGCTTAGGTCTTTGGCCACCGAGTGTGTAGTGGGAGTTCAGCTGGGCTTCTTGGTTGGCAAGACTGTACACCAGTAGAACATGGAGAAAATTCCGAAATGTTTGAAATGAAATGTGTCCCTCATAGGGCTGTCCTAGGTATCTCCTATATGTAGTAGTATGTGTGCTGGGTAGTGGGTGCATCAGCCCTAGGGGCCGAGCGAGGGGGATGGGCGATGACGCAAAGGGTGAACGACGGTGAGGAACAACACGATAATGAACTCGGAGCAAAAAGTGAAACACAATAGAGAGAGAGGGCGAGATGAATTGCAAAGATACTGACGATACAGATGATTCCCCTACTTTGGATTACCCTTTCCGGGGCACTCGAGCGAGCCCTGGGTATAGTTGGCGCCCGTCATTGGCCCACCGCTTGCCACCCCTCGGTTTTGTGGAGGTTCAACTTCTTCACTCTCTTCACACTCTCTGCACACTTCTCCCTCCCACCCACCACCCTCCCTTGCATCAGCGTATTCTTTCGGCGGATTGTTCCTCAGCGCCATCCGCCAACACTCTCTCTGCCCATCGGGTGCATTTTTCCCATTTTTCGTCATCTCGATTTTGCGCCACACTCGGCCACACCGTCACCATGCCGCCCAAGAAGCAGCAGAATGAGCCGAAGAAGAAGAAGACGGTCGATGATAAGGTATGTGTTGATGTGCAGATCTTTTTTAACTTGGAGAAATATAGTCGCTAACCCTTGGTGTCTCGTGACACAGACCTTTGGCATGAAAAACGTATGTCTCGACCCGATTCGCCTTTGGAACACCCCCCACTAACGCCGCAATCGACGCACAGAAAAAAGGAGGCTCGGCCAAGAAACAAATTTCACAATTGCAAGCACAAGCCCAGTCCAACAAGACCCCCGATGCCAAGCGGAAAGAAGCCGAAAAGGCCCAGCGCGAGGCTGACAAGCGGGCCGCTGAGTTGGCGAAGAAGGAGGCCTTGGAGCTGTTCAAGCCCCTGAGGACACAGAAGGTGCCCTTTGGTGTCGATCCCAAGACGGTACTATGCATTTTCTACAAGCAGGGCAGTTGCGAGAAGGGCAAAAAGTGCAAGTTCAGTCACGATCTGAACGTCGAGCGCAAGGCCGCCAAGAAAGATTTGTACACTGACTCGCGCGACGAGGAAGAAGAGACCAAGAAGAAGGATACTATGGACAACTGGGATGAGGCGAAATTGCGCGATGTCGTTCTCAGCAAGCATGGCAACCCTCGCACGACCACCGAGAAGGTGTGCAAATTTTTCATCGAGGCGGTCGAGAACCAGAAGTATGGCTGGTTCTGGGTGTGTCCCAATGGCGGTGACAAGTGCATGTATAAGCATAGTTTGCCTCCAGGGTATGTTTTCACTTCTCATGAAAAGGGACGGGACGTGGCTAACATCTTTCCTCGCAGATTCGTCCTCAAGACCAAGGAGCAGAAGGCTGCTGAGAAGGCCCTGATGGACAAGTCGCCGCTTAACACCCTGACTCTGGAGGACTGGCTCGAGTCCGAGAGGCACAAGCTGACGGGTACCTTGACCCCGGTCACTCCAGAGACCTTCGCCGCGTGGAAGAAGGGGCGCATGGATAAGAAGGCGGCTGAAGAGCAAGCCCAGAAGGCCAAGGAAGCCACTGGCCGGTCGATGTTCGAAGCCGGCGACTGGCGCGACGATGAGAGTAGCGACGAGGAGGAGGACGACGACGCCTTCAACCTGGATGCTCTGCGGATGGAGACCGAGCGGCTACGCGATCAGAAGGAAGAGGAGCGCCTGGCTAAGCTGGCTGGCTCTGGCGTGGAAGTTCCACCATTGAGCGACGCAGTCATCGCACAGGAGACCGCTGGTTGACCTTCTGATTCCCCCGCGAGACTATATTCGTGGGCCGTTCAGGATCCCTTTATTCCGCCGGCTACGGCATTTACCGGCGGGGTCGGGATTGCAGTGGCGATTGATCGTGGTGATGGGTCTGTCGCTGGACTTCGTGTCTTGCGCTCCCGCCTGACTTCGTCTTGCAACCTGGCGGCTCGGCCGGGCAATTCCTGTCCCTGTACCATCCGTACATGTGGAGCAGGTTGACTGGCACCGGAGGACCAGAGGGTTGTGACAACAATCCCTCTGTCTCATGCGAGAAGACTCAATGACTGATATCTTGTTATGTTAGCTTTTTTGTGGTTCATAGGAAAAAAGTTCGTTCCTCTATATAATCCCCAAGTCCTACACGGTTTTTGCACTTGTATCAGATTTTATATGTAATATTGGCGACGGTAAACCTGCCGCCTTCAGGTAGCGCTCGGCTCTGAGATCACGGTGCTCACTGAGCAACCTGGGCGGTCACCCCGTTGCTCACCCCCTTCCGTTCTCTTGTTCAGGAGTATCATGCTGGGCATATGATCACATACAGAGATACTAAACAGATATGGTGGCATTGGCGAAATGACTATGGGGAACGAAGAAGTTGAAATGAGAGATGCTGGGGATAAAATACCTGGTGATGTGCATGGCAAAGGGCATCAACACCACAAAACATGCAGCACATATGGGAATCGTTACACATCCTTCACTCCGCGCCTCCTCGCAATGTCTCGGAAATCTTGACATATTTCTTGCCTCCCTTGCCTTCCATTACCAGTCGGTAAACCCTCAGTGCTGTGATGACAATCATAAGTTTGCACCGATAGCCCACTTCCCCTGACTCCGCGCTGCCCATAAGGCGGATTGTACATCGGTGGGGATTCTTGGATAGGAATCTATCAATCGATAGTAAAGCAACCGTTTCGCCGTCCTTGTCTGCTGAGGCTGAAGCGGCCTTACGGGCCTCAAGTCTCACAAGCTGGAATCCATACTTGGAATCAAAATCCGGGGCTTTCTCTAGCCTCCGCCACTCAACCCTTTCTCGGCGAATGTCGTCGTCATCACCAACCTCGATAGAAAAGCGAAACACCACCCCGTAGACAGGGGACGTAGCAGCTCGCATCTCTTCGCGCACCGTTGGTGTTGTCACGCGCTTTTCCTCGCAGCCGAGCCGGGGGATCACGATAATCGAGTTGGCGTTGAACATGTAGAGAGGGCTGGAGTTGAAGGAGGTTGATCCAGCTGCCGCAATGATAGCACCCTTTTTGTTTGTCCCCATGTGCAGCGTAATACCTGCGGCCATCCCGAGAGGCGTAGAGTCATAGCCAGCGTGCTTCTGAACGAAGGCAATACACTTGTCCGGGCTTCCATCGCAGAGACTGATGCCAATATGGGATTGGTCATTCTTCTGGATGTAAACTTTCATCATGGATGGAAAGTCTGCCATGGTAGAGGCAATTTCTCGATTTCTAGTCGGAGACACCATGTTATTATTTACTACACGTAGAGTGTGCCCAGGAGCGCTTATTAGTGTAGACACAGAGGTCACTTGATGCTTAGCACAGAGCTAGGCTTATGCTTAGCCTGGAAAACTCGGCGTCCTTTTTATTTTATATTTTTCTACATAGCACTGAGTGCTTTGTTGTGCTAGCTGAGGCATTTATGCGTGACCGCAGCCTAGACTTTACCCAGTGGCTTTTTAGTTGTCATACTTAGCCAATAAGGAATGCGCATTAATTTGTTTTTCAGTATTTCAGTATTGACTAGATTAATTTTCCATGAGGACATTCCGATACACCCGTAGAAACTTGAGGCTTAATGGCTCGCACAATCAAAGCTAGCGGTGTCGACTTGAGGTATAAAAGCCTAGTGAGTCTATGAAGGTCATACAACCAATTATCGCATACAAAGCCACGGCCTTCCACAAAGGGACAGAACCCAAGCTCCGGACGTCACCGACTCACAGAACAGACAAAATATCTAGTAGTAGGGGGCGAATTACAAGCAATAGCAACCACAGTTACGGCAGGGCACTGAGAAAGTGAAGTTTAGACCACGTTACCCCCTGTTCATAAAACCGCCATGGTTCAAATCCCTGATTCGTGAGTTCGGCCACAGGGTCTTCTGTGGATTTCCATACAGGTTTTAGCTCCTCACTAATTCAGATAATCACCGGGAGTATTTGGCATCGCGTGGCCTAATTTGACCGACGGTCCACTAACATTCCCACGCTAATACATAGACACGGCTACGGTGGGTAAAGCCTGAGATACTAACTGAAGGAGACTGTTAACGGGTGATTTACCGTTTAAGATCCGGAGTGAATTCCGGTAGGGTTGGCCTCCTAGCTACGGAAGGCGAAAGGCGCAATAGGGCCAAGACTTTATAGCCAGTCATTTAAATGACTCATCCCATAATTAAGGATTTACCGCCTCATGTCCGCCTCCGAGTAGAGTAGATAATCAAGGCGCCGTCAGACGACTTGAGGGGGCGATTACAAGGAAACGATCATGACATTACACGTGACCTATAGGACTTCTATCAAGAGATTCCTAATACTATGATCTATGAGGTTAGGGATCTCGTTACAAAGTTCTTACGGATCGCATGTACTTTCACCTTTCACTTCCCCAAAACAGCAGGCCCCGCATCAACAGAGCGCACGCGAACTTAATCACACTATTCAAACGGGATTGAGCCCTCGCTAGACCATTTCATCTTCAACGATATTTTCTTGATTACCTATCCGGAAGAGAAGGCTTATATCCAATTGGTTGATCCCTAGGTGGAGATGCAGATACATCAAATTGGCATGACCTAGAAATCAATTGTATATATCTACGAAATATCATAAGGATAGAGCACAAAGTGAAGGAGCTTGGATTCTATAAAGACCAATACCCTTAAATAGGCTGCAGGATATCGTACCAGTATCCTTACAGGTATGATGCTCAGTGGGACTGGCCAAAATGCAGAAGAGCTATATATTTCGGTAGTAGCAGTCCATATTCGACGTAGGACTAGAACTTCTTCTGGTACTTCAACTTCTTGATGTCTTCAACATCGTCGACCCGGACACGCGAACTGCGGACCTCGGGATTGGCCAGAATCAACTCGTACACATTACTAAAGTCCGATGCCTTCGTTACCCCATGCTGCACAGCGAGTTCATCCACCTCGACTCGGAACGCAAGGTAGAGTTCGTTGAAACGGACGTTCGTCGACTCGTTCTCCCGGGCAGCGGCCGTGGCCATGGGGAACAAGGCGCCTTGCGTCATGGCCGGCACCGGGCGGGTTGCCCAGTCGCCCTGCGCCCCGGTACAAATCGTCCATGTACTGGCCGGGTTCTTCTGTTCCAGCAGATAACCGATGGTATCCCGATAGGCGACTGTGAGACTTGTATCAGAGAGTGTCGGGTCCTCAGGATGGGAAGGGCCTACAGAAGTTGGCTTCAAAGGAGATGTTAAAGTTGTTGCGTAGCTGGGCGGTGGTGATCTCCGTGAGGGGAGTTGTCGTGTACTCGCCGCCAACTTGAGAAACGTCAGCAGGTAGTGAATATGGACTGGTGAGAGGAACCAACCGCTGGAAAACACATGCTGGAAAGCCGGAAGCTTGCCAGCTCGGACTTGATCAACGACACCTTTTACCCCGGTGTCCGACAGAACATTGGCTTCGGCGAAAGTGATTCCCTTCGACGACCCAATGTACTTCACGAGCTTGTCCGCTGAGGTTTGGTTGCGGACAATGGCCAAGACGTTGCGCTTGGAGCGCAAGGCGGCCATGACGGCTGAGACGCCGATATTTCCAGTTGCTCCGACGACTAGAACGGTCTCCATGATGGCGTCGAGCGACGTTGAAGGAAAATGAAAAGGTGGCCAACGAGGTCAAAGGGCCAGATCGATACTTTATCTATTTCTTCTGTTGCCTTGACGTGTCCATGCAAGAAACGATCGATAATGCACCTGATCTCGCGAGTCGGTCTTCCAAAGACGCGTACCGGTCGCGATGACAAATTGACCGACAATGAAACGCTCGAGCGCTTATGAATGGAATCCTCTGTCTTTCCCGCCTAGTTCGTCCCCGCTGCTAGCGTTTAGCCCAATGTCAGGGATCACCTGCGCCTACGCGACATTGCCCACGCTAGTCTCTGTAGACGCCTGGTATCCTAGTGGATTCGCCCAAATAGTTCATGAAGCGCATCTTCGCGAGATCGTTGTGCCAGGATTCGGGACGACTCAGCTTCAGCGAATCGTGGATTCTATCCTAATTTCCTATCAGCAAAACTAATTTGCAACTTACCTGCAGCTCGGTCATAATGGAATAAAATACTACTTACTGGGGGCTAGAGCTGAAGAAGATTGAGGGACTGTCGAGCAGCTTTTCTGTAAGAGAACTGGAAGGAACCAAGCAGTATTTATATTTAGGGTGCAGGATATCTTTGGCAATACGAATAGCGTTGTACAACTGCGATTTTGAGCACAGATGCCAATAATCTAGACATAAGTCCTTTGATGTGATAGAATCACAGCATGTCTGCTCGCATTATTGCACGCATTATCACACCTAGCAGCCACAGTTAAGCGAAGTGTTTTACTGTCACCTGTATTCATCCTTAACAGCCACGGCGCTTCTTCGGGAGGCCAAAGTGCAGGTAGTTATATGAGAAAGGGCTCTAGCTTCTTGGGGCTAAGTGCGGCGTTAGGCACAACGAATCAAAGGAGAGGCGCGGGTGTACTCCAGGAAATCCAGTAGGGGTAGCGTAATCGACAACACGAGTGCTGGCGTATCAGCCAATACTTGGCCTGTCGCAAGGGTTGGGTAACTCTTTAGGGTCCAATGGGAACCCTTGTGGCTTAGCCAGGCCCACCTCACCGCTACATGCCATAGTCTTGTTAAAAATCCCTTTAGCAAGATCAAGTCTCTCTTCTCCTATTCTCATATCTCACCGCAAGAGGTCTTCTACAAAACAACAGTGTTCATTATTGTAATTAGCCCTTGAGCTGATATGTCTCGTCAATCCATAACCCCTTACTGTTACATCTGATGATATGCCATATGCTAAAGCAATTCAAGAAATTGACAACTCGTTTACCGGTTACCGGTGGTCCTATTTCTCTTCCCTTGGAGAAGGCCCACTACTTATACGAGCTCAAAAATTCCTTCAGTCTACAGATTGGAATGCGCTCATTGAGTATGCCGCTGCCGCGCGAAACGGAACAGAATGCAGATTGTTACCAGATATTGGTCTAGGCTACAACCATGTGGTACGAATCATAGAATTCAAGGATAACGTGCGATGGGTTGCAAGGCTCCGCATGCCACCCTTGTCACAGACTGGAACTCATTATGATTCAGCAAGAAGCATCATGGAGTGTGAATACAACACAATTCAACTCGTCCAGAAAGAAAGCAATATTCTAGACCCACAAGTCTATGCCTTTGAAGGCGACCCTAACTGCAGGATAAATGCGCAGTTCATGCTGATGGACTGCCTAAAGGGCAATGTGGGAATGGATCTCAATATGAAAGTGCCACCTGAACACAAAAGATCTGTCTTTGCTAGGCTGGCTGAGATTCATGTATGTAATGGCCGCAGGTTCGGCTTCTTGATATGGAGAGTTATTCTAATTTCTTTTTCAATGTTGTAGATCGAAATGTCGAAAATACAGCTACCGATGATTGGGACTATTGTTGGCAAAAATGAAGACGGGTCGTATCGACAAGGTGCCATACCGGGACTAGGCGGTCCCTTCGAAAGAGCTACGGAGTTTTTTAAGGCATGGGCCGCTAAGGCTGAATTCGGTTTATCAGAAGACAAGCTGAAAAAAGCTGCGGGCTCATTTGCCAACGAGGTTTCATCCTCCGGGTCCTCATTCAAAGCCTCAATCAATAGTCTAGCTGAAAGGCTATCTATTCGGGACGGAGGCCCATTCCCATTATGTCATGGAGACTTCGGCCACAATAACGTGGTTTTCAATGACAAATATCACCTTCTTGGTGTTATCGACTGGGAGTCATCGTTTGCGGCACCGTGGGAAATAGCGTGCGAGTTTCCATTGACTCTCTCAGTTGTTCCACCTGATATGGACGTGCCATGGAACTATGATGCAACAGGCCGCCCAAAAGATGCAGAACTTCAGCAAAACTTTGCGGACCGAGAAGACTACATAGCGATGGTAATAGAAAAACAAAAAGAGTGGGGCTTGACTAAGGGATACTGTCTATCAACTGCATTGCAGGATTCCAAAAGACAATATCTAGCGACTGCGATGAGGTTATATCAGAGTGGCAAGCCTGGATGGTACTCAAAGGTGGTGGAAAGGTTTCTCGACGGGACTGAAGAGCAGTGAAATTTAAATAGTGCAGGAACGGGCTAAAAAGCATTAGGTTTCGAGAAACAAACGCTCAAGAAACTCTTTACTACTGTATCTCATGCACTCTGAAGCTATTGATAGATCTAAAGCTAGTGTATGTTATCTAGAGTGAGAAAAGTGGGGGTAGGTCTACTATCGACCACACTGATATCACTCGTCCTCTGTTACTAGGACAATAGGAGCTACGGATAAGGGGAATGGCTGCACGTGGACGAAGCTAGCGTGCTGGGTTTTACTAGGATTGTACATAAGTGTGCACTTTCATAATGTTCTATACAATCTATGCCATAATATCTACAGCGAAGCCCTCGCTTTTCCCAGCAACAAGCCCTTCTCAGCCATGAGCATTGTGATATCCTCCGCAACACCCCTTGAAATCTCAAACCCGCGCCCACCAGCCCCATAACCATGAACGATATATCTCCCCCCATCAAGCTTCTCAGCCTCAATGCGTACACCACCTTCTCGGGCAGGCCGCCGCCCAACAATATCCCGGACGACGTCGAATTGTCCGCCACTCTCGGGAGTAAAAGGGAACCACTTGGCCGCGTTGGCGAGCAATCGTTCCCGCGTCTCTGGCGAGGGATGCGGGTCCCAGTCGTGCGGTTGCTTGGTGCCGCCGATGATCGTGCCTCCGTCCAGTGGTCGTGGAATGCAAAAGGACCACGAGCCGTCGGAGTTTTGGCGGGTGATTGTTGCAGGGACGGGGTTGCGGACGAGACAGGTTTGACCTAGAATTAGTTTGTTAGTATATTACTTTCTATAAATGTCGTTCATACATACCTCTGATAATGAAGGAGCTCGGGTCCGCGAATCCCATCCCGGAGCAATTGACCACGGTTTTGACATTTGTCGCCAGACTAAACGCCTCCCGCGGATGTGTGAGGGTATACTGCATCACACGGGCACCCTTAAGAATCAACTTGCGCAGCATATGCGCACAGTACACGGGCGAATTAATCACATAGGTCCCATAGTGCACCCCCCACTTGACACCCCGCGGCAGCTCCGTCGGCGGCAAAACCCGGAACTCATCGAGATGGGAGTAGACATTGCGCACGCTCTGCTCATCCAGATATTCCGGCGGCGGAGCCTCCAGATGCTCAACGCCCTGGACGAACCGGATGCCCGCGGCGGGTTCGGTGGCGGCAATCTGGCGCAGGTACTCGTACGTGCGCCGTGCTTGGTCTGCTTCGCGCAATGCTTGCGGCGACGAGCCTGGTACGGGACGGTAGTGGGCTCCTGCCCATGGGGAGGCGTAGTTGACGGATGTGTCGGAGGGGAGGTCGCGGGCAATCAGGAGGAGAGATTGATCGCGGCGTAGGTGTTGTTGGACGTGAAGGGCGGTTGTGAGGCCGATGACGCCGGCTCTTTGGAGATACAAGGTCAGCTGGCTCTTTCTTTCGTTCCACGGGTAGAAGAAGAATACCCTATCACGATGATGGTTTCTGGTTCGGACATGGCGGGACGAGCAGGTCAGCAGAGCCCTTTTGTTGTTCTGTTGGTGGGGGAGTCAGGAATTCGGGAGAAATAATCTGGGGAAGAGATAAGCCCCGCGGGTCAGATGATAAAGTGGTGATAGCCGACATGATCAGGTGGGATCAGGTGTTGTTCCATAGAACAGTGGAATCGAAGAGATGGAAGAAGGTCACTGGACCCTTTGGACAGTCACTGGACCGTCACTGGACAGAAGGCATCCATCTCCCTCGGGACATTTCTTCCTCCGACGCCTATTCCTCCGATCTGCCCGACTTGGCCGGTGCAACATGACTTGCCAAAGCTCAATTGACAACCCTGCTGAACGACCTCGAAAAAGGGCCCAAGCTCCGAAATGTTGGTTCCTCTTCTTGCAGGGCACACAATCACATCACATCCATCGGTAGTACCCGAAACGGGATCGTCGAAGCTCCCGAGCTCCCGCCCCTGTTTGTTTACCTCCACCCAACTACGGAGGACATAGATAACTCCCTATGGCCGATCGCGGACTGCATCCTTTTTCCCTCGTTCTCGCCTACCCGCCACGACCCACGCTAATCCCGGCATGGATGCAGGCGCCAGGGATGGCTGAGCCGGGGTGCTGATTGGCGGCCGGGGTGACGAAAGGTGCAGATTCGTCACAACGAGCATCCCAATCACATCCGTTTCCACTCGACTTCGACACTCTCTTGTAACGGCTGCTACTCGCCCGCTGCACTGCCATCGCCTAGCGTCTCACCGGCCTGGGATCGCCCTGCAGTTCTTCTCATGCTGGCTCAGGCATCGCGCACTTCGTTGGTCCCGCCACCAAAGGCCTGATCTCCTTCTCCGCTCATGGTCTCCCCGATCCTGCGCTGGCAGGACTGTATGGTCCGCTTGGAAATGAAGCGCCCGGCACTCTTGCCCCAGCGCCTACTCCTATTGCTGGATGGGCTGGAGATCTGGATTTGCCCCTCAGCAGACCACCATCCGTCAGACGGGAATATATGTAAAAACAAAGCGCCACTTGGTTATTTTTATAGAACAAATGCGGAAGGACCGCTTGTCCTCCCCTAGTCAACTTTCTGCTCTCCCCACTTTCTCCGTCACAAACTTGGGCCTTCTAGATGTGATGAACGTGGACGCGAATCATTTCCTGTCCGTAAGCTGCCCGGGATATTATTCTATTATTTCGTCTTGACAACATCTCTTTGTCTCTTCGCGAATATCTCCTGCGACGCAGCTTTTCCTTATTAGGGCTGCGATCTTCGAGCCTGCTAGCCCGCCCTCCCTGGTCCCGGTCTGGCGCTAAGTCTGCCCTACTCCCCGGTCTTCTAGATGCCTTGTGTGATCCCAGCATCCTGCATTCTCTTACCTTGAACGGTAATCTCAAGGGTCGTGACGCATTAGTAACCTTCACCCCTGGTCAAAGGCAATCAGGTCAGTCCGGACTTTTCTTATTTTCCTTTCCCCTCCCTGCGTCCATGCTCTTCGAGTGTTGAGAACACTGTTTGCGGCAATCCAGCCACCTTGCAAAAAAACAGGAATGGTTGAATTGACATGGAACAGGAGCTCGGTGCTGGAATCGCGACCCTCGAGGACCGTCAACGCAATGGCGCCGCCGCCGCAAACTCCGGAGCCCCGCTTGGAAGCCTGTGCCTCGACGGCATCGCTCTTTCTTTATGCCCAGGACTCCGTGATTTTATGCCTCCACCATGATACACTGGCGGTGGAACGTCGATTTCAGAGCCACCAGGAGAAAATCGACTTTATTTCAGTGGACAACGTCAGTGAGCGGGGAGCCGGGAGGCTGGTCGTGAGTTACGATGTCGGACAGACGGCAATCGTCTGGGATATATTCACCGGCACGGAAATCGCGCGATTTGCGTCCTTTGAGCACTTGACAGTGGCATCGTGGATGCGCAATGGCAATGTTGCATTTGGTAAGAAAGCTGATTCAACCTATGTTTTGACTTGCTAATGCAGAATTATACAGGCAATGGGAAAGGCGAGGTTATTCTCTTCGAGCCCTCGACTTCGGAGCATATCTCAGCGCGCACCATTTTTGATCCTATCACCGCGCTGGCACCCGCAACGGATTGTCGGACTTATGCCATTGGGTACCAGAATGGATCGATCTTGATTGCGACTCTTCTCCCCCAATTCACTATCCTTCACACATTAACGACTTCTCGCGGGCCATCCCCAATAATTTCTCTCGCCTGGCATGCTTCGTCCTCAAAACAAAAATCAGACATGCTGGCAACGCAATCCTCAAACGGTGACCTCAGAGTCTGGAGTGTGGCGAAACCACCAGCGAAGGAGGCGCCTCGAGTAATTAGGGTTTTGAAGCGATCGGACTCGAGCTCCGCCGACCCGAAATGGATGGCATGGTCTAAGAATGGCAGAATCATTCAATACTTGGAAGGGTCAGTATTATGATCATCCCCTCATTAATGCTCTCTTAACATGTTCTTGTTCTAGTGAAACTTGGTCGTGGGATGTTCGGACAAAGCACGTCTCGTACGACCCTGTCCCTACAATAGAGAACGTGCAAGGCATTGCAAACTACGGTCCTACGGCAGCGCTCTTCACCATCGGCCCTCATGGTTCGGTACAGCAGTATGACGTGGAAACACCGGCAATGGTAGCAAATGTGCAGCATGTCCCCGTTAGCGCGCGATCAGCCGCCTCCGAAGAACCCAGATCACGGCACTTGCAAGATCCACCTGATATCCGAGAACAGAATGGTCGTCGGACTCCGTTCAAACCCAACGGCGTCGATAAACAGCAGCGGACAGATCTGGCCAGCCCTGCCTCATCCCGCAGTCGAACCAACTCCGTCAGTTCCAAGGAATCTTCGGAGAAATACCCGACTCGGCCTTTTTCACCACCGAGTCGGTCTGGTCGGAGTGCAACCACTTTCTCCCTGACATCTACTGAAAGAGACACGCCGCAACCATCAGCTTCCTTCGCCTATGCCTCGTCGGTGTCTATGTCCTCTGTCAAAAGTTCTCGTGCTGGGTCGCGATTGCGCAATGAGGTTCACCTCAGCCCAGCAGAGAGAAATATCATTGACTTGTTCCCCTTTACTCGTGCACGTCTGAATGATGTGCCTTACAAACAACAACCGCCCATGGATGAATCCCATTTAACCCCAGATGATCTCCGCCGGCAAATGCTGAATGTGGTCTTCGGCTGGAAGGGGGATATTGAAGAGCTGATTAGAGATGAGTGTAAGTTCTCATTCTTCCTTCTATACTACATCTATTAACCATTTGCAGTGAGCCGCCACGCTGTGGGCAGTCAAAGCGCCATACTGCTATCGCAATGGCTTGGCGAGACGGACTCTGACCAAATGGCCTCGATGATCATTCCTGGGGCAGTGACAACTTCCGACTGGATGCTGTTGGCTTTAAGTCAGATGAGTGGTCAAACACAGGCCAACAAAGTTGGCCAGGCTTTCGTGCAGAAGCTTCTTGAAATTGGCGACATTCATACTTCAGCATCTATCCTACTCGGTCTCGGGGACAGCAATGATGCTATTGAGGTCTACGTGTCTCGTAATCACTTTATGGAAGCCATTCTCATGACATGTCTTCTGATGCCAACGGACTGGCAACGACAATCCTACCTGGTCCGCAGATGGGGAGAATATGTTGTCTCTCATTCCCAGCAGCAACTTGCAATCCGCTGTTTCATGTGCACTGGCGTCGAACCTTCCGAACCGTGGACATCTCCAGGTGCCCAGCAAGCTGCCTCATTTGCAGATATCCTCGGGCGATCACCTCTGGCCTCGCCTGAGCCACCCCGGTCCAACAGCGCGAATCGAATGGCTCCACCCTCCCGTCCGAGATCAGCATCTAACCAGAAACCATCTGTCAAGACTCCAGCGCTGAAGCTGATTACCTCGTTTGATGCTCAACCGAGCCAACGGTTCCGCTTCCCCGGATTGAAGTCTGATGACCGCACACCAACAAATGCGCCTGGCGTTACTCCTATCGCGGAGTCGGCTGTTGCTGACTCGGCCATTTCTCCTGGAGGATTTGGGTCATACAAGCTCAACAATATCCAGAGTCTCAACCAAGCGATGACCTCTCGGACTAGCACTCCGGCTTTCAACAGACGCCGCCTCCCTTCCATTGGAGAAACCCCGGTGGATGTGCATCCTCCATCATTCTCTCGCTCAAATTCTTACAGTCAAGGCGAGTACACATCAACATCGGAGAACGAGGAAGCCAGTGGTCAAGAGCAGAGCCGTGATGGTCAAGAGTTAGATGGTGGCCTACTGACGCTACCATCTGCGACATACAATCCGCAGCAGGAATCGCAGGGCCCCAGTCCACAAACGGCTGTACAGGCAAGCGACAAATTTGCGTCTATCAAAGGACTCCCCTCGCCTGCCCCTGGTGTGTTTGATGCATTGAAGGAGTACACAGATCCCCGGAATGGCTCTCGCGACCGCAAGCCAGATGGACTCCAGATTGAGTTGCTGCATACCGAGCAGAGCCACTCGGACTCGCAAAACCGCTCTGACCTGATTCCCAGTGCGAAGAGTACCTCAACCTTCAACAGCCATGCATCGAACAAGAGTCCTAGTGTCAGTGGCAGAAGTATCGACCAGTACATCAGCAGTTTAGATGAGGCAAATTACCATGCGAGGAAACATCGTGATCATCGCAGTCACGGCCGTGAAAGACGCAACGCAGATGAAACAGGCAGCCAGAGCTCGCGCATTCACCGTTCTCGTGAGCCATCTCAAGAAACTCGCGGCCGCAATGATCGCCGATATATCCAGCCTGCTAAACGCTCTCCCTCCTCTCCGATCCCCATGTCGCCCGAAGAGCTGGCTCGATACCACAACGAGAAATTCGAGGAAGGCCAGCCATCCAAATCAAAGTCTCGCGCAAGGAGTAGAAGTAAGATGCGGAAAGGAACCTCGCGCACGAGAACTCCCTCCGAGCGCCACCGGAATCGTTCGAAAAGTCGCAACACTGCGAGCCGCATGCCTGGAGATAGACGTGAGGCATCGACACGAGGTCGTAGCATTGATCGAGATGGGTCGAGCAACCGTTCTCCATCCTCGCCACTTCCCATGTCTCTTGTCCAGAACGACAACTTGAAGGGTGAAGGTGCGGAGGATCCTCTGAGACTAGTTTCTAGTAATCGAGAAAGATTACGCAGTCGCCAACGGAGCGCCAGCCGGCGTCGAGCCGAGCGAGCGACGAGTGCCAGGCCAGAACCATCGCAAGAGGCAAGAACTAAAGTGTCGCATCATCGATCTCAGTCGGAAGTTGAGCCAGGCATGGTTGTGCAGCCCGCAGAGCCGGAGCTTTTGAGTGCGAAGGTCTTTGGGCAAGAAGTCGATGTCTTTGCCAATGGGAACCCCCAAGAGCCGTCCTATCCATCTGCAGATGAATCCCAAGATGCGGTTTCGCCAACAACGCCATTCGTCACCCTGGCTGAGAAGAAACGGAGAGAGCTAGCAGCTGCTGAGCTGGAGGCAAGGCGACTATCGCTGGCACGCAATCCCTCAGCTCCCAACATCCCATTCCCAGGTGAACTACAGAGCGCTCGCAGCCCAATTCTTGAAGGCTCCCCTGCTTCATTCCAGGGAAACTCATACTTCCCGCGTGTGCCTTCTCGCAACCAGATTCCCAAGGCTAAAGGATCACCGGAATCCCAGAGCAGTTCCGATTCTAGTTCTTCTAGATCTGGTGTTCCAATTGGTCTTCCGGCAACTCCCAGGGCAATGCGGCATCCCAAGTATGGCGTTGGAACCGAGGCGGAGCGACCTCCCTCTGTTCCTAGTCTACCAGCAGACAGTTCTATTTTCCTGGCCGATTCCAGATATCAGTTCGAAGCCGAGCGGATCGGCCGGTCTATGTCCGTTCCCATGGCGGAATACCACATCCCCGCGGCACCGGAGATCCCACAAGATGTCCCCATGCACCCTCACTTCAACCCTTCTCTCCCTCGAAGCCGCTCTGGCAGTCGCAGCCGGAACATGGGCCACCGCCGCACCAGTTCTGGCGGCCATTCACCCGGCACATCGCCGCATGTGACAGTGAGCATCGAAGAGACAATAGAGAACGCAATGCACCAGCAGGGACGACCATCCGCACGACAACCCGAAACCATCCCACCTCCACCACCACCCCCAATCCTGCCCGAGCTGCAGCACCTGAACACACCTCCTCCTCCACCTCCTATCCCAGGTGACAGGAACAACCTCGGCTCCCCGCGCCAATCATCCGCAACTATCGACATTGCCATCGACAACGAGAACATGGGAAGGCTCCTCCCACGCGCCGTAACCGCTGCTCCAGCCCTAAACGGGAATGAAACTCGTCCTTCTCTCGGCCGGCGCATGTCTTTTGATCATCGCCGGAACCGCAGTGGGAATAACGAGAGCTTCACTAACAAGCTGCGCAGCTTGACCCGCATGCGCACGAACAGCCGCAGCATTGAGCCGGGAGCTCTGACTAGCCTTTCGCCTGAGATGCCGTATGAGACTTTCCACTCTCAGAATCAGAGTTATGGGGTCTAGATGACTTCTTTGATGTTTTCTTTTTCCTCCTCTCTCTCTTACTTTACAGGGTTATTGAAGAACACGAAAGTCAGATCTCTCCTCTAGTTTTGTTTCTTTTCTTCCGTTTGATTTTATACCCTCTCTCAATTTATCCGACGCTTTCCTACTGTCTTGATGATATTCATTGCTTTTTTTTTTTATTCAGTTACGCAACAGATCCGGATATACTTCCCATTATACAGTCGATCATTGGAGCTACTTTTCCTTGGTTGTGCCTTACTTTCAGCCTCTACTATATATCGCTTTCCCAAAATTGGGGACGAGATTGCCTCGCGGCTTCCGTCCACTCTTTTCTTTTTTGTGATCTCTGTTGTCTATTGGGGTACCGTATCTATATTAGCTCTGCCTGCAAAGGATAATAATGACAATGTTTCTGCATCTCAGGATTTGAGGAATTCATATAGATACTAATTGTATTACTTCTATTTTGGGAGTGTGAGGCTTTTGCTAAAACGCTCATATTATGCAGATCTCTGCAGTGTTTTCTCTGCCATAGCAGCGCCCTTCCTTAAACGGAGACTATGATCCAGTCTTGCCCAATATCACACAATAGGTGGGTCTAGACAACGTCGCACGATTTCTTCCTTTTGTCATCAGAAACACAGGAACAGCCTTCACCCGATTGGAATACCTATCTGTTCTGGGTAAACAAGCCGCAGTTGGAGTTGTTTGGTGTCTCCACTCTGTAGCCCGGATGTCGGCATATTCCGCAATAAAAGAAGATCGTCGCCGGAATGATAATGCGGGGAGATTTACAATTCTTTGTCCCCGGATAATCGTTTAAGTCATGTTTAGCGGCTTACGCATAAGAAGCCACTGTGACGAGTCACGGGCAATAGTGCTCGGTAATTGAGCAATATGTCCGGGTAAAATATACCATATGGAATTCATCGATACCGCATTCTACGAAGGGAGTAGAGTCGTATTTAGACACGGATTTAGAGAAACTACAAAGCACTAAAATGGTCACTATGAAACCATGTCAGAGGTAATAGAATGCCATGTAACCGCAGCTCTTTCCCAAGCCTAACCCCCGATTTTCATCTATCGCAGAGTCTACATCCCAAACAGCGTGGAAATATTCTCGATGAGATACTGGATCGCTTCGGCGCGCCAGGTGTCCCATTCGGGCTCTGCAAGTCCTGGTAACGACGACAGAAATCGGAGGTTGGTACCATAGCCTTCCTCATCACTGCTAGTGCTGGCCGCATATGGTTGCCACTTGGGGATAGCAACGCCATTATGACTCTTGATACCGTGCTCGTTGGGGTCAAGATCATGGACGAAGGAGATCCACATGCGACCTAAAGATCACTGTTAGCTTTGGAAAAAGCAACCAGCCTGTGTTAAAGATGGTGTATGGAAACAAGAGAAAGCTATTGCATGAATAGAACGAATTGAGGAAAAGAACGATGTCTTACTCATTAGTCGAGCAAGCGCGTAAAAGTCTTGATTCATGCCGGCGTATTCGCTGCCCGACGGATACCACGGTGCCTCATAGCCAAATCCCAGTTCATCATATTGGACGAGCTGTACCTCAGTGAAATGGGTTGTGCCAGTTGTGTCAGGAAGTCCTCCAATCGGCCATTGGTCGTAGTGGTATGTGTATACAGGGACACCATGTTTTGTCCACTGTTGCGCAGCCAGTCGGCGACCCATGTGAATTGTAAAATCTCCACTAAAAGCAGCCACGCGTTTGTATTGGGTCCCAAATGTCGAGTTCATCCTCCCATGGTACGTGTGTGGAATGCCAATAGCTGGGATGTCAGGATATAGTGCCGAAATAACAGGCAATGCCGCAAACAACGCTGTGGAGTTCACGATTTTAGACTTGACAACATCTAAGAAGGATGTGTCGTTTGGATAGGAAATTGTGGGCAAACCACCGATATAAGATGCGGCTCCAACAAACTCGGTGCCTTCATCCGTGTTGCTTCCCGTCAGTAACGGCACTTTGAGAAACTGGCCGCTAAGCACTTGGGCCGAGCTAGCTGTCTCCAAGAAATCGCCATCATAGATTGGCCCGAAGCTTCCTCCCGAGGCGTTAACTGCTGAAGTGATGTTGGCCGAACTCACACTCCGCAAACAGGCCACAGGGTTCTTAGAACCCGAGCACCCAGTGAGATCAAGAACGCTGTTCCATGACTCTAGCTGCGTGGCATTGGATGGTGTTTGAAAACCTAGGGGTCCACCGCTGTCAGCAATAGCACCACGGAACAGCGAGTCATTGCGTCCACCGTATGCTAGCAACTGGGACCCCACGCTGCCTGCACCAGCAGATTGCCCCCAAATAGTGACTCTAGAAGCATCACCACCAAACGCAGCAATATTCTCCTATGCTACATTTAGCCACATTTATGCTGCTTTGCTGCAGGAGGGAATAAATACTTGGACCCATTCGAGGGCGAGGCGCTGGTCGCGCAGGCCAAGATTAGCCAAGCCCTGTTCCCGAATGACGGGCCCTCCGAGGAAACCAAAGCCGTTGAGACGGTAATTGATGTTAACCGCAATAATAGGCTTGCCCATTTTGACCGAGTTGTCTACCATGAAGGTCAGATTGTATCGAGGGTCACTATTGCTTCCTTGAATGAAGCCTCCTCTGAGTCACGATCAGGATTAGATAGTTACTCTTCAAGCCGTATCAATTTGATACGCACCCATATATCCAGACCAGTACAGGCAGGCTTTGGCCCTCGTAGCCGGATGGTCGATATACATTGAGAGTAAGGCAATCCTCAGAGATAGGACGGTCAATTGTGGCAGCCTGGCATCCCAGCGGGAACTGTTAGCTTTTGAGCGAGGCCTGGGTTTGAAGCTACTGGTTTTTTGGAACCAGAATTTCCTCAGATCTTGGGTGGGACATACAGAAAACTGAATACAGGCCGGCTGAAGGTGTGTCGCATTTCGGTTACCTGTAAAAGAGGAATTGAGAGAGGCTGGTGGTGCCAGACGCAAGTTTCCAACAGGGGGCTGAGCAAAGGGAATTCCCAGGAAGTAGTCAAGGCTGTAGTGACTGCTCCGAATGCCTACATACGTCCCGTTTCTCACGGTTACCGTTGGCTGCTTTGCTTTTGCTACATCCTTTTTCCCAAAGATCGCTGCATCAGCCAGAATGCCTAGGAATAGCATTCCAGCCAGTATCATTTGAAAGGCAGATGTCGCCATGGTGTGTGATTGAACCAATGCAGTAAGCAGTACCAGTTCGCTGGCTTTGAATTGGATTCGGTTGCTTGCCGTGCTGGAAACAGCAAGCATCTGAACATTTATTTACCCCTCTGGGTAAGAGATTAAGCCAAATTCCCCGTTTAATCAAATATCTATGGAGTTACGTTTACCCAGCACTAGTTAGGAGAGCAAAAGTGCGGAGAGATTTGCGGGGAAGTGGCCCTAATGCGCACGTCACCTCGTTACGGAGTACCTACTACCCGTTTAATAACGAAGCAGCGTGAACTAATGGCTGGATAGATTATACCGGTTAGAAGCTTCGGCATTTTATTAGTTCTCCGAAGACTGTTTTGGTGTCAAAACCATGGGAGATCACTGAGCTGTAAAGTATACTTCGCTGGCGCATACAGATCATACTACAGAGATAAACGGAGTGGCGCCAAAATTGAGGCTGGTGTAAGGTCTGTGAATACATGGTTGAAGTTGTACACCTGGAAGAAGGACTATGATCCCCAGCCCCGACCTCGCCGCGGCCCATCACTGGGAGCATTCCTCTCGGCGTCCATCATCCGATCGAATTCAGCCTGAGCCTGCTCCCGCTCACGGTTGCGCTCACTTTCATATTTATCGCCCTCCGATTCCAAGTTCTGCTGCGAGGGGAGCTGCGATGACCCCTGCCGATACTGGGGTCCGGAGGCATTCTGTCGTCTGATCCGATCCCAAGCACTGCCACCGGCCGTGTCATTGGGATTGGTGCCCCGGTACTCTGGAGCCGTGGGGCTATTGTCGTCATCACCGAAGAAGTAGTCGCCCCCGGATCCGGACTCATTGCCCATGCCCTGTGTTGCTGTCGGGCTGCCGTTCATCCGTGGCCGGCGGGAGGCGTCTGGAACAGAACGCGGCTGATCCGCCGAGCGGGACTGTTTGCTAAACTCCGTGGCATTGTACGTCATGTCGTTCTCTGTGGGGGAAGCATTGTACGGCGATGAAGATGAGGAGGAAGGATTCAGCGAGCCAGGAGAACCATAGCTGTCTTGCTCGTTATCATGGCTTTCGGCATAGGCGCCCGCGGTATCCTCAGCGGACTGTCTTTCGCCTCCTTCTCCTCTAAGCCGGCGCATCTTTTGCATTTGTAGCTCATAATTGCGCTTCCGCCTCTCCTCGGGCTTCTGCTGCGCCATGTCCCTCCTGAAATTCTCCAATCGCGGGTCCCCAAGTATGTTCCGAATATAGTTGGATGTGCTGAAGGTGGACGAGACGATAGCGCCAAGCGTGCCCCAGAAAAGCAGCTTGAATCCCGCACGAAACGCAACCTGCCTGAAGCCTGTCCGGTCAGATGCGGCGAAATTCCGTACTGTGGCGAGCAGGTTGGCAGGTGTCGGATCCGCGGGGAACATTGGCGACTTGCGCGCGCTATTGTATAAATAGGCCGTCCCGGCAAACAAGGATACCGGCAGTCCGATTCGCCCGTGGTACAGTTCGCGCGTGCCGTGCTGGACAAATGCGTCCACCTCTTCCTGTGTTGCGTCTCTGCCACATATTACGTATGTGTTTCGCACCCGTTCGGATATGCTAAGTATTGCCCGCTTATTCCAGAGCTGATGGCCAAAGAATCCAAAGTATAGTGTGAAATAGTCCGGCCGGGTCATAAGCTCTGGCTTGATCTTCAGCGGCCGGCCGAGAGCTCCGTATACGACGGTCGAAGGTTCGTCCGAGGCATTGTTGTTGGAGAACCCGCCTGCTTGCGGGGAAGCGTCGTCGAGAACCATGGGGAGTCGGTTCTGGGAATCGTCGAGGGTGAGCGAGCACTGTCAACCGAGGTGGACACTGGAGAAAGAACGAGAGCGAGCTTGAGCTAGACATGACGTTGGAGCTGACTCAGCATTTCTATCAAACACTGATCTAGGACTTTACTTCGAGGGAGAAGTTACGTTGCTAACTAATTAAATTCCTCATTTAATGACAAATACTCCGTTTTTTACCACTTCTCAACATACGGCCTGAGGTCCAACTCAAAAGCAAACGTCGTGCGTGGCTGGGTATGCAGATGCCAGTAGGAATCCGCAATCTGGATGAAAGATGAGCATACAATCCAATGGAAAAACAATCAAGGGGGAATTCCTACCGCGTCAGGGCTTAGTTTCCCATCCTCATGCGCAACAGTGTAGGCCTTGGTGCGGGGGATATCGATGATGCCGTCGATGATTGTATGCGACACATGGACTCCCTGCGGCCCGAACTCGCGGGCAAGAGATTGGGCCAAAGCGCGCAAAGCAAACTTAGCGGATGCAAATGCGGCGAAATTGGCCGAGCCCTTGATGCTCGCGGTGGCGCCGGTGAAGATCAAGGTGGGCGGATAGGGAGATGTGCCTTTAGCTTGGAGAAGGAGGGGCAAAGTATGCTTGGCAAATCTGAATGCGCCCGTTCTGTGTATATGTTCGGTTAGTATTCGGTCTGGTTGTGTAGTAAGAAGCGAACAGAATGTGCTTGGGTGAATACATACGCCTGCGCCTCGAGCGAAGTCGAATACTCTTCCTCCGTCACCTCCAGGAACGGCTTCCGTGAAAAACTACCGCTGGAATTGAACACAGCCGCAGCTAGTCCAGTGCCGGGGTACTTCTGTGCGATCTGATCAAAGGCGGCCTTGACGCTGTTGCTGTCGGAAAGGTCGGTGCTGATACCCAGGGCTTGGCCGCCACTGGAGTTGATCTCCTTGACCACTGGTTCGTAGCTCGAGGGGCTCCGAGCTAGAAGTACCACCGGATAAGTTTTGGCGAAAATCCTAGCGATGGAAGCGCCCTGGTGGGATGTTAGAGATGGGTAGCACAAGGAATGAACACGACTTACAGTGCCGGGGCCAACGCCGGCGATAACTGCGAGTGTCTTGGATGCCATGATTGAAAGGTAATGTCCGAAATGAGAGGGTGGGTTGTTGGTTATAAAAGACAGCTGAAGCTTGGTGATCAATAATCCTCGGCCTGAGACCAAACGCCGAGCTTAGAAATGCGACAGGTCGATGATATCATCGGTTGGAGGGATGGTGAAAGTTCAACAGACGCGAAAGGAGGGTAAAATTTAACTGTGACACTAAAAGTCAAGTATCTTTTGTAATGAGCAAAGAGAAATGATATGTATAGGCCGAGAAAGAATAATAAATCCTGGATGTCGTCGTATATCGTTGCTGCCTCAGGCCGCCAGATAGATAAGATGCGCGACGCCGATTATTTTCTTCGCAGCGCAAGCCCGCCATGGACCAGCCAGACCCCTTGCTGAGCGAGCTCTGCTCCATCTGGTATGCTCCTCCACTATCTCTTCTCCTGCTATACCGACTAATGCCCTCAACAGCCACACCAATCCCCCAAAATACCGCTGTCCGCGCTGCGCAACCCGCACCTGTTCTCTACCCTGCACACGACGCCACAAGCTCTGGTCCCAATGCTCCGGAGTGCGTGATCCAGCTGCTTACCTCCGGCGCAATGAACTAGCCACAGAATCCGCCTTTGACCGCGACTTTAACTTCATCACGGGAATTGAACGCACGCTCGAGCGCGCTGGCCGAGTGACAGAGAACCGGGGCATCGAGCTTCCGCGGGGCCACTCGGGGGACAAAGCGGAGACGGATGGAGCTCCAGGAGCAGAAGATGCAGCTCCGGGAGGGAAACGGAAATACCCTCATCAGGGTTTGGTCAAAGGCGAAGCTGGGTTCTTGCGCGGCGCGGAGGCTGGCGGCGTGAATGTCATTCGGGCGCCGAGGGGGATGACCCGAAATAAGCAGAATGCGTCGCGGTGGCATCCTAAGTGAGTTTCAATCTATTTCTTGGGGTTTGGAATATGTGCTGACATTGATATGAAACAGACACAAGTGCCTGAATTGGTCCGTGGAATGGATCACGGCAGCTGGGGAAAAGATCGTTCGGGCCTGTATCGAGACATACTGTATTGCCGAAGCATACGATCGCGTCTATCCAGCTCCAAAAGAGGAGAAAGCTCGCCCGGGACAGGTGAAGGAAGAGCAGGATGTCGGCCAAGAACCTGCTGCGAAGGACGATGCAACAGCACCAGAAGCTGCTTCATCTGCACTAGCCGAATCGACTGCGACCGTAGTGCCACATCCTTCAAGCTCAGAGCCTGCCGATACTGGATCAACAGCAGGGAGGCAGCCGGCAACCGATCAAAGTATAAGACCTCACCGTGGTCTCTATTTCTACCTCCATCGACCACGAACCACGACCAAGAAACCCGTCCTAATTCCTTTGTCCCCATCCGCAAGTCTCACCGCTGCGCTACGCGGACACACCGTCCTTGAATTTCCCACGATCTACGCGCTTCCAGACTCTCCGGTAACATTGCTTGCAGAAAAAGAGACATCGCCGTTTCTCTTGGAAGAAGAGTATCTGCGCACCGTGGGCCCTCAAGACGCCGGTGAAAATCAATTGCAGGACGTTTCTGCGGTGGACGACGAAACTACTGGAGATTTGAAGTCGGTCGATTTGCGGAATGTGGACGAGAACCAGGTGATGGAAGTGCTCCAGCAGGATTTATTTGAACCGGTTCCCGAGGAGGCAGGACCGTCATGATCACGGCTAGTCTGCTATGGATTTAATCTGTACAGTAGAACCATGATAATCAATGGAATAGTTAACGGTCCAATGTATACCTCATCTAGTCTGCTCATTTCAGGCATCATTTCCACATCAGGCATCAACCCAGGCCACCCTGGTAATGCCAATACCAAAATGACCGCGATGCCGCCGGATACGGGCTACTGCAGGTGAGGCGCCACCATTCTCGCTGTTGGCTCCCTGTTGGCCCCAATCAGAGGCGGGTGGCGACCACCCTAACGCAGCTGAACTCCAGTCAGGCGGCCCACTAGCGCGGGTCTGTGCGATGTATCCGTCTTGTCATAAGGCGTCATTTATGCTCCCCATCTCCTTTTCCCATGGCCAGGCCTGGAAGATGAGTCAAAAAAAATCCAGAAAAAGACACAGAGAAGGGCAGAATTAACAGGAAATGTCTCTGATTGGAAATCGACCAGTATGGCCGTCAAAAGCGTGCTAAGTGAGTCAGAGAAAGGGTGGTGTTGCACATCCGACCGCATGAAAGAGCCCGGAAGGGGGTCTTTGCCCGGGTCCAAACTTGTCACCCGGGGTCCTTTGCCCTGCCCAACTACTGTCGTGCTCACCCAGGCGCCGCCTTTCTCTCTCCCGCGCCCTCTCTATCATCATCATCACCATCACCCCGACCATAACACCTATAGCCATGGACGACCTCATGGTATAGGCAGGCTTCGTAGAAGCGCCTGTCCGCCTTATCCCTTGATTTCCGAATATGTCCACCGTGACCTCCCTCGAACGGAGTCTTTCACGGTCCTCCCACAACTCCATGTCCAGTCCACGACTCTCGGCTCCGCCTGAGGCCACACCGCCCGATCTCTCTCTCAACTTGCTCCATGATCGGATCAACCAGCTGGATTCGCGGGTCTTTGAACTACGAACTACCGTCCTGACTAAAGATGGTTATACCGACCGCCGCAACCGCGAAGACCAACATATACGCCAGGAGTTTAACAACCATGATGCTATCTCTCAGCGCATTGATTTGAATGTTGCCGCTCTGCGCACAGATGTCGACTTTCTTAAAGCCGACGTCAAGACCGATTCGAACCAAATTAAAAGCGACGTCAACTATTTGAAGACTGAATCAAATCATATCAGAACCGACGTCGGCCATCTCAAAACTCATGTGAATCATCTGAAAACAGAGTCGAATCATATTAAAAGGGATGTCAACCATCTCAAAACGGACGTCAACCATTTGAAGACTGAATCGAACCAAATTCAAAGCGATATCAACTATTTGAAAACCGAGTCGAACTATATCAAAACCGATGTCAACCACCTTCAATCTGACGTTCAGCATCTCAAAACCTCCGTCTTTCAACTCGAACGCAAAGTCGATCATCTCCAGACAGATATTGGCGAGATAAAGAACCGTTTGAGGTATGAGGGACGCAAGCACTGGAACTCCATTTCCAATACGGCTACCGCCAACATCGCGATAATCCCATATATTAGCGAGGACGGTGTCGTAGAATGGCCCAATTGGTTTCCAAAGACCGTGTGGCGGTTTTGGCGCCTGAAACAGCCAAGTCGAGGTAAGCAAGAGGTCTCATCAATGTGTATACCCCTTCCAGGCCTAACTTAATATCAAAAGTGCACCGACTCGTTGAACTCGCTGAGTTTTATCAACTGGGCGGTTATGAAGATTGGACACGAATACAGTCCGATCACATGATGTTCGATGTCAACAGTGACAGCGATTCCAGCGATGAGGAGACCCGGCTTAGTTTGACTCGCGAGGAAGCAGTCCGCCAATATCCCGAAGCAGCTCTTCAGGCACTAGCCGCAAAACTGGGACTAGTTTATTCCAGTATTCGCAACGAGATGGGAGAGGGTCCAAATATGCGGATCCATCGTCCTTCCAAGCGTCAACAAGAGGACATCTCTGCCGCCGGCTCCAGACGTCAAACCAAGCCGGGGAAGATGCCCCGCGTCTCTCCACCCCGCCGTCAGGACGTAGACCCCAATGACCCTCTATATCGTTTAATCACTGAGGGTTTTCCGGAGCAGTCCTCAACAAAGTCGCCTGTATCCGAGGGTGATGAGTTGGGTTGGGATGCTTTTCCAGATGTCTCTGAAAGCGCGAAGAGCAAGCTGCGCGCTTTGGATCCTCAGGATGTCCAATCACTGCTCCGCGCTCTGGAGAAGGGACGTCTCCAGCTCAAGCCCAGTGGTTCTGAAGTCCACGGATCTCCAACGAGATCCAGGGCAAGCCAAAGCCATCACAGTGTTAAGTCAGTCAAGTCTGCCCCGCAGGCAACCCAGGCAACATCTTCCCACAAGGCTCCTGCAGGAGCCAGTGCAAGCCATCACAGTGTCAAGCCCGTTCCACAGGAATCCGCGGCAGCTCCGACGCCCGGAGTCCCAACCTCCTTTCATGATACCAACCCTTTCACTGTCACACCCCCTGTCTACTACGCCCAAACTTCACATCATACTTCCTCCGACGCACTTTTCGCGCCGACCCCCAACATCCGTCCGGAAGCTTCCTCCCCTTCCGACAGTGTGTCGACACCTGAATCGGAAGAGCCCTAGGAGCAGCAACTTTTGACATGACCGTCTTAGCGCTTTTTTGTCGATACCATGCATTGTCTCCAGCGCTTCGGCCTGGTATAACATATACCATATACATACTCTTGTACTTTTTAGCATTTTGCAGCGGGTTTTGCATTCTGGATGGATTTTGAATATTGCGTGTGATTTGGTTCAATACCCCTGGCTCCGCGCATTGGATTGTGTTTAGCGTGTCTTTTTGCGATCAATCTTATTGACTGATCGACGGCACAGATATGTCCCGTCGATCGTGCTCTGAACTTGTCTCTGGCCCAACGCGTATGACTTCCGGATCGTGTCGAACCCGACGATTGAAAGATCCCACGCCTCTAATCTAGACTCAACCCGTGCATCGTGTGCATTTGTCGCTACCGATGACAGACATAAGCTGACCATGGAAACAACTTTATTTACCCCGGATTTGTACATGGTGAACCCAACTAACAGTATAAACAGTCGCCGCTCGACGAGGCCCTAATGCTCAAACAAACAGGAATTTCTCGACTAGACCTTGAAATTCCGTTGCTGAGTCTGCACGCTCCTCTCCTCCATCGACTTGCGGCATGAGTCCACGGATACCAAGGGAATCTGGGCAAAGATGCAAGCTCGTCATTTGATAGCTAGATGAATAACCCATTGCTCAGATTATAACTTCAATTTTCTCACTCCTAGTGATATCTTTTCTCTTTGTGTGGGTTGCGCCTGCCAGACTGAATTCATCAGTTCCCTCCTTGGGACTAGTTGGCTTTTCTTTCCTGATGCTGCCATGCCATCCCATCCAAAATGACGTTCAGCATTCTCTCATTCATCCTCACAGTGGCTTTTGCTGCAGCGGCGCTGGACACTACTCATGTCCGTCCTGTCCTGTCGGCACCGATCAACAAAGACGCCAGGCAATGCGATTGTTTCGTGGTCTCCGGTCCTAACCCAGGATACTTCCAGCACTACAAGCTGTGGGACTTTCGCTCCGTCCCCTTGGGCAAGTTTGCCAACTCCACACCCTCCATCTGGCAGGATGAGGACGAGGACGACAGAGATGACTGGGGCTGGGACTCGGAGTGGGACTGGGGTGACTGGGTGGATTATGATGATGACGCTGAAGAGCTGGAGGTCGATGTCACAAGCACTATAGGCGAAGGCGAGAGTCCCGATCCTGACTCCTGGCTGTTCTTCGAAACGCTCTTTGAGAAGGACTGGAGTAGCCAGGGATGGGAGCGTCATCGCACCAAGGATTCCCCCGTGTCCATGGTCAACAGCAAGCGGAACGTCTTCTTCACCAAGGACCACGAGCGAGGGAACAACTTGACCTATCTGGTCCTGCGCACCACCCGCCACACGAACTATACATCGACCGCCGAGATCGAGACTCGGATCAGCAATATCTATCACGCCTCCATCCGCGTGCGTCTGCGGCTGCTCCCCGCCAGCATGACTATACCGCAACCTGTCCAGCCCAAGGACTGGCCTCCACTAGACCCGCGGCAGCATGCCATCCCGGCTCTGAACAACAAATCAACTTCCGTACAGGATGACCGACCAGCCCCTGGTGCATGTGTCGGCATCTTCACCTACCACGACCTGAACACCGAATCAGACATCGAAATCCTAACCAAAGACTCATCGTATCGCGTCCACTATGCCAACCAACCAGACTACGATCCAGTTGCCGACATCATGATCCCCGGCGCAAGCTCAGAGGTTGACCTGCCCTTCGCCTGGACATCATGGTCAACACACCGGCTGGACTGGTTTCCGTCTATCTCGCGGATGTACGTGGACAATCGGCTCCAAGACGCCAAATCGTACCGGGTACCCAACTTGCAGAGCATGGTGGTGATAAACCTGTGGAGTGACGGCGGTGTCTGGACGGGAGACATGAGGCTCGGCGACAGTATTTACATGGGGATTGAATGGATCGAGCTGGCCTACAACAAGTCCTCGGACCATAACAAGGGAGTGGGTGTTCCTGCCTCGCAGCGTCATGGCGGTCACCAGCCCTTCTCGCCCGCAAATCTGTCGAACCAAACCGGTAATGGACGCCCGATGGACTCGACGCATGCGCCAAATGAGCCTGATGATGATCTATCCAAGAAGAAGCAGAAACCCCGTAAATGCAAGAAAGGGAGGAAGGGCCGGAAGTGTCGCAGACGACAGAAGCACCGCAAGGACCATGACCATGACCATGATAATGATGATCATGATGGAGAGAACCCGCAGCCTGATTCATGCCGTAGGCCGTGTGCCATTGATAGCCTTTAGCTTTCCTGGATGACCGATTGGGCTTTGCATGTAACTATCTTTACGCTTCGAAACGGGCGCACACCCTGTATAATTAGGGCTTTTCAGCCGTGAAGTAGAATCCTATCTCAAGAATCAAATCGTCTAACAACGGGGTTAACCTCGCCCGAGGGAAAAGGATTGAGTATCTCATTATGCAAATTGTCACGGTAGATCAAGTACAAAGGAATCAGAAAGAATCATCGTCTCGTTTTCTCTGGATAACGACGCAAGTGGGGGTATCAACTGAATTCATTCAAAACATCAAGAAATCCGCAGAACCAAGACCGTATTTGCAGCGCCTTCCGCCTTCTATGCTGACTATGCCCTTGTGCGCCGGAAGAGAATGTATCAGATGGAAAGAAATAAAGGAAGAGAAAAGAAAACAAAAACACCTCAGACACAATATGCAATGTAAGATGGATAGGATGGGGTGGTGTATGTCGAGGGAGTTGGGTCGAGTATATTGGAGGACGGAGCGAGGTGATGGAAAGGAGATGATCATGCGGTCGACTATACGAGACTCAAAGAAGTGCAATACCCGTCTTCTCGACCGGATCAAACTCGTCCCGCAGTCCTCCGTTGATGAGCTCGGCCACAATCTTCTTGCGGAGCATGTTGATGTCGGCCGCACTAAAGGCGCGGGGGTCGATACCGATGGCGACTGCCTTTGCATTCGAGAGGAGAAATGCGCCACAGTCACTTCCGTTATCCTGCGCCGATGATCTCGATGGGAGTAAAGTCCATTCTTCCTCGTCAAATCGGGCACCCAACTCGCCGCGCAGCCACTCCTTTATGACTTTGAACTGAGCCGCGCCGCGAGCACCCAACGAGTCGAAATATTCGACTGTGCGTTCTCCCGGTCTAACGACCAGTAAGGTCCAGTGGCTTGATTGGTGAACAGGAACAAAGACCGTATCCACGTCTAAGAGCCTTTCGCCGCCAATCTTGGCACGATTGGCCCATCGCCGGACACCTTGATATCCCTTGTCCCGAAGACTAGAATAGAAGAACGAATTAAAGGCATGGTAGCGAGGTGGATCTTGATGGCCGGTGTGGCCTGTCGAGCCGCGAAGATAATCGATAATCAAGGCGATGTAGGCGTTGATGATCTCGTCGTTTAGCCACTCAAGAGGCGTAACGCACGTTGCGATATCTCGGCGGGATATTGGATCCCCAGAAAGCGACATTGCAACCTTGTGGTTGTTCGGCTTTTTCATCTCTTGTGACACGCGATTTAGCCACTCCCAAGAGAGTGGGCGTACTGCAAGCCCTTTCGGGATGATTCTTGTGGGGAGGCGCAGATCACGCTCCTGGGCTTTTCTTTCTTTCTCCAGCCTTTGCCATTGTGATGTGAAGACAGATTCAATCCGACCTGATGGAATGGGTCTCCGTTCAGGGTAGAAAAGGTGCACAGCAGAAACAGGTCGCCCGAAAGGCAGCCTCTCATACGCCCTCGACTGCTCACTCCACGGATCATCCACAGGAATTTCATCTTCCAGGACTAGATGAGGTGGTGTGACTGGATGCACGCGTCTGACTCGTGTGGGCGTAGGAGTGAGATGTCTTGGTCTGCGCGGATGCAGATGTTGTCCGAGTTCCGTTGGGAGCTCAGGAGTTGTGAATACTTCGGGGAGCGCAGAAGTGAGTTCTCCCATATGAACACCATCCTCCCTGTCAATTAAACCATCAACTTCTTCGCGGCGATCGCTGCGTGCAAGGGTGGGCGATGAGGGAGGCGATTCTGGGAATGCGCCCGGGATCGGAGGTGTGCGGTGGTCATCTGAAACTGAAAAAGTCCATTAGACTGCGCTGATGATATCTTTAGTGAAACAAATAGTGGCTCTTACCATCGGAGTATTGGGTAGCTGCGGGGGATTGAGCAGCCTGCCAACTTGCAAATGCGCCAAATGGCGACTGCGACTGCGGCTGAGGCGGGAGCTCGGGTTCCTGTTTCGGAGGAGCCTGCGACTTTCGTCGCCAGAAGAACCCCCCCATACTGATATTTCTGCGGGGGGTTGCCGGTGTCGTGGATGAAGAACGCAAGAGGCGCGAGCTCAAGGGTGTGTCGCGATGGAAGCGGAAGGAGAGATACGGGACAAGGAAAGTAAAGTGAGGAGGGAGGTGTGGAGCAGAGGAAAAGTGGAAGGTTTCATGTCCATCATTGAAACACTGACAAGAAAGAAGCCAGGACAAGAGCCGTAACTGAGGCTCCCCACCTGGAAGATGAATTTAAGGTGAGGCTGCGATGCAAGAGAGACGCGGTCAGCCGTTCCATCATGCAGCTGACTCAGCATGACACGTGCTTCAGGGCTGCCGATCTATACAGGGTCTATATAGGGAGGCAGCATAACAGGTTAGGTAGTGATAATAACAAGGTTATAGTGTTCAATGTTTATGTACAGGCACAGTCAAGAGTAATATGTCCCTGAAAGCGGCCACCTTCCCAGCCCAGCCTGCTGAACTGGAATCAGGCCACGAAGTGACGGGTAGGCTCATGATTCCCCTAGCACCTACCCATGCATCATCATCCATCTAGTAAGTACCGAGTCCCACTCTCTCAAATATGAAGGGAACGACATCGATTACAACGTAGGCAATCCCTGGAAGAAAGACAAACAGTGAGTGGCTGCGTTGGACCAAGATAGGGGGGATTGGATCGGGCTGCTTACCGGTGTATACGATCAGTTTGGTCACCACTTCAACATCGTAACGCACCCGAGGCTTTTTGATCTGCGAGAACACCTCCTTCTCGTCGAACTTTTCGTCATATTGCGGGGACGGTAATGGCGACACCCGGAGGCGGGAGTCCGCGTCGACCGCAGAAACGTGCGGGCTGCCAGTGCCCATCATGTGCTCGTATTCGTCTAGTTTGGATTGTTTCGAAGATGCGACGGCAACTCCGTTAGGTTTGCGATCGCTGTCTGCTGCTGGGGAGGGACGGCGGTCACTCGATGCGCTCTCGCGTCGGCGTTTCCGGCGGTATGCCAAGGTTTCATAGGCATCGGCTTCAGACTGCGGGCCGACTGAGACCGCTCGACGGCGAGGATGACGCATGGTGGTGAGGATGGATGGGATGTCAGAGAAACTAGGGAGCACGTCATGATCTTTCAAATGTGAAGGGATGGTCGTGTATTTCCTGAAAGAGGATTAGCAATAGCTTCTGATGAGAGAGACGAGACAAACGTACGAGGCAGTGGTGAAGAAACGACGGGGCAGAAGAAGTCCAAGTTTCTCCAAGCTGCGGAAGAGAGGAGGCAGCATGCGCAGCAGAGAAGGCTTCATGGTCTCTCGCCAAGCAAAAACACACAGCACGCCCAAGACCAGACGAGCAACAGTCTTGATCAACCCCAATTCATCGAACCGATATGGGATCGAGCCGTCCGCCCAGGCGATGCTGGATTTGGCGAACCTCCAGGAAGCCACGGTGACACCAAGTTCCACGCCTGCGAAAGCGACACTATCATCAAAGCATGGACAGTCGTCCGCTGGCTCCGGGTGGATGCGGACCATCGTGAGAACCACAATGGTGATGAATAGTATCTGTGTCCACGACGCGGACAAGATATACTCGTCGTACTCGAACCCATAATAAAATTGTGCGAGACCGATTGCCGTACCCATGATGCAACCGATAATCACATCAAAGAACCCATGCATCCCGCAGTATAACCGACCCAAGACAATGGACGTGACGTAGAGATAAGTGATCACTTGAAGAAGGAGAGCGGTTTGCGTGCTAAGAGTCGAGTCCGGCGAATGCAGTAAAGATAACGCGTATACGGCGACGGAGACGGCGTTTGTCGAATGGGTGGAGGGGAACCCGTATTCCAGCGCTGCGGATCCGGACATGGTAATACGCTGCAGCGGCGGAGACAGAGGCCGAGGAAGACAGAGCAAGTCTTTGACAAACCCACTGAGAAAGACGCCTGCGGCTAGGATGCGCACCAGTCTATATGTTCCCAGCCGTCAGCCACCACAAATTCTTATGGACCGGGTTGCACCTCCATACTGCGACGGAGACATGTGACATACCCTCGACCCAAATCATTCGACCCGCACCAGAAGAGGAAGGGCAGGAAAACCATGAAAAACGTGTGAGTTCCCAAATTGGCCGTAAAGGCAAAGTAGGAGTCGAGCGCAGGTGTGCGGACCTTTTCCTGCGCCCAGGCCAGATACGGGGTCTCATATCGGATCAGAGGCAGTAGTTTTTGTCGGGGCCAGTAGCGCCAGAGGGGCAGACGGATCGAATCTGGGGTAAGATGGTTAGCGATTCGCCGATAGACAGTATTTGCGACTCGGGTGGCGGGCGTGGTCGCATACAGTGATTGAGGCTCTTCAACCCGGCATCGGGCTGGTCCTTCGCGGCCTCTCCCATCGTGCAGGGGGTTATCGAGGTCGGTATTGGGAGGAATCCATAGAGGGACAGGCTTCGGGCCTGCCTATAGGAACGTCGGACGAGTATCAAAGGAAAGATATAAGGAGTGAACGACAGTTGGCTTGAGGAGATGAGAAGACCAGCACACGATAAGGACGAGCCGCGGCCCCTGATGCAGTGTGGGCTTAGTCAGGGTGGGCCACTCAATGTTGTCGTGTATACTTCACACTAGTAAACAGTGACTGCCCGATGTCAATTGGGATCTATTCTTCTGGTTCTGATCAGATCTTGAATCTTTTGGTTTGAATTGTGGTTCGTGATCGCCATCGGGTCCACCGCGCAATATGGAAGAAGGAACTAGTGTAGCGGGGCGAGATCACGTTTGGCGGAAGTGAGATGAGATCGATTAGCAGCGATGTTTTTAGGGAGTATGAAAAAGGAGAAGAAGAGCCTGGTCTGTGCTACTACTAAGGGCCTAAGGACCTACTTGCGAGCACGCCTTGAAGACGACATACTATAGGTCACATGATGGCACGGGGATTTGCCTGGCACTAAGGTATAACCACCACCAATGACCTTCGGAGAAGAATTCGTGGTGTCCGAAATACGTCAGTAGTAATATAAAAATAGGATGGATCGGCCAGCTGAACAGTGGAGAAGAGTGAAACGCCCCCGGTCCTGGCATCATCGGGCGCGTTGCCATGGCAGCCGCGTAAACACGGGGTCTCGCCGCAACCAAGATCGGACTATCGGGTCTATCGCAATCAAGATCCTGGCGATCCTCTTTCCTCTTCACACTCCTCACCTCTTCTGATCAGTACCAACCAAGAAGGACGACACAATCTCACTTCGTCCCGCATACGCGCGCGCTCTCTGTCTCTCTATCTCTCTCCTCTCCATCCCTCACCACCATGAGCCACATGTACGACGATCAGTACTATGGGCCCTCACATCGCCGCTCTGTTGCAACTCCATCCCCTTCGTCCAGGTCCCCCCGCTACCACAACCAAGGCAACACCGTGCGAGTAAGCAACGGCACTGCCAGCACCAACACCAGCTTTTCTAGCGGCCACATGTCCGAGGCTACCAACATCACACAGCCGCCGGCCTTCTCGAAAAAGTTCGTCGTGGTGGGCGACGGCGGATGCGGCAAGACCTGCCTGTTGATCAGCTACTCGCAGGGATACTTCCCAGAGGTAGGAAACTGACCTCGACCACCACGGAAGACCAGCGCTGACGGCAATTTACAGAAATACGTCCCGACTGTATTTGAGAACTACATCACCCAAACCATTCACCGCGCAACGGGCAAGACAGTGGAATTGGCCCTCTGGGATACCGCCGGCCAGGAGGAATACGACCGTCTGCGTCCGCTGTCCTATCCCGAGACTGATCTTCTGTTTGTCTGTTTTGCTATTGACTGTCCTGCGTCATTAGAGAATGTGGTGGACAAGGTAAGCTCTTTCCTTTTTGATTTTTCCTTGACCATCTAACAAGTCGAATAGTGGTATCCCGAGGTCCTTCATTTCTGCCCAACCACCCCGATCATCCTGGTGGGCCTGAAGTCCGACCTCCGCTCCAAGCGAACATGCATCGAACTTCTCAAGACACAAGGACTCACGCCCATAACCCCAGAGCAAGGCCAGGGAGTGGCCCATCGAATGGGTGCAAGCTACATCGAGTGCAGTAGCAAGGAGATGCGTGGCGTTGACGAGGTGTTTCAGAAAGCGGTCGACACAGTCGTGGCCATTGAAGAGCAAGGCTGGGCCACCCAGCAGTCACATCAGCGCAGCGGCACCAAACCCGGTGGCGGGGGCGGGGGGGTCCAAGGCAAGAAGATCAAGAAGCGGACCTGCAAGATCCTGTAGACCTGCTTCTCGTTCGATCTCTCTTTTCTCATGACCTTTTTTTTTTTCTTTCCATTTGGCCGGCCTACAAGCCTGGTTGCTTTGTCGGCTTGCCTGCGTGCGTCATGATTGTATGTGAACATGTCGCCGCAAGCTGGACAAAGCTAGATATGACTCTTGCAAAACTCTTCTGTTCGACTCTCGATGATGGATGTGGCCCTTTTTTCTTTCTTTCGAAGTTCTGATATTTTTTTCTTTCTTGGGATTGTTTTGGCCTTTTTACTTTTTTTTTCTTTGTTTCCTTTCTTTACGACCCTTGTCCTTTCTTCCTGTCTGATGTCTCTCATGACTTGGGTCTCGGCCAACTCTCCGCATGCATGGGACAGGTGTTCTCGTTCTTGTCTGATTCTACTGTTCTGTTGGCGAATGCGCCCTCCTATGTGTTACTGAATCAATACATTCCAACTTTTGGCCTTATGCGAGTATTCAAGAAGATCGGCTTAGATCGCCAAGTGGAATGAATGTGGTATCTCTCTAGAATGAAATAAAAGGCAATATTAACGCCAGGCCTGTCCGTAATAATCAGTTACTGCTCCTCTCCTTCATATGTACCACCAGACTCTCCCTGCCTTTCCTGCTCCCCGCTACCTTTCTGCCTCCCGGCCGTCTCTTCGCCTTCTCCCTCAGGCCGGCCCATGAAGTTCTCAAATTGCGACCACAGCGCTTCCACAGAGCCAAACTCATTGCCCACCTGCGTCGACGCTGTTAGTATTGAATTTGGATCTTTCTAGACCGCGATCAGGGTGTTGCACGTACTGCGATGACGCTCTCCAGATTCCGATTCAGGCGGTTGATATTCTGTAGGACTTGTTCCATGCCCTTAATTCGCATATATCAACATTAGTACTGGTATGTAGACGGAGCGAGATCCTTCCCATGTGTAGGGAAGCCTTACCAAGGAAATTTCGCGGGCGAGCTCATTGCGCTGCTGCTCAAAAACAGTGGGGGATGCGGTGCGTCCGCCGGAGCCAGGAGTTGACGCCATTCATGCGATTTGGGTCTAATTGACGCGAGTGAGGGAAAGTTGGAAGAGAGCGATCGAAGACGTAGTGGGGGCAGCGCCGATAAGACAACACAGGGTCAGGTGACTGCGTGTCAACACCGCGTCTGATTGGAGAGTTACTGTACATATGCCAGAGTCCTACTTTGAAGGCATCTTTACCTGGTTGGAATAATCGGTGCGATTGTGGAAATCTGGATTTTGGATGGCTTTATATCAGGATTTCTAGATCGCATAGCCCGTCACAAAAATATATACAGAAATGTTCTAAAACAACGTCGTTGATCTGGACACAACGACCCGTCCTAGACTCCCAGTTAACAGAAATCTGCGTTACTGAGTATTTTGAATAAGCAGTTGCATATTCTTCATTTCTCGAAGTATCCGAGGCTAAATACTCCGCGGGGTATAAACATCAAGGCGGTCAGTACCATCTGGCAGTATCGTCACCGCCCCATAGCGGCTAGCCACAAGGATGCACGATTGATAACGCAGAGATGCACACCTCCCACTCTTCCGCTTTCTCTCCATCCATCATCACCACCTCCTTCTCGACCCATATTGATGAGTGAACTCTCGTGACCACCACCGTCTAGACTGCCTTGTTCTGCTACACCACGCAGCGGGGGTTATCGGCACCCCGGGGTTGACCCCACTCAATCTCAGCAGCTGTGACCCGAACCCACCATCCCACCACAGGGAACTGCCCGAGCCGATTCAGCAACGTCTGGTGTGAACATAATGGAGGACTTTAACAGTGAGACAGATAGTGACTACACGAGCTACTGGCGGGACTGGGTAAGTGCATTGCTTTTCTTTTCTTGTTTGCTGCGGCTGGTGCAGAGGTGTGCCATGCGGCTTGGACCATGGCCTCAACATCGCGGCTGGTATTGCGGCTGCGCGCGCCCAATTCGGTCGTTGCCACGACGGCCACCTTGATAAGAGAGGAAACACTTGAGATCTTCTTGCATCCTGCACCTTCTCATCCTCTTCCTTGCTCTCCCACCATTCTTCCAACTCGATCCAGCCAACCTCGTCTTACAACATTGCCAACTACCCTCCTCACCATGCCTTCCCTTCTTGATCTTTTTGATCCAGGCGTGGGTTTGACCGCGTTCGCTGTTTCCGTTTGCCTGAGTGCGGCCTACTACTTCTGGTGCCGCTTCCTGGAGCATCTCAATGACCCCCTGATTTCTCACGGCGACCTCCTGATGGATTTCGTCGTGTGTATCATCTGGCTTGGGTTGTCGCTCATGTTCTCTTTTGCCTGGTTGGAGGGAGTCCGCCGCCGTCTTCATTACCGTCGTGGCGACGATGACCACCATGGATCTCCGTCTGGCACCGGCTTCGGCTCGAGCTCTGGAGCTCACCCTGGCTTCGCTTCTCAGCGATCCAAGGATCAGAAGCGAGCCTCTGGTGACAGAGCTCGCACTCGGTCCAATGCTCATGGCGCACCTCACCGTCGTGTCTCTGTTGCTATCTCTGTTGCGCTCTGCGCTGTTCTGATGATCATGCTAACCAAAACGCTTACTTCCGTCCAGTTTGTATCTTCGCGTGGCAATGAGTACTTCTGCGAGATCGACGAGGATTATCTGACCGACCGTTTCAACTTGACGGGCCTCAATGCCGAGGTCCCGTACTATCAGTACGCGCTCGACCTCGTGACGGATGTCTTTGATCTCGATGCAGACGACGATCTGCGTGAGCAAATCGAGAAGTCCGCACGTCATCTCTACGGCCTGGTTCATGCTCGCTACATCGTCACTACCCGTGGTCTCGCAAAGATGGTACAACTCCCGCGTCACGTTCATAATAATGCCATTTTGATAGATTTTGTGCTAACAACGCGTCCTGGCTGCAGCTCGAGAAGTACAAGAAGGGTGATTTCGGCAAATGCCCGCGCGTTATGTGCGACGGACACCCGCTTCTTCCCGTCGGCCAGTCTGACCTCCCCAACATGAGCACTGTCAAGCTTTACTGCGCCAAGTGTGAAGACACGTACAACCCCAAGTCCTCCCGCCACGCTTCCATCGACGGTGCCTATTTTGGTACCTCGTTCCATTCCATTCTCTTCCAGGTCTACCCCGCTCTCATTCCCGAGAAGAGCATTCGTCGTTACGAGCCTCGTATCTACGGCTTCCGCGTGCACGCCGCTGCGGCTCTCGCCCGCTGGCAGGATGTCGAACGCGACCAGATGCGCCAGCGCCTGGCCGACTTTGACGTCGAGGCCAAGTTCATCGAGGACTCCGAGAGTGACGACGAGGCTTTTGACTACGAGGAGGAATCCCCCCAGGGCGCCAAGAACGAGAAAGTTCTCGGAGACACTGCCTCTGGCCGTATGGACCTCGCTAATTAGCTGAGCAACAAGCACACACTTCGGCGTACGGGTGTTTCGATCGGTGATTTCTAATTGCGATGATTACGAATGATGGTTCTTCTTTCCGCCACATGGATGGCCTTTGAATTTTCTTCTTGATTGTATCTACATTACCTTCGTGTCTACTCCCCACTGGTTACCAGAGGGTTTGAGCGATGACAGAATGAAGAAATAATTCCAAAAACGTAATATCTTCCAGGTAAATAGTATGCTATGCACTCCATGGTGGATGATTATATGCAACGAAAATGGTATCGTCCTACCATCTCTGCCAGCAGGCATGTATGGTCGTCCATGCCCGTGAGATTTTATTCTTCGATATTCTCTCCAAAAGGCCTATCGCAAAGCCAGCCCCATATCCTGCAATTCTCGAAAAGCGAATATAATGGCGCGAGCCAGCTCCTCGCCATTGCTCCAAATCTCATCGTGAGCGCCACTGAGAGGAAGAACACAGACGCGCCTGCGTTTGGACGCCAATTCATCATCAACAGATACCTGTGCGTCAGCGTCTTCCCATCCTCGAAGCGACGCCCGCATCGAATCCAGCTGAACCTCATCCACAAGCTCGTCATCGCTCGAATGCGCCAGGACAGCCAGTCTCCCCACCTTCCATCCACCCTCCACACCATGCGAACCGACCATCTGTGCCGGCGAAACCGCGTCCCACAGTTTCTCGTCTGTCTCAAATGCACCCTCAATGAACTCGCGGTACGCAGAGATCTCTCTGTGTGTATCACGCAGCTTGCGCAGATCGTAGATCCCCGCCACGCCGACGATGGCTGTCGGATGCGCCTTCAGTCGCGGAGGTAGCGAGCCCGGAGACGAGATGACCCTCTCGGCGCCTGTGCCGGGCTCGTTTGCGTCCGTGGTAATCGATTGTTCGCGGTGTCCCGCGACAGCGCCCATGACGGTCTGGAAGGCTAGTGTCGCGCCGCAGCTGTGTCCGACAAGGATGTATCGGGACCCAAAGCCGTATGTACTCTGGAGTAATGTGAGCGCGGCTTCCACGTCGCGGATGTGATCTGGGTGCTTCGCATCACGGAACTCGTCTGATGGAGTGCTTTGCGGATCTTGTGGGTGGTTCGGGTGCGCGCTTAGTCGGTAGGAGATGGAGGCGTAGCCAGCGATTGGGAGGTCGGGAGACTTGCGCAGGATGGACTCGGTGGCATCGAATGCTGCGGAGGTTACGGTTGGGTCACGCCATGCGCCGCCGTGGATGTAGCTGTGTTCAATTACCTGGTCAGCTTGCTTGTTTACTCTTATCGGGAATAAATGGTGGAGTAGAGGGGCAAAGTACATCACCCAGTAGCCGTCCTGGCGGGCCAGCGGAGTGACTGAGATGGTCTGCAGAGCACGATGCCGGCCGTATGTCACGGTCCGGGGCTGTTGCGCGGACATAGCACTGTCGAGATACGATGCGCTAGCGGGTTGTGGTGGTGGTGGGGAAGAATCGCAGCTCCGAGAAGTGGGTTGCCCGCAACACAGCAATGACTAAGTAGAAAATTCTCCAGCCGAGGAAACGGCGCAGTAAGTATGATTGCTTATGTTGGATGTGTTGGACTTCGAATCTCTTTGTGAAGCAAAGGGAAGAAATGATCTCGAACCTGGTAACTGTACTGTATGGAGAGTGCCTATCCAGCGGTACCTGGCGTATGGTATTTTCAGCCCGTGTACGGCACTAAACCCAATCAGGCACCGCTCTGGTCTTTCACACAAACCATTCATCCGTCTGGACAATCACTACTCACTCCCCATCCACCCCCACCAGCACCTGTCGCTATGGCCGAGTATGTGAAATCTGCCCTGGGATGTTAGAGTGTTATACTGATGTCCTTCCAGAACCGAAGCTCCCCTCGCGCTCGCGGCCGTCAAGGTCGAGGCCTTGGTATGGATCACCCCCGGGAAGAAAATCTTCCCTCCCCTCTCCGGCCCACGATACTGATTGTCCGACGCGCTAGGTGGTTTTGAAAATCATTAAGCACTGCTCCCAGACCTTCCCGACCACGGCGACCGGCTCGATCGTCGGTATGGACGTCGACAACACCCTGGAAATCACCAACTCGTTCCCTTTCCCTGTCGTCGAGTTGCCCGCCGAGTCGCACTTTGACAACGCCGCCCCGAACCCAGCGGCCGCCGCTCCCCGCGCCAAGGGCAACACCGCGTACCAGGCGGAGATGATCCGCATGCTGCGGGAGGTTAACGTCGATGCGAACAATGTCGGGTGGTACACCAGCGCCAACATGGGCAACTTTGTCAACATGAACGTGATCGAGAACCAGTTCTTCTACCAGAAGGAGATGAACGAGCGGACAGTAGCGCTTGTGCACGACGTCAGCCGCAGCTCGCAGGGCAGTTTGAGCCTGCGGGCTTTCCGGCTCTCGGAAAAGTTCATGGCCGCGTTCCGGGAGAATAAGTTCAATGCTGAAGAGTATGTGTTACAACGCCACGAAAAGGACAGACAAGGATTGGCATGCTGACCCACTGTACAGGTTGCAAAAGTCCAACATCCGCCACCAGGACATCTTCGACGAGCTGCCCGTGGAGATCCACAACTCACACCTGATCACTTCCTTCCTCCACCAGCTGCAGACCCCCACCACATCGGGTCCGACCGACCTACCGCCTTCGCTGAGCGCACTCGAGTCCAGCACGTTCGCTAAATCCTCCATCCTCACCCCCAACTTTGAGAACCTGTCCCTCAGCATCGACCCGTTCCTCGAGAAGAACTGCGACCTCTTGCTGGACAGCATCGAGGCGCACAACACCGAGACCAACAACTTCCAGTACTACCAGCGCGTGCTGGGGCGGGAGCAGCAGAAGATCAACAACTGGAAGCAGAAGCGCAGCCAGGAGAACGCTACCCGCGCCGCGCTCAAGCAGCCGCTTCTGCCCGAGGACGAGTGGCAGCGTCTGTTCAAGCTCCCCGCCGAGCCCAGCCGGCTGGAGAGCATGCTCAACACCCGGCAGGTGGAGCAGTACGCGCGCCAGGTCGACAGCTTTGTCTCCTCGACCACGGGCAAGATGTTTGCTGTCAAGGGCAACCTGCTGCCCGGCGAGACGGCCAAATAAGTTTGTTGTTTAGATTTTGGATTGCATGACCTTATACCGGCGTAGGGAGGGAAAATGTTCTCTATGTGGGATGTTGATACGACTTCCTGTTTTCTTATATCCATACCGAGTCTTTCCCCAGCTCATAAAGGATACTATGTCTATGTTTCACTCTTAATTTTTCGTCTTTTGTACATGTAGTCTATAGATCTCTAGTAACCTTCATCGGCAACCCTAATCGGGATAGGGCAGTCGATATCATGTGATCAGATATGACTTCATCGGCCCATCATTCCGGATAGCGATAAGCAGCAATGTATAGATCGCGCAAGCTTGTCTCGATGATGTCCGCGTCTGGCAGTCCGTCTCTCCACGGTGGCCCTATCTTTTCTCTATGTATAATAGTCATTCCGACATCTGGGTCGTGAGTTGTCGTCTCCCATTCATCCCAAATCCCTCCCTATAGATCAAAAGAGAGTATATAATTGACTAACGCTACAGGCTGGCGCCTTTGCCGCGGTAATCGTCGACTTCTTCGTCTATCCTTTCGATACGCTCAAAACCCGGATCCAGTCTCCGGACTATGAGAAGGTATTTAAAGATCCGCGCACCGGCGCCGTGAGACGAAATGTCCTCTTCCGCGGTGTATATCAGGGAGTCTGGAGCGTGGTCTTCTCAACAGTACCATCGTGTAGGTTCCCCCTGTTTTTAATCTTCTTGGGTGTAGAATTGATTAAATTCTAACTATTCAACCGTCCCTTACTAGCCGGTGCCTTTTTCACCACATACGAAGCCGTGAAATCCGCGCTCCACAATTCCCGCAAGAACAACAATGGCGATGATACATACGCCAACCCAGGCTCTCCAAATGGAATCAAGCTTCCCTTTACACACTCGCTCCCCAGCCCAATAATCCACGCCATCGCCTCCTCATCCGGCGAAATGGTTGCGTGCCTAATTCTTACACCCGCCGAGGTGCTGAAGCAGAATGCGCAGATGGTCGATGGGCAGTCACCTAACAATAAGGGCAGCAGTACAGGCAACAAAACCGCCATGGGCCAGGTTCTCGCCCGCTTCCGTCGTCATCCCTGGCGCCTGTGGAGCGGATATACAGCTCTCGTGGGAAGAAACCTCCCGTTCACGGGTCTTCAGTTCCCGATCTTCGAGTATGTGCGCTCGAATGTGATTGACTGGCGGAGACGGCGAAAAGCGGATAGAGCTGCTGCTGCTTCTGGAAGTGGAAGTGGAAGTACCGGCACAGATACCTCCGAGCAGAGAGAGCAGCTGATCGAGCGAGCCGGGTTAACGGGCCTCTCGGCCTCGGTATCTGGCACGATAGCATCGATCGTAACGACACCGATTGATGTGATCAAAACGCGTGTGATGCTCTCAGCAAGTGGTAATAACTCCCCTTCCTCAGACAAAGAAGCGAAATCGAAGTCCTCAAAGGGAAAAGGTGCTGCTTCGTCTGAGAAGACAGCTACGAAACAGCCGAAAATGCGCACTCTGGCTGTTGGCCGTGAGATCTATCGAAATGAAGGTGTTCGGGGCTTGTTCAAGGGTGGCGCACTTCGTGCGGGATGGACGGCTGTCTCGTTGAGTATGTATCTGAGTCTCTATGAGGGTGGTCGGTTTTATCTGGAGAATCGGAGGAAGGACCGTGAGGGATTACATGGTGGGCAGCGGGTTGCGAGTGAGGAGGGCGAGACTGTTATGTAGAGAGAGATAGAGCATTGGCCTCGTGTTTATAGATCAATATAAACTATGCTGAATTAAGAGAAGACAAGATATAATTCAGAAACTCGCATAGGACGGTATATAGCATCATGTGGTATAAAATCAATCTCAACTGGAAAAACGAACTAAAAAGAATCAACAAACCGCAGTGTCATAAGAATCATCTCTGTCGTCAAGGGGCTGGCTGACCATCTGGCCATGTATAGAAAGGTCGTTCAAAGCAAATAACAAAAACAAAAGAACATCAAAAACCGCTTCCAAACAAAACAGATGAAAAACACTCTTTTCAAACGACTACCAACTAGAAACCGGTGAGCTTCTGGAACCAGCTTGACCTCTTCGCATTAGAGCTCGGCGGTGGCGCAGGAGCACGACTCCCATACGACCTCACGCGATCACGCTCATAGTCACCTCCACTCCCCGAACCGCTCTTCACGCCCTCACGACGGGGCTCCCTCCGACGGGCAGCGCGCGGGTCATCGACATCCTCATCTGCACCGTACCTGGAAGTCCGGCGGCGGGCCTTGCGGCGAAGAGCGCGACGGGCTTCTTCGTCTGAGGATAGGGAGCGTTCGTTTCCTTCCTCTGCGGCCGCCCCTGCAGCATGCGGGGGCATGTCGACCACGGTTGGCATGATTGGAGGTGGCTCGGGCGGTTCGTCAGCTTGCGAATACACCCACGATGAAATCTTGTCTTTCTTTGGATGGCCGTGGTTCAGACCGCCGGACATTTGGGGAGGCGGCATCGTCTCCGGGATGGCTTTGGACTTGCGACGACGGGATTTGGAGTCGTCTACTGCGCGGGAGGCTCGTGGAGCACGGCGTTCGACCTCCGGCTCATCGGGCGACTGATCATCTGCTGGAGGCTTTTCCTCGACCCGCGAGCGACGGCGTCGGGTCTTAGCAGCCACCTCATCTTCGCGCATGCGACGTCGCTCTCGCCGCTCTGCGGCCTTGGCTTCAGCCTCGCGCGCTTCCTGTTCTTCTTTGACACGACGCTCTTCGCGAGCTGCACGACGAGCTCGCTTCTCTTCACGGCGTCGCTCTTCTTCTTCCTCGCGAGCTTTCTGCTCACGGGCTTCGCGCGCTCGCTCCTTCTCCTTGCGTTTCGCGCGCCGTTCCTCTACGTCGGGATCCCGAGCGTCGGAGACCTGTCGAGACACATGCCGTGCTTTACGCGCGGCTCGTCTTGCTTCTGCTTCTTCGGCCTCGGTGTCGGCACCCCCAACTCCAGGAGCGGCGTCAGTCGTGAATCCTTCGCCGTCGGTGTCTGGTTTGACAGATCTCTTGCGCCGATCCTCGCGCCGTGCGCGTCGCGCTTCTTCACGCTCGGTGTCGTCGCCGCCGCGATAGGAGCGGGATTTGCGGCGCTCTGGCAGATTCTCGGGACGAGCGGTCTTTCTCAGCGAGCCAAAAAGTCCCATCAGTTTACCGGTCTCCTGCTTCTTGGGCGCCGTGTTGGAACGCTTGAGGCGTCGCTCTCGTGGAGGAGCATCGACGAACGCGAGGTCGTCCGGTCCCGAGTGGACCTCTGGGCCGTTCTGTGTTTGCTCTGCATCGACCATAACACCATCTTCATCGTCTGGTTGAGCGCGGGACTGAGAAAAAAAAAGTTAGCGTTAGTCCGCAAGAATCACTCGCGGGGTAACTCACCCCTCTCTTCGACTTGCGCTTCGAGGGCTTGGACCCTCTAGATCCATCTTTGGCAGATTGCCCACCAGCGTCCTCCATGTCGACCATGACAAGATCATCGCTATCATCAATTGCGTATGGATCTCGAGGGCCTGACAGACACAAGATTAGCTACGTGGCACTTAAGGTTAGGCGTAGACTCAAAGCTGACCTGATTTCCGTCTCTGTGCTGACGCTGACGGGCGTTCTTGCCGTGACTTGATGCCCATTAATTTGGCTGCCTTATCCGAGACCTCTGGCTTCTTCGCCCGTTTTTCTTCTGGAGGAGGTGTCGGCATGGCCGCCTCATCATCTACATCTCGGGAAACTGGTCTCGATGACGGCCGCGATCCAGAGGCTACCGGCTTTTTGGTTGACTTGGTCCGTACTGGTGGAGCCTGGCCGAGGATGTAGTTGGAGAAGCTCATGCCCACGCCACGATTAGCCTTCGAAGATCGCACCTCACGCTCCCGTCGTTTCTCACGGTCTGATGCAGATGACTTCTCCATCTCGTGATCGGAGTCCTTGGGTCGGGAGGACTGCTTCGTAGACTTGCTTCGCACTGGCGCCGCAGGGGAGCGCTCTCGCTCTCGCTCTCGCGTGGATTCCCTTTCCCTTTCCTTCTTCTTGGGAGGCTCTGCGTCTTCCGTAGGCTTGCTTTCTTTCTTGATAGGCTTCTTTGGTGGTGGCGCGGCTGCTCCCCAGAATCCCCAGGAGGTAGTCCCGGCGGTGCGCTCGACTTTGGCGCGTTCCTTTTTAACTGATTTGGCTTCTTTCTCAGTCGGCTCGGGGGGAGGTGTAGGAGGTGCACGATCGTCAACTTCGGCCTCCTCCGGCCCGGCCTTGTCTTCTGCAGGCGGCGTAGGCTCCTTCGTGGCGGCTGCAGCGGCGACCGCCTTCTTGTACTTCTTTAGCTCTTTCTTGGACATCTTCGAAGTATCAACGGCCGGCTCAGCCTCAGTCTTGGACTCGGGTTCCGGCTCTGGTTCATCGGGGAAGCTTCCAGGCAAGAACTCCTTGGAGGCTTTCTTGTTATCCTCTGGCTCTGAAGATTCCTTTTCTTTCTTTGAAGTAGAAGTCTTGCCGGTCTTGGTCTTGGAGCTCTTCTTCGTTGAAACGGGTTCCTCGGGCTCCGGTTCAGGCTCCGGTTCGGGTTCGGGTTTCTTCTCCTTTGTCTTTACCTTCGAGCTCAGCTTCTCCTCTTTTGCCTTCTCCTTCTCCTCCTTCGCCTTGTCCTTCTTGTTCTGCTCAAGCATCTTGATACGTTCAGCAACGGACATTTTGGAGACAGGTTTGCTCTTGGAGGGAGGCGGATCCTCTTCCTTGACAGGCTCGGGCTCTTTAGGGTCATCATCCATGTCAATCAGGAGATCCTCTTCTGGCTCTTCCTTGGACTTGGGCTTCTCCTCCGTTTTCTTGGTTGATGGCTTGGTCTTAGTTGTTGTTGTTCCCGTAAGAGATGCCCAGAAGCCCTTGGATGATGACTTTTCTTCTTTGGGCGGCGGGTCAATGGCCTTCTTCTTTGTATTCTTCGACTTGGGTTCCAAATCTGCCCATATGTCATCGGCATTTTCGTTGCCTGCATCGGGTTCTGGGGTAAGACCCTGAGCCGGGGGAGTAGGCGCCGGCGGAGGAGGCTCCTCAACCTTGCCCTTTTTCTTCTTCTTGTCCTTTACCGTACCCCACGCATTCCAGTCGTCGTCGGCTGGCTTCTCGGGTTCCGGATCGGGCAATGGTTCAGGCTCAGGCTCGTCCAACGGAAGGTCAAAATCTTTGCCTGGAATGGGAAGTCCCTTATGAATCAAAGCCTTCTCTCGTCTCTTGCGGTCTTTGGAAGAGAGCGTGTGCCAATCCTTGTAGAGAGGGTCGTCTGGGATTTTTGGCTTCTCTGGCTCCGGCTCGGGTTCAGGTTCTTCAGGTTCTTCAGGTTCGGGCTCTGGTTCTGGCTCGTCGGGAGGTAGTTCAAAATCCTTGCCAGGAATGGGAAGCCCTTTCTGAATCAAAGTCTTCTCTCGTCTCTTGCGTTCCTTTGAAGAGACGTTGTACCAATCCTTGTATAGAGGATCATCTGGGATCTTCGGCTTTTCCGGCTCAGGTTCAGGTTCAGGCTCAGGCTCGGGCTCCTTCGCCTTCTTCTTCTTGTCCTTCGAGGATATACCCCATGCACCACCACCCCAGTCGTCATCGACGTCCTTGGACTTCGACTTTTCTTTCGCTGGCTCCTCGGGAACGGGATCTGCCTCCTTTTTACTGGATTTCTTGTCTTTTTTCTTCCCAGCCGTGCCCCAGCCATCCATCCAGTCGTCTGCTGGTGGAGGGTCCGCAGGTGGGGGCGCTGGATCATCCAGGAGGTCGATTTTCTTCTTCTTGTCCTTCGACTTGGTGGCGACATTCCAGCTCCAGTCGTTTTCTGGTTCAGGGGGCTTCTTCTTGGGCTCGGGCTCGGGTTCAGCCTCAGGTGGGTTCTCAGCTTCTCGGGCAACCTTGTCCGCCCACTCCTTTTCTATCGCCTTCTTTGCCTTGCGTTTTTCCTTCATTGACATGCCGGCAAACATGCTCTCGTCAATGACTGGTCCTGTTGCCGCAGGTTTCGGCGACTCGGGCTCGGGCTCGGGCTCAGGCTTCTTTTCCGACTTCTTTTCCGGCTCAGGCTCAAGAACACCTTTCTTCTTCTTCTTGTCCTTTACCGTACCCCAAGCACCCCAGTCGTCGGCTTTGGGTTCAGGCTCAGGTTCCGCGGGTACCTCTTGGATACCCTTCTTCTTGCCTTTCTTGTCGACGGAAGTGAAGCCAGCCCAGTCGTCATCGGCTTTGTCTTCGGCTGGAGGGGATCCAAGATCACCAAAATCAAACCCACTGGTCGTCTTTGTTGATTTCTTCTTGCTAGCCGTTGCCCAGGGATTGGTGTCTTTGATTTCTTCTTTAGGTTCCTCTTTTGTAGACTCTCCCACGCTACCGAGGCCCCATTTGTTGCCCGTAGTCCAATCTTTGCCCCATCCCCCGAAGCTGAAACCGGTCCCGCCGGTCTTGGTGGCAGATGTGTCGAAGCTCAAGTCCAGCTGCGGTGCGCCATCATTCAGACTGACGTCTTGAAATCCACTTGACGGCTCATCCTGTGTTCATAGTCAGAACCAATGTGGACAAATCTCTGGAACACGACAAGACATACCTTTCCCTTCTTCTTCTTTTTCCCCCTACCGTGGCAAAGCCGGCCCAGGAATCATCGTTACCGTCCTCCATCTCATCAGCCCAGCTGAGATTATTGGAGGCCTTCTTCTCCTCCTCCTCCTTGGCGCGTCGCTCTTCTTCCTCTTCCTGCTCCTTCTTCTTGCTCTTCTTCTTACTTCCGCTCACTGCCCACGCGCCCCAGTCGTCACCACCGTCCCCGTCATCCCCGTTGCCGTCGCCCGCACCACCTCCATCGTCGCCGCCCGCGCCATCACCCTTGTCGTCTCCGCCATTATCGGAGCCGCCACCACCGGTGTTCCCCAAGGGAAGAGGGGTTGACTTCTTCGCCTTCTTCTTGCCTCCCTTATGTTCCCGTGTGCCAGTCGGAGCGCCAAAATCAATATATGTATCGCGCGTTGTATCTTTCAGTAAACAAGATGGCTGGTCGACAGATTTAGTATCTGGTAGTGGAGGTGCCGCGTGAAAAGCCGCGGTTTGGCGTTGCGCAAGCGGAGGAAGCGACGAGTAGTCTGGGGGTGTATCGGCGATTGCATCGTCATAAGATGGTGGAGGTTGAGTGTAGGAGGGCGGGCGCGGAGTTCGGAGACTCAAATCGTGATGCGACAGACCAGGGAACGCCTGTCCCGTCACCAAAGTAGCCCACACTTCGTCGACGGCCTTCTCTAGCTCGTATTCCAGGTGTTTGCTGCAGTACGCGACATTGTGGACCCATTTCGTGCGCGAGCCGTCGGTGTTGAAACCAGACTGCGTGACAGCTGCCATCGCGAAAGTCGAATGCGCCAATTTCAGCGCCGGGTCTGATCAGCGACCCGTCAACTCGACGACGTCAGGAAGAACACATGTGGGGGCGTGTAGGAGGTTCAGCACCCGCGCGGAGATCTCGATGTCGTCAGAGCAGGTCGTCAGAGCAGCTGCGATCGCGGCGCAGTCGATGGGCTCAGCTCGACTAGTCGGGGACAAGGAAGGTCGGACAGAATACAGCGGCTGGCATAAAACCAACAGGCCTTCCCTGTAACGCCCGGCGCGAAAATCCTCCAGGTGTCTGCCGGTGGGTGTCTGAATTCGCGGACGGAGCAGCCGATAAGCGGAGCAGAGGTATGTCTCGTCAAGGGTCAAGGGGGGAGTGGTCGTTAAGGGGTATGTATCGGAAGGAGAGAAAATGGTTCAGAAGAGGTCCCGTCGGAGGAAGCAGGGAGGGATGGATGGATGGTTTGCGCAGTTTTAGTTAGTCCCATGGGGCGGTGGAGCGACGATCAGGGAAGTATGAGAGGTGACGCTGGCATTCCTGTGGCGGGTGAAGAGTGTAGGGGGGTTATGACTATTGAGAGAACACCCCTTTAGCCACAATATAGTACTATAAGGATAGGAGGAACCAAAGAAAATCAAGCAAAAACAGAGTTGGAAAAAAAAAAAAAGAGATGGCTGGGACAGACACCCGTTGGACCCATAGTGACTACGTAGTTCGTTCCCGACTCTTCTGACTACTCTGATCTACCTGTCACTTGCATGCGAGACTCGACTCAGATTGGCTAACTTGCATTAGAACATGCGAGGGTCCAAGCAGGGGACGAAGGCAGGTGGAATGTATACCGCGGACCCATGGGCGCGGGAGCTGATAACCGTGGATTAGGCCGCGGGAGGGCCCGTCTGGATTAGTGATGGGATCTATAAGTCCGAGGAGTCGTCGTGAGTCCTACGTGGTGGAACTAACATGACCAAGTCGCATCGGCGTGGAGAAAGCAAACCCTGGTCTGTGGAGAAAGCTCCCGAACTGCTGTGAAGAATCCTTGATTGATGCCTGGCCTCGATTTTTCCCTTTTTTTGGGCACCGGGCCCTAGACACCACTCCAACACAGGAACTCGAAGAAAGAGTTTTGTTTGGATCTGCATGATGGACAAACCATATCGTCTGCTCACCGCCAGTTTGGCCGCGGTGCAGATTCCGCCCCTGTGGAGGGGCCACTGGGCGGTGGCGAGTGGATATTTAAAGACAGAACCATCGCATTATGGAAAATACAGTACAGTACGTAGTGACAAAGGAAAGGGAATCCAAGGACATGAGAGAGACTCGCAATAAACCATCCAGACCGCAAAACCCAGTTCGAAACCAACCCGCCGACCAGCCAGACATAGGAAAGGTGCTCGCGTGCGACGGGGTCTTCACGCGCTAGGAGCCTCCTTTCCATACACCTGCAGGTACTCCCGGCGGTACCGCGCCTGATCCTCGGCCTGCAAGTCATGGTATTTCTGGAAAGTCACAGTGAGCGGCACGATTCAAATAGCACGAAAGTGGGTTGGGAGAGCCTACCTGCTTCTCCGACTCGGTCAAGCCTTTCCACTCTTGTGCAACTCGTGATGTAGCGTCTGTCACTTTCATGTGCCGGAAGTCGCCACTTGCATAACGCTCCTGGACGTAGAACATAAAGGCGCTGCTGCGTTTTTTGACCAGACGGTCGTCGCGGATTTGACGGTAGTTTTTCTTTACAAGTGTTGATAGCCTCCGTCGGGCAAGATTGGCTTCCTTGATCTGCAAAGGAGTGTGCTGCTTCAACCACTGATCATACTGGGCCGCATTGGTGGCCATATTGGCTCGGGCTTGAGCTTCGTAGCGCTAGATTGGATGTCAGCATGATTCCATGGCCTACGCAGGGAGATGTATGTACCTCTTTCTCCTCGGCGCTCAGGGAGCTTGCAATTCGAGACACCGCTTGGAATGCCTCGCTTTGCGTGATTGAGGGAGTTTTGACATCAGCGTACTTGTCTTGTACCACGAGCGAGAAATACTGGTCCGGGAGCCTCTTGGGCGGGGTGAGCGCAGTCTGCTTCAGTTGCTGAACCAGTGCTCGGCGCTGGGTCTCCTTCTTGCGCTCAGCTTTGGCGGCTTTTTGCTCCTCGGTCAGCTCGCGCTTTTTGGGCTTTGTTGACTTCTTGGGTTTCTTGGACTTCTTCGTCGTCTTCTTCGTCTTCTTAGGTTCAGAGCCGTCTGTGGAAGTCGCAAACGAACGCGATGGTGCCTGGGACTTGGGAGAAGCGAGATATCCAGTCAATGGTCTCGCCGGACGAGGCGTCGCTGCTAGAGAGAGCCGTTGCAGCTGGTGCTGCAGGCCGACCACGCGAGCAGCGCGAGGAAAGGCATCGATGCGCACACGGCGCAGAACGGACCCACGAGTGGCCAACTGCCAAGTCATGATGAAAGATGGAGAGAGCAACAACGGGATTGACAGGGGGATGAAAGAGGGAGAGTGGAAGCAGTCAGTTAGTCCAGGGAGGCTGGTTCGTCTGGGTCGCGTCCGAGCTTCGTTTGGCTCTCTCCGAATGCGGCTTAGCAGCGCACGTGACAGTGGGTCATGTGCCACTTCTATTCTCTCTCTCCGTGCTTCTGCCCTGTCCCTCTCTCCATCTCCTTCAATCGACACGACTGAAACGCTTCCAAATTTCGGGAGACCGCATGCATGAGTGGTGATTCGCTCAGGCCCTTTTCCACGCCCGGGTGCTTTTGAGTTTCAGTAATACTCACTCATCGTTGGCCAGCAAGCATGGCTCGCCACGGGGACAGTCGCTCACCATCACCTGTAGGCAGCACAAACTCTTCATCCCGACGAAGTCGCAGAGAGGATGATCGCCATGAGAGGTCCAGGCGGGATGATGGACGCAGCTACCGCAGATCCCGCAGCCCGGAGGTAAGTGGCAAACGGCCGCGTCGAGAATTCTCGAGTCGGGTATCTGACCATTCATTGATTCTGCAGAGGCGATACCGGGATCGCGATCGCGGTTACGACCGAGACTCCTACCGTCGACGCGACCGTTCCCTAGACAGGCGCGACCAAGACAATTACAGATCCAGTCGCGGAGACCGATCTCGAGAACGCCGGCGGTCCCGAGAGCGAAACGATGATCGCGAATATCGCCGCAGGAGCCGCGATCGAGACTATCGAAGCAGGCGAGATGATTCACGCGACCGAGACCGGAGGCGCACAGGTGATTCTGCTGACTTGAAGCCCAAGCCTAGACGGGAAGACAGTCGCGAGCGTGCTTCAACTAGACGTTCTGCGTCGAGATCCCGCGAGGTACGTTTCAGATCTGCTGTCGTGTCTCAGAACAGTGGTGCTCACTTCATTTATCAGCCATCCAAACCGGCCGCCCCTGCCACGACCGTTCCAACCGACGAGGAGAAGCGAGCGGAGAGGCTTGCCAAACTGGAAGCTTGGAAACAAAAGCAGGCCGCCGAGCGTGAACGGAAATCGCGAGAACAAGCTGCGAGTGGACCCAAGAGTATCCTGGAAGAGATTGACCGCAAGTCGGGTCTCTCGCCCGCTGTCGGCTCGCCTCAAACTCCCGCAACTCCTACGGAGTCCACCACTCCCGCCCCTTATGCCGGAAAGTTCGACCCCAAGGCTATCGCTAAGCACTCCACGACAACGACTGCTGGACCCGCCGTCCTCGGCACCGATGTTGCTGTTCCGCTTCCCTCCAAATCTTCAACGGCCTCGTCTACCGGCCCATTGGCCCAGCCCAGCAAGCCTGCTGCCAAGTCTTCTACTCCTTTCAAGGCCAAGGGTAATGTCGGCAGATTTGGACTAGTTGCAAAGCCAGCTTCGGATAACGAGAAGGCCTCTGCAGTTCGGACACTGGGGTTTGGTGAGGAAGAATCAACGCGCAAGAAATTAGAAAGGCTACCTACTCCGCCACTAGAAGAGGTCAAGAATGCTGATGTTGTTCCCGACGACGCTGGCGACGATGATGACGATGTCGACATGCAAGACGGAACAGAGGAAGAAGCCGCCGCCGCCGCTCGTGCCGCTGCAGAAAGACGAGAAGAGCGGCTCCAAAACCAGGGTGACGCATCCGAAGCACCGCAGACGAATGGAGATACTCACATGGCCGATTCATCAAATCAGCAAGGCGAGCCTACTGCGATGGAAGTCGATGAGGCGGAAGAAGTTGATCCTCTGGATGCCTTCATGTCCGAATTGGCTGATACCGCTCCTCCAAAGAAGACTGCCGGTGCGAAGTTCTCGAGAAAGAAAGAGTCGCAACAACCGCAGGCCATGTTTGGTGACGATGAAGATGTGGACATAACCGCCGTCGGAGAGGACGACGCAGACGACTTACTCGCCATGGCAAATAAGAAAAAGAAGAAAGAAATCCCCACTGTCAACCATGCCAAAGTTGAGTATGAGCCATTCCGGAAGCAGTTTTATAATGAGCCTTCCAATCTGGCTGAGATGACGGAGGAAGAGGTTGCAAACCTGCGTCATGAACTTGAAGGGATCAAAGTACGCGGACTCGATGTTCCGAAGCCTGTTCAGAAATGGTCGCAATGTGGAATGGGTGTGCAAACTCTTGATGTTGTCGACCGGCTGGGGTACGAAAGCTTAACTGCTATCCAAGCACAGGCAATTCCTGCGATCATGTCTGGTCGCGACGTTATTGGTGTCGCTAAGACTGGATCTGGAAAGACAGTTGCTTTCCTCATTCCAATGTTTCGACATATCAAGGACCAGCGACCACTCGAGAGCATGGAAGGCCCTATCGGTCTGATTATGACGCCTACCCGTGAATTGGCCACTCAAATCCACAAAGACTGCAAACCCTTCTTGAAAGCGTTGGGCCTTCGGGCTGTCTGTGCATATGGCGGTGCTCCGATTAAAGATCAAATCGCCGAACTCAAGCGAGGCGCAGAGATCGTTGTTTGCACACCTGGCCGGATGATCGATTTGCTTGCGGCGAATGCTGGGCGAGTCACAAACCTACGACGCGTCACCTACGTCGTTTTGGACGAAGCTGATCGCATGTTTGACATGGGCTTCGAACCCCAAGTGGTGAAAATCATGGCAAACGTCCGACCTGATCGCCAGACCGTCCTTTTCTCCGCCACCTTTCCCCGGAATATGGAAGCGCTGGCTCGGAGAACCCTGAAGAAGCCGGTTGAGATTGTCGTGGGTGGTAGGAGTGTGGTGGCTCCTGAGATCACGCAGATCGTCGAAGTCCGCAGTGAGGATCAAAAGTTCTTTCGACTACTGGAACTGCTGGGCAATCTGTACTCGGACGATGCGAATGAGGATGCTCGGGCGTTGATATTTGTTGACCGTCAAGAATCCGCCGACAACCTGCTGAAAGAACTCATGCGGAAGGGCTATCCGTGCATGTCAATCCATGGCGGCAAGGACCAAATTGACCGTGACTCCACCATTGAAGACTTCAAGGCAGGTATTTTCCCTGTCTTGGTTGCCACCTCGGTTGCTGCTCGTGGATTGGATGTCAAGCAGCTCAAACTCGTCGTGAACTACGATGCCCCGAATCACCTGGAAGATTACGTTCACCGAGCGGGTCGAACGGGCCGTGCTGGCAACACTGGTACTGCAGTGACCTTCTTGACGGAAGACCAAGAGCGATACTCGGTAGACATTGCCAAGGCACTCAAGCAAAGTGGACAAGAAATCCCCGAACCCGTCCAGAAGCTGGTCGACGCCTTCCTGGAGAAGGTGAAGGCCGGCAAGGAGAAGGCAAGCACCTCTGGATTCGGCGGCAAGGGTCTTGAACGTCTCGACCAGGAGCGCGAGTCTGCTCGTATGCGTGAGCGTCGTACTTACAAAACCGGCGAAGAAGGCGAAGAGGAGGAAGAGAAGGATGGAAAGGCTGAGAAGGACGATGAGCGTTTCAACAAGGCACTCTCATCCGTCCAATCTGCAGCCGCGCCCGCGCCCGCTCAGCTTGTCGGTGTTCCCAAGGGCATCGACCTGGATGGCAAGATCACAGTGCACAGAACCGAAAAGGATCCCGCTGCCGCATCTAAAAACCCTCTCGACAAGGTCGGTTCTGCCGTTGCTGATATCCACGCGCGCCTGAGCCGAGCCGGCGTGATGAGATCGGGTGTCCCTATCGACAATCGTGGACCGGATGCTGGGGCGTTCCATGCCACGCTTGAGATCAATGACTTCCCCCGTAAGTTTCCTCCCTTCTTACATTTCGGCTATGAACAGGTACTCATATTATTTCTACAGAGAAAGCACGTTGGGGCGTCACCAACCGCACGAACGTCGCCAAGATCCTGGAGGCTACGGGCACGTCGATCACGACCAAGGGCAGCTTTTACGCAGCCGGCAAGGAACCAGGCCCTAACGAGAACCCCAAGCTGTATATTCTGGTTGAGGGCGAAACTGAGATATCGGTGACGAACGCCATGCGCGAACTGATGCGCCTGCTCAAGGAGGGAACCGTGGCGGCTGCGGATAGCGACGCTCGGGCCCCGGTGGGTGGACGGTATAATGTTGTTTAGAGTATTTACATGGTGGTTGTATTATATTCCTGGCGCGCAATGGGTTTAATGACTCCGGACTGCAATTTGATCATGATGAAAGACTTAATCATTCTCGACCACTCATCACTGCCTCGTACAGGATGGCACGTAATCAGTTTCACCACTTACACTAGGTGTCACTCTTGATATATGATATACTTGGGGTTACTGAGACAAGCTAAATAAATTATAGATGAGTGTGTTTCGAAATAGGGTTTGGGAAAGAATCTGTGGGAATAAAATGGTGGAACTGATTTCGATCCATGCTGTATTGGTAAACTGTAGAGACAACCGCTTTCAGAGGGACGGCCATAATCGCCTGGAAAAAGGAAAGATCTTGAGAACTGGAGAGTCGAAATGAACCCCAACAGAGAAACGCCGCATCAGAATGGCCATCATCATGAACATGTTAAGCAGAACTATGAAAGAGAAAACAGCTTGCCAACTGAAGCGAATCCAGACACTGATAACCCCCTTTATACATATCGCACTTGTACCCAACCGGAAAGGGAAGACCACACTCAATCCCATCTCCTCGCTGCCTGGCTCTCATCAGCATCCCTCGCCGCCCTCTCTGTCCGACTTGCCTCATTCAACGCCTGACCCTGAGTCTGAGCCTTCTGCGCCGCAAGCTTGGATCCAAGCTTCCCCTTATTCGCCGCAGATGCGTTTTCCGCTCGTTTCTATATCCCGTCAGTTTCTGTTCTCCCACGGGTCACTGCGCACCAAAGGGATCTATTCTTACCTGTGCGGCAATCGCCGCATTCGCCCTCGCTTCATCTGCCCCCGCCCCGCCCGGTCCCGATGGACTCGCCCCGAGTGTCCGGCCCGGTGAAGACTTCCAGTTTGTCTTGGATGGGAGAGGGGCGCGGGGTGCTGGGTCGTTTTGGTTAGAGGGTGTGGTGCCAACTACGCGTCCGGGCTGGGCGAAATTGTCGGATTCGCGCGAGCAGAGGTTGCCCATTTCTGTTGAAGTGTTGGGAAGTGTAGCGGCGGGGTTTGTTGTGGGTTGGTGGGGGTGACGGGGGAACGCGGGGATGGGAGATGAGATGGGAAGAGATGGGATGAGATGATACGTATGGAATTGGTTAAAAGATCAGTACTTTGGTTATAAATGGAAGTTGGACCACGCAATAGTTGGTGAGTTAAAGTGTTGTTGCGTCGAAATAAGCTGTTGATGTGATAATCGAGTGACGATCCGGGGGCAAAGGCGGTCAGCACGTGGGGCATATCAGGAACCGGCGTGTAGAAGTATTTCGGTAGCTAGGATTGGATTGTTGATTGATACTCGAGGTGAATGATGTATTCAGGATATTGTGTTAGTACGACCCTCCAGGAAAGTATTTCAATAACATTACAACAGCGAAGATGGTACATATATTTATCTTCAAGATCACCTTGTAGATATCAGTCACGGGATCTCCCATTAGTCATTCGAAAGTCTGCTCGAGGCCTTGCGGAAGGTGGAAACGACAGCGACCTTCTGTCCAGCACTACTCAGTCGATCACCCTGCCGATAATAATAATGAACTTCACCCATTAGCCGACCCTCACCTTGGCCATGACGACAACCTGACCGCTGTTCATCGCACGCCATGCGATTTGCTCCCCACCCCGATCGCGTTTTCCCCCAAGGTCCCCACGGGCCACCACGGTCCTCACTTGCCTCACGTTCGCTCGCTGCCAGGCCCTTGCGCCCTCTGTCCCCCTCCCCCTCCTCGATCAACACTTTCCCAAGGTCCTCTACGCTTGCTGCATGTCAATTCGATCTGTCGTGGACATACTCCCAGCCGGCGTATCGCGCATCCCGCCAGTCAGAGCTTCTGACCCAAGCCTAGACTTTGCGCCGGAGACGATCTTGTCCGGATAATCGACATTCTTTCCTACGAAACAGGTCCTGCGGCGGAGTCTGGTGTGGCGATACTGGCAGCCGGCATCCTGTACCTGGCTGCTATCACGCACGTTCCCACTGGCGGTCTTACCCTCGCATCCTCCATTCCTTGCTGCTTGCTCCTACTGCTTCCGACTGTCCCGGCTCCATTTAAACCCCGCGCAAATCCCAAGCACTGCCCATCATGTCTCCTCAACCCCAAGGAGTTGATTTCTGTCTGGAATGCCACTGGGAGGCATTTCATATAGACGGTAAGGACGCCGTCGATACTTTTGCAGATCATTCTCTATCCCAGTGGACCTGCGCAGACCACGAACATCACGCCTCTCTTGCACAGTGCAATGTTGACGAAACCTGCTGCGATGTGGAAGATTGCCCTGTTGATGAGTGCTCGTTAGAGTGTGGGTCAGTTTGCGACGGCCTCGTGGATTGCGACGCTTCGACCGTGTGCTCGGTGGCGCATTGTGATGACGCTCACTGCGATGATACTCATTGCGACGACACTCATTGCGACGACACTCATTGCGACGACACTCATTGCGACAACACTCATTGCGACGATACGGCGCAAGCCTGCTTTGATGAGCACTGCTGCGACGGAACCGAGGGTCACGATTGTAGCTTTGATTCCCTTTTGGGCCTCAATACTCCCATCTCCCTAGATGCTTCATGCTTCCTCCCTTCGATAACGATGGATCAGAATCTTTTTGATCATTCCGAAAAGGCAGCAGGGCATTATCATCCTATGCCTCCGCCGGTTGACCCGAGTCATCGAAATGACTTCCTCTCATCATACCAAGCACACACCGCCTATTGTGATAATAATGTGTCTAGCCACTTTGGCTGTGACGATTTTCAGAAAGACGTACAGGGGCTGTTCACAAACTATCCATTTTCAGGACAGGCCGATGTCAACCCCACCGACGTCTTCCATATGCTTGGGGTGTGTCCGGATCTCTCGAACTGCCCTGACCAACACGCACTCGATCAACATGAGTGCCAGAACCCTTTCGAATGCCCGAAAGATGTTTCACCAGTCAACTGTTTTAACCCCGACCATTCTCACACCCATGGTCATATTAAAAATCCGAATGACCTCAACCTTCAGGCTTTCATGAAAGGTCCCCACCGCACCAATCACCGATGTCGAGTTCATGCACACTCTCACGCTCACCCGTATTCTCCCTATTCCCGCCAGTCCCGATCCAGTGTCAGCTCGCACCTTTTGTCTAGTCCAGCAGAGACTCCACCGCCCCTGGATGGGAGTGTGTCATCAGTCCTGACCACCTCGGACTTTTCTGCCGAGGACAATCACTTGCATACCTGCAAATGGACACACGATTTTCACGGGGCCAAAACTGCCTGCGGAGCCACCTTCTCGAGTGCCGGTGCTCTTCAAGAGCATCTCGTCTCCAGCCACATGAACACCATCGAAGGCGCCAAGGGGAACGGTTACTACTGCCGCTGGGAAGGATGCCATCGTCCAGATGAACCATTCTCGCAAAAGTCAAAACTCCAGGGTCACTTCCTGACTCATAGTAACTGTACGACGACCCTTTGATATCGGTAATGAATCCGATGCTAACGATACCCATCTATTAGACAAAAACTTCAAGTGCTCTGTTTGTGGCAAAATCTTCGCCAGACAGACGACCCTGGATCGACACGAGCGAAGCCATCGTGGGGACAAGCCGTACAAGTGTAAACATTGCCACAAATCATTTACTGATAGCAGCGAGCTGAGTATGTCTCTGCCCTTTTGTCTCCTTTTATCCCTAGCTAATGGACCTAGAAACTCATTCGCGAACGCATACTGGCGAAAAGCCTTTCAAGTGCACCTACCCAGGGTGTACATTTGAGACCGGTGATGTGAGTTGTTCTGGATCTTATTGACCGTTGCAATATACTGACAACATCCCAGTCCTCGAATATGTCTAGTCATCGACTGAGTATGTTCCCACCCAAGACGCAAAAAGCCTCGTACTAACTGCCTCTAGCACATGGTGAGCGAAAACATAAATGCCATTTTCTAGGATGCACGAAGAGCTTTACTCGACCAGGTACGTTTTCAAGGTGTCTACGTGTCGGACGAATTCTGATTCTCGGCTATTGGGCAGACCAACTGAAACGCCATATGCGGACAACACACAAGCAAGAATCCTCTTCGACGCTGCCATCACCCCGCTCAGACCAATTCAGCCTCACTCCTTTTTCCGTTATCTAGACCTCAGATGCACGATCGCTATGTCCTTATGATTGAGATGAGTAAGTCTGCGTGGTTGGCGTATGATTGATGACTGGTCTGGTTTCTCGTCTGGGAATTTTACGACAACCACCAAAAAAAGATCCATTTGTGTTACCTGAGGCAGAACTGAGCTTTGACGACTTCTCGACCATCTAATGGCTTCACGATACTGAAGCACTGGTTACTGGCTGGATCCAGTTGCATCAATTGGGAATGTCTGGTTCAAAGAATAATGTTTTATAATATTTCATACAATCCAGCCCTGGATCACATCTTCAACATGTGTGATCCAGTTGCACGAACTCTGCTCCTATACGTATAACACCACCACCACCACCAACAACACATAGTACTATACCGCTAAAATACTAGCCTCAATCCGCCTTCGCCTTTTCCTCCAACACCTCCACAGCATTAACCAACTCCCTAACCCGCTGCGCAACCCTCTTCTTCACCTCATCCCTGACAGCCTGCGAAACCTCCGCAGGATCATGCATCGTCTCAATAGGCGGGCCTCCCTCCCCGCCTCCCTCCGCATTCGCCTGTCCATCCGTCACATGTTCTTGCGTATCACCAGTGGTGTACAGGTTATACACAGCCGTGAGCTGGCGGAGCGCATCGCGTGCCGACTCGCGGTCCGACGCTGCGTAGATAGTTCCTGCCTCTGTGCTATCGGTCGCGATCTCGAATTCGTCCTTGGCTACCTCGTACAGCTCCTGGAGCTCTTCGACGAGGAGGTCCGCTGGGGATTTGCCGCTCGTCGCGTTTAGCGAGAAGGTGCGGACAGTGGATGCTAATGCTGGCTGCGAAGCTGCGTGAATTTGGGATCTTGGTGATGAGCGGGTCGAGTGGAGAGATGCCGATGATTGAGTGGGTTTTTGGGTGCCATTTGTTCGGCGTGTGCTATGTGCAATGCTGTATGCATTGCGGAGGGTACGCTGTGCTGGGAGGTTAACACGATGCAGGTCCCTGGGTGAAAAGTTGCGAAGATGGAACAGGGGTGTACCCTGGTTACGGCGAAGAGATTGACTGAAGGACATGCTGGTACGTGGTGACTCGACGGTTGGAGTTGCTCGGTTGTTCTCGGTCAAGGGAGAGTGACAGGGAACAGAATGTGACATCATTTCCATGATCTAATCGGCACGTGCGATAAGACTGCTCGTTATCGGGGGATCTATGAACTATATCCTGAATACCATTTAGGACATAACTAGCCTATTTACGGAGCTTTGTATAAATTTTTGGGATCTAATGGTTAATATAATTGACCATTGGCATCGCCCAAGCTGGGGAACTTGCTAAAGGCGCCGATAGTGTATGGAAGCGTGAGATACATTTGAAGTAGTGTGAAATCGGCAGGCTGATAAAGGGCCAAAATTTTGATTGATTGATTGACTGTGCTGGAAAGTTGACGGGTAAAGAGAAAGAGGATACACACCATGGAGATACGATGCGTGATGCTGTCCTATTGATACTGCAGGTTTTCTTAGCCGTGCTGTCGAAATATATGTGGTGCTGGTAAAGAGCTGACACAATAGGCAAGCAAACATTCTGCGCTGGCTCCGAGCCTTGTTTCGTATAGCCAATTATGGAGTTGCCACAATCACACATATTTGTGTACTAGGCCGCATTCAGCTATATTACCGCTTGCTATGTCAGCTCAGAGAGGACTTGGCCACTAATATAAAAACTAATCAGTCGTTCCAACTGAAATAGCGCTTTGGCGCTTTTTGGCCTAGCGGTATATTTCCTTCCTAATTTCCTTATGGTTGACAATACTCCACCAGCCAACCCCATTCCATTCACAGAACTCGGGCTTTTCAGAAACCGGATGGTTGCCCCATATCTCTCCGAAAAGAATATCAAAACACTTCCCGACCCTTTCGATCAAAATGGCACCTGACTTTAACAAGGAAGAGCTCTCCCAACACATGCGGGATCTCGTTTTTGGTGGTCACCTCGGTCCCGCACAAGGGAAAGCTGTCACTTTCGACGTAGTTCGCGAGGATACCGTGTCGATCATTTTCATCGCCGCACTCATTTCACTCACTGGGGTCAGTGATCTGCTAGATCGATACCTGATCTGCCTTGCTAAGGAGGACGGGGCCTTACTATCGACAACACCCGTTTCCTTGGATAAAGACGCGATAGCCAAGGCCATTCAAGAGGCTGGCTGTGGCGAATTGGTTTACTACAATAGACTCTGCGACGGAACATTTGGAACCACATACAAAGCAAAAGCATACACAAAAAGTGAGAACAAACCGGATGAATATGTCGTTCAGCTGAGATATCATGCCAACATCGCTAGCATGTACCATCTTATTCAAACATTCGCGAGAAAAGCCCCAAAGGGCTCGCAACTCCTCGTATGTTTCCAGCGCCCACCTCCCCGAATTCGGTTCTTAAGGTCCAAATCTCTCACTTTGTACCCGGAAACATGGGATTTGCCACAATTGTTGGCCTTTCTTTGGAAGGGAAGTTAGGTGTCATAAAACAGATGGCACGAGCGTTCGCTGCTCTATGGGATTTGTCTGTTCCTAGGGCTGGAAATCTTATCGGAGAGCCAGTCGTATCTCCTGAAGGCACCATTTCGGTTGGCCCGGAAAGGCTACATGGACTGGGCGGCCCATTCTCTTCGGTGACATCTTACATCCAGGCGTGGATTAAGCACCGCGTTAATAAGCTTCAAACCAAACAAGCTATCGACGAGTATAAGGACAAATATATGAGCCGAATTCTCAGATTCACGGAATCGTCGCTTAATCATATTCCCGTGGAGATTGAGAATGTCAAGCTCTCGCTAGTACACACGGACCTTGGCCTACATAACATGATCTTCTCGGAATCAAGAATACCGAAATTGAAGGGAGTGATCGATTGGGAATTTGTGGATCACGCCCCGCCACTAATCGCTATTCCAACTCTTATCGAGCCCACTTTCGAGTTTTTTCCCTCAGAGAGTGACGAGCTCCGGCAGGCATTCTGGGACGAAATTCCGCAGTGGAAGGAGGCCATGGCCTCCAAGGGCTCCAAGACTCTCCTGGACCTCTATTCTTTCGGATTTTACCTGAAGGCCGATGCTCTTCCGGATCGAAATGCTGATTTGGCTACAAAGGAGAAGTATTGGGAGAACAACGCAAATTTTGTGGAAAGGTTTCTTGAAAGATGGGAAAGTCCGCGAGTTTCTGTCTGAGTCTGAGTGGGCTGCGTTGAGTTTGACATCTTTATAGGTAATGATGCAATCGTGGTTTAGTCCGTACTTCATCCGTGCTAGCAAATTTTTGAAATAAAGTCGGTTTTCTTTGCTTTCGTTTGGTGACTCGTTTATGTATAGCTACATGTAGTCTTGTGGGCAGCTGTGGGCTACCTTATTATATTCGAACAGATTAACGTAGAGATCGCTACTTTAATTGGTATAAGAATAGACTGGAGCTACTAATCTTCTTTATCCGGAGAGTAATTAGCTGACATGCCAATTGCAGACGTTCGGTCCCGACTACAAATGAAATGAAGAATAATTATTGCGTCCAAGGTAGCCATTTTCGGCGCCCAATTTACCGTCACTCAGCATTGGGGTGTAACATAGTTTAAATATTATGTAGTCTCCATTTAGGCTGGTCTATACTATTAGTTAAACCTACAAATAGCAACTATCGTACCAATAATCAAATGAAACTAATTCGTTGTACTTGAAATATCAAGCTTTAAAAATATCACATTTACTATGGTGTTTTGGGTTGACCCACTTGCTTAGCGACTAGGTTATAATATCCAAGTCAGCATCTAGATTGATCAACAATCAATCCTAATAATTCCATGGAGAATAGGAAATTATTCTAGGGGATGGGTTGGGTCCCTGTTGACTAGTTTCAGCCCGAACCCATCGCGGGCCGGTAACAGGTCTAAAGGTTGGACCCAGATTATTTGGGGCCTGGTGGGCCTCTCTGGTTTCAATGGCCCGTGAAAAAGACATGTATTTAAAATGTGCTTATTTTGACCAAAGTAAAAAGTGTGTATTAGAACTTCTTGGAAGGGTAGTAGTAAGCCTGTCGATTAGATGAAGAACAGATTATAAAACACTAGTGAGGAGAAGGAAGCAAGGAAGTAGATCCAATTGTAAGAAAACTTATTCTTAGAAAGGTAAGAGAGGAGCTAAGTAAGATAGTAAAAGTACCCTCTAAGCTGCAAACGGGGATACGACATGTCAACACATGGTGTAACTGAGGATGGGCGGCGCTGCAATGCTAAACGGTTCATGCGAGCTCTCTAATAACGTTCAAACCGTCAATCCGTAACAATAGGAGAGCGGGTGCGAGACTTTCGTTCGGGCAAGGCGACCTAATCGCAGCTAAAATTCCTTCGCCACCCCCCCCCCCGGGGGGAGGGGGGCTACAGATCCTGACCCTGCCGCTGTGATCAATTGCACTATATGCCTACTCCACTAGTATACTACTACGAGGAGGCCCTGGACTAACAACTCCACGCTTTGGCCTTCATGAGAGGGTCAGAAGGGGCCACCTCCCACTCCGTTGCTCGACCATTGTTGCAGTACCATCATTTCTCAGCGCTAGCTGCGGCCTCATGGGGGCCCAGGTGGCTGATAGAATCCCGCGTCTGTTGTCGGGAAATTTTTCTACTATAAAGCCAGCTTCTCACCCGATACTGTAGACCTCGTATCTTGTATATGCACACACCGAAATATTTCCATTCCAATTTTTTCTTTTTATAAATCACAGTTCCACCGTCTTTATTCAACCATGCGCGTCTCCTGGACCAAGTCTCTATGCCTTGCGTCCTTGCTGGCTAGTTCCGTAACAGCCCTTTACATCGAGCCGGCGTAAGTCTACCCAGCTAGTTCTCCCTTGAACATTCAATAAGATTCAAAAGCTTCGACTAATTCAAAGGCTGCTCAGATTGGAAACTAGAGAATTGCATTCGCTCGTTGCTCGCGAACTCCCACAGGAATGGCGGGGGTTTGACAATAGCGAACGAGATCAACAGAAAATCATGAAAATATCTCAGGCCTTTAGAGATATGGATACTATGGTATCTCGTGTACTCCAAGCATTGACCCCCGAAAATCCGAATGATCAGGCCTAGTCTTCGGATGAGCAGACAGCGCTCATTGTCCTTGGGCACTACTTCAGTCCTGCTCAAAAGACCTCCGGCGATTTTACCCAAAAACAAATCGTTCTCCAAGTGCTAAAAAATATGGTTTTTCCAAAGAACTTGAAATCTCACAATGCCGGTTCAGATTTCTTGGCAGGTTTGACGATTCATAATGCTCTCGATAAAGGGACTTGCTCAGATTTAGATACCCAAGGCAAGAAGAGAACTATTGCGGCGTACACGGAGTCGAACGATTGCGATACATCAATATACTTCTGCGACATTGATAGGGTCAACCCTTACAAATACCCGGATCTTTCTAACTTACCAACAGACGAGGCCCAGTGCAGGGAAGTCTTCAAAAAGGATGCCAAGGTGTCTCCTGAAATGACTCCATTGGCTTATATTCTGATTCATGAATTGACGTGAGTGACACGTAATACTTTTCACTCCTATCGCAGCACTGACAGACAGCAGCCACACTTGTGAGGTCAGCGAGGCACCATTCGACAACGCGAAGGTACCAGGCAACCTAAAAGTCACGGATGATCCTGCGTATGGGCCCCAGGGTACAAGAGCACTCAAATATAAACAGGAAAAAGGCCAATATCCTAGTACCAAGCATGTCCTTCTAGGGCCAGTTGAGAATGCAGATAGCTATGCGTGGTTTGTTGTTGTAAGTGATCTTCGAGGCTCGAGTCAGGGCATCGTAGCGCTAATTCATGGCTTTTATAGGAGGCCTACTTTTCGTTGCTCTGTGGCCAGAAATTCGAGGCACCAACTTCAAACCAACTTGTTCGCGACGGGATCTGTCCGAAGGGGCCAAACCAGTGCACCGTCATGTAATGAAACAGGAGACCATCTTATATTTTCATTTTTTTATGTCAATGGCAAGATAATGCTAGGCAGAGTATAATTGCTAAAATTGCAAAGGTCGATCCAAAAACTTTATTACCGACTTACTCGAGGGTGGTTTCTGGATCTATTGTAGGCATTGATAAAATAATCAAGAGCAATAAGCAAATTGCGAGCATCGCAAACTTAATTTTAACCAGTGTGCAAGATCTACTGACAAATTTCAGCGTGGCTTCCATCTAAGATGCATGGATGAGTAAGATGAATGCGAAGTTACAATCCCAGATACGCATGAGATCAGTCATTAGGGACACTTCGTACGACCGCGGACGAAGCGGCCTAACATATTTTTTAGGCACCCAGAATACGGCATTTCAATAGTATCTACTCTGTTGACACTAAAGGTTTTTCTTGGCTCTGAAGAAGTTCCTTTCTAATTTGGGATGATTTATGAAAAAAAAGTTGCACAGGGTTTCCACCTCTTTTGCTTGATCAAGGCATAAAATACACATTGCAGGGGAGGAAGCTTCTGTGAAGCCACAATAATCACACTGAATCGAAATGAACGCGTTTAAATCGTTGCAACATTCGAGCTATCCTTTTATTATCATGCTTCACTGCTCCAGACTCCGCTTTTGAAAGCTCCTGGCATAACTCCTCTCTCGATAGCTCAGTCCGGTGGATATCAATCCATTCAAGGATGGTTTGAGCACATTTGACATACAAAATGAGCGACGGGGTTCGTGTCGCGGCAAATATCAAAGAACTATCTCCATTTTCGTCCTGAAGAAGGGGGTCTGCACCCCTTTGTAGAAGGACGTCCAGTTGATTGGGATAGTAAAGAGTGATAGCTTCCCAGATACAGGTGCGCTGGTGTTCATCTCGAGCGTTAATGTCTACCCCACTTCTTAATAACGTATCAAGTAACATTTCAGTGGGGCTATCGGAACTTTTGAGGCGGGCGGCATGGCTAATGCACTCCGGAAGCAGATCGTCGCAAGGGACTGTGAAGCCTCGATTTAAGAAAAAGCTAGCAACAGGAACATCTTCTCGTCGAATTGCGTCACTTATTGCGTATTGTATATCGTCGTCATCCACGGCTAATGGATCAAGTCCGTTTTGGAAAAGGGTTTCGAGCATCGACACACCTCCACGGCTAGCGGATAACACGATAGATCTTTCTCTATCCTCTTGAATCGAGGGCAGAAGTTCGGGCAGAAATTCGAGCGGAAATCCTCGACGGAGTAACGCGTGGGCTAGTGATGGACGTTCTGACTCAAGCACATGTTGGATCAAACACTTTCCCTTTTTCACGACGCCAGTAGGATTAGCCCCGTGGTCCAGTAGGAGGTCGAAGCATGCATCATGCTTTAATGCGGAAAGCAAAAGTTTGTTAAACCAGCTTGTTCTCCGATAATCCTCCAAGTATCTATCAAGCAGGATTTTAGCGACCTGTGGATGTCCATTTTGGATAGCACGCGCTAAAGGCTTTCGATCATTCCCAATGACTCCAAATTGGAGTAGTATCTTCACTACTGAGTCGTGTCCTGCCTCGCAAGCCCATTCTAGTGGTCCTTGAGACAGTAGATTGTAATAGAGGAACCCTTCTGACGACATTTGATTTGGATAGCAACCCTCCTGAAGTAGCTCTTGGACTAGCTTATCTCTACCTAGTGCGGCGGCAATCGTCAGGAGCGTCACTCGGTTGTCGTCTCCTATCCGAAGTAGATTGAGATTCATATGATCGGCAATGAGGCTTGTAATGGCCACCCTGTTTCCCCTGTTTCCTTTACTTGTGCTCATTGCTGAGTAGATAGGAAGCTTCTGGTGAGCTGGAGTGGGGTTCACGTTGGTGCCGTATGCAAGCAGAAGACGAACAATTTCAATATGACCCTGCTTAGCTGCAATCATAAGGGGCAGGCCCTCATGTTCGGACTGCAGATTTGGATTTGCTCCCTGCTCGAGCAAGAGCTCTATTGCTCGCGTCCGGCCCGATTCAGCAGCGGCGCCCAATGCACCAGTGCTTCGTTTCTTCGGGTCCAAGCCTACCTCCTTCACAAGGTACTTCATCATCGCAAGATCTCCTTTCCACGCAGCATGCGTTAGCAGCTCGCTGTTTCTTAGGGAAAAAAGATCGCCGACCCCATGCCCAACCAGAACCCGTGCGACAGCAATGCGTCCCTTATTCACGGCGCGAATAAGCGGGGTATCATAGAGGCGCCGTAGGACAGCACGGCGATTGGTTTTCTCCTCTTTGTGAATTGAAGTGATGCCATTCTTAATGAGATGTTCAACTATTTTGACGTGTCCATGACATATTGCATTCCGTAGCGCTACCATGGTGATAGGCTTGTCCACATATGCCAGGATATCCGCCTTGAGGCACCGGGCAAATGCATCGTCATTGCCATTCTCGGCAATCCAGCGCAATACTGCGTTACTGCAGTTAGGAAGATTTTGCTGGTAGAGGTATGTGTTGACGATCTCGGAGAGTCGGCGATTGGCCACGCCAAACGCTGTCAGATCCCAGCCATATTCCAGAAATTGGGTTATTTCGAAGAGTAGTTCGTTGGGAAGATCGAGGAGTCCCGTGACGGACCTAGCCATGGACATATCAATAACGCGCTCGATTGGCGTGAGTGGGAAGAAGAAAAGATGTTAGTGAAAGCTCAGCTAGACGAGCCGTCCACAGGTTAAGGACTGAGAGCGGTGTAGGGTCCGATTTGGGGGCGAGTACGAGCGAGTACGGTATCAACTGCTGATCCTTTGTACGTTGTATTGGAGGGGTTGCGGGTGGCGAACCTACTGACGGTAATTCACTAGTGAAGCGATCCGCCCGCCCCATTAAGTTCTTCAAGTGGCCCCCGCCAGAATAAACTCGATGTTGCTATAGCCACCTGTCTGAAGGCTGTCAACGATAGTTTACAGTGTGATGGCACTATAGAGCTACTTACAGAGTCTGAAAGTAGGACGGACAGTTTGCAGACCCAAGTAAGTGAGATTAAGGATATGTTACAGCTTTGATTGAAAACAGTTCTAATTAGTTGCTGATTTGCACTTATTTTGAAAGATTCAAGGCGCCTTTTATCTAAGTTTCTTTGCCACAGCTCCTGGATCTTCGCCAGGGCTGGAAAGCATACATGTAGAATAATGTAAATGTTACCAATGTACGTAGAGAGGCCCACATTTGATCTTGTCGGCTGGTGCAATCAAGCCGGCTGGAGTTCTTTTAGTACTTTGTACAATATGGTACTGGATACTGTGATGCTCAGTGCTCTTATGACCACTGGATCCACGGGGTCTCCAATATTGACGGTGCTGGTTCTTGTTGCAATGCAAAGGACTTGTAGGAGGCCAATGCCCTTGCCACTGCGTACAAACCCCATGCATGCAATATTACTCGGTTATACGAGTGATAAAGCGATCTTTGCGGGAGCGATGATGTCTGCGATAAGGTTGGATGCGGATATAACGCCTACGCACTGGGACTACGACTACTATGGCCGTGGCTTGACGGTCGATCATACTACACGAGAGGCATCAGTGCAGATCCGTCGCTTGTATGTTCCGGATGGCAGGGTGGTCTAAAATGCCGTTACAGAGGTATCCGGCACCGAGATCGAGTCTTTCACTATCGCCTATTGAGAACTCAGCCCCGTACTTTGAGCAAATGGGTGGTCTGCCACAGATGGGTCGTGCTCTGGCCCACGGCATGGTTCTCATCTTCAGTATCTGGAATGGATCGGGTGCCTTCACGGACTGGCTGGGTAGCGGCAGTGCAGGGCCTTGCAATAACACTCCAGGTAATCCTGCGATTATTGAAACACAATATCCATATACATCGGTGACGTTTCCAAATATTCGGTGGGGGAAATTGGTTCTACATACTCATCCAGGTAGATGTCCAAATCAAAACCAAAGTATCATTCTTGTCTTCGTTATCACTGGTAGAGACTGCGCTATCAACGCTGCGTTTCTGCATTCCATCCATTCTTCGTCAAGCCATCTGTCATAATGAGCGTATCCAGTTCATGTTCTCGTTGCAATCATCCCCATATTGCTGCCATTACTCAAACTTCTTCTTCCAACACATTACTTTCTATCGACTGGATCTCGATTAGTTGAGTTTTCATGCAATGAGTTTATCAAGCACATACCTTTCCAAATCCACTTCAAACGAGCGAGTACCAACATGTTTACTTCTCAGTGGCATCAGTGGCAGCCTCCCGCACATAGTTTGTGCCGATGTGGATACCAGGAGTGGCCGAGGGGTAGGCCGCGCTGTTCCACTGGCCATTGTTGTACCGGTTTTTGTAGCCATTGTTCAACTGGCCGTTGTTGTAGCCGTTGTTCCACTGGCCGTTGTTGTAGCCGTTGTTCCACTGGCCGTTGTTGTACTGACCGTTGTTGTACTGGCCGTTGTTGTACTGGCCGTTGTTGTACTGGCCGTTGTTGTACTGGCCGTTGTTGTACTGGCCGTTGTTGTACTGGCCGTTGTTGTACTGGCCGTTGTTGTACTGGCCGTTGTTCCACTGGCCGTTGTTCCACTGGCCGTTGTTGTAGTTGTCGTTGCCGTTCCAGTTGCGAGCAATCACGACCGACGAGGGGGTAGGACGCAGGCCGCCGCGGTAGCCGTTGTTCCACCGGCCATTGTTGTAGCCGTCGTTGTAGTTTCCGTTCCATTCATTCTCACAGTTCCAGTTGTCGCCGTTGTTCCAGTTGCCGATGCGGTTGCAGCCGCGGTTAGAGTTCCACCATGCATTGGTGTGCTGGACCCAGTTGCGCTTCAAGACGACCGCCGAGGGAGTGGGCACGTCAAGAATGGTCTCGCCGTCGTTCCACTCGTCGTCGTTGTAGCCCTCATTGTTATAGCCCTCGTTGCTGTAGCCATTGCTGTAGCCATTGTTGTAACCCTCGTTCCCGTAGTTCTCGCCATATTCCCCGCCGTTGTTGTACCACTTGCGCTCCAGAGTCACAGAGGGAATATCGAGCTCCTCGTCGTTATTGTAGCCTTCCTCGCTGTAGCCATTGTTGTAGCCGGGCTCACCCTCTCGGTACCACTTGCGGTCCAAATGCACCGTAGGAAGGTCGAGCAGGTCGTCATCCTCATAGCCATGGTTGTAGCCGTAGCCATTGTCGTTGTTGTACTCATCGCCGCGGTACCACTTGCGCTCAAGTGTGACCGACGGAGTGGGTATGTGGATCACATCGTTGTCATGGAAGCCCTCCTCGCCGTAACCATTGTTGTATCCTTCCTCGCCATCGCGGTAGCCATCATAGTTGCGCGCCAGGTTTATATGAGGATGCATCAGCGCATTCATATTGCGGTGCTCCCAGTTGGGGCGGCGGTAGCGGTACCTTCCCCGCCAGTTCCGGCGCAGGTGCACGTTGCCTGCGTTAAGGGCGCCGGCGCCGAGGCCAGCACCAGCTCCCGCACCAACGCCTGCTCCGAGGCCAGCTCCGACGCCTGCGCCCAGACCCGCGCCGACACCTGCGCCAGTGCCCACACCCGGAACGCCCACTCCAGGAATGCCGACACCGGGTCTCGCCGCCCCAATGCCCCCAGCCCCGACACCGTTGTGGGGATAGGTCTGTCCGGGCATGTACTGACGCGCATAGTTGCCCTGGGATTCGGAATTGGGGTCGGATTGCTCAGGCAGAAAGCTGGGATCGATAGGGACGGCGAGGGCCGTCAAGGGAGAGGCGGCCAAGAAGAGAAGGCCGTTGATCCAGGAGTAGCGCATGTTGGGTGTCAAGACTTGCTGTCTTCACTGGGGCAAAAAGAAGAAATTGAGAGTGTTCTCGAATATATGATCTCGAGAGCTGTGCTGGCTGGAGATGAAAACCAAAACTGGTCGAGCAGGGTGTATTTATACCTCCGCTTGCAGAGCCTAACATGTCATACCACAGAGGTGATCTTGCTTCTAGAACAGCTCGCCGAGCTGTCTGCCCTAGCTTGTGCCAATGCATCACGCTGTCTGGACTGGCGACGGTGTTTGATCTGCAAGGGACAGCAGTGAACGTGCGTCGAATCCCTTCTGCCTTGCGGGGAGAACCACTCTGCGACACGCCTGCACAATGATTTCAGCGGGCTGTGAACATTAGTATGAGCCATATGTGGTTCCCCTTGATGTCTTACATAGTTGTGTTTGTCTTGGATTTATGCATGATCAACTCCATACAACCTGCAGCGTCAATCTTCCCCAAAGGGGTTAGTCGCATTCTCGGGCGATCAACCTTAAGCACGATGCATAAATCCTCAATCGAGAATTAAAAGTCCAACTGCACGTATTCCACATGTTTAACATGTAGGCACAGCCATGCACCACGTAAAACACGTACACCACGCGTCCCCGAAACGCTCATGAGATCATGGGCACATGTAAGACATGCAGGAACGTTCGTCAGCCCAGCCCTCGCAACCCCTTGGCTAGAGAAGCACAGTTGCGCTGGTCCTAGACCTAGAGTTGCGGTGTGAAAGGCTGCAAGAGTATCTGCCCCGGAGTGCCTTCGCTATCTTTAGCAACATGCCCTTGCTAGTTATTGACAAGGAACAGGCCTGTCCTTCCCGGGGCTGGCCAAAACCTGTCGATCGCTTCTCCGATAGAGACATAATTCGCTCCCCTGAATAATCTCATCAAAGCGATCACTGACCCGACTGAAGTTCTGCCCGTACCGGCTCAGTTCCCGCAGCCTGATCGATACCCAATCCCGGTAGATCCTATCCGAGGTGGCAACTCCAGCGATGAATAAGGACCAGGTAATGCGAACCATGAGATGAGGCCGGCTGCGGTGAAGCTTCAAACTTAATTCAAGGACTTGTGAAACTGCAGCGCTGAGCGGCATCAATTTGTTGCTGCGATTAAACGGCGCGGAATTCGATCCACTGTGGCGGTCAAGCAGATCCTGGAAGCAAAGGTAGAAGTAAACGATGGTACTGTAGTACGTTATCGAGGACCAGTAGATGGTTTCCATCACGCGACGACCTTCACCGATGGTTTCGCAGGAACGTGAGGTTTCGGCAGTGGTGAGAACGGTGTCGTATTCCTACATTGAACTTCCTTAGTCTGGTAAACATCTTAGCATTGGGTTGGGACAACTCACAACAGACAAAGTATTGAGCTCGCCAATTATCCGCAGATACGGGGATTCTTCCCCAGGCGGCGCATCTGGCACTGTCCCGTGCTTGAAAAGCTCGGTGATTTTAAACTGAACAACATGGCTGTGGTGGTACAATGTCAGACTTGGAAGGTTCTCTTGGTCATCCAATTGGGCGCTGAGAGGGTATTCCTCGCCCCAGAAACGAGCAGGCGATTGTCTGCTCAACCGATAGAGCTCCGTGAGGCTTAATGGCAATCTGTTTTCGGGGTCTGCGCGGAGTAGAAATCGGAAGAGATCAGTATCAAGGGGCGCCGATCCTGAGCCGAAAAAGAGAGCTGCGGGCGTGAAGAAGTACAAAGTCCACAGTAGGAATAATGGAACTGAGGTGTGGTAGAAGCCATCCAATGGGGGGCCGGACTGTAAGCTGGACGATGTCGTTTCCAGGTCATTTGAAAGGGAAGTATGGATATGCGCTTGTGGCAGAACTTCCGACAGTCGGCTCTCAGATGTAATTTCCCGGGTGGAAGATGCATGAAGCTTGAGTAATGGTACGACGTGGTTATGAAGCAAGCTTTCAATTCCACGGATATGAATGTTGATTGCCGTAGCACCACTTCCAAACCGACCCTCATAGTCGATCATCAGCCAAAGGGTAATGAAGATGGCTTCAACCCTTGCCATAGATTTTACATCTTGTTTTAAAGCTTCACGGAGTTCTGACAAAGCTCTTCCATAGTGCATCTGTCCATCCATGTCCGACGGAACCTCAGTCTGTTTCCCACAAGAGGCATTTTCGCCATAACTTCCTGCTCGGTGAATCTCACTAGCCGCAGTGGCTAGCATCATGCTCATGACCATAGGCTCTTTGACAGCGATTTTTTGATACGCATAAGAGACAGTCGACCACGGCCAATGCTTTCCGAGCACAACCACCAAGTACGAATCCTGAAGATATTCTAGGCAACGCCTATCAAAAACAGACAAACGTAAAGAGTTTGCCGCTTGAATACTGCGTCCATGATCTGCAATCCCGGGATTTTGGGCCGGTAGCAGCGGGCAGGGATGGGATGAGCGGACTGGGCGCTTCCTCACAATCTTGGTGGACTGAATACTTTCACTGCCACCCTTGCCATCTGCCTCGCTTTTTCTGGAAGGTAGTGCTCGTGTTGGCGGTCGCGGAATAGGTCCGCCCTTCCATTCACACAGAATTCTCGCCGTCACGCATCTTTTGCACTGTGGCTCTGCATGCCCATCGATGTGGAGCTTCTCCTCGTCGCATTTCACCTTACGGATCCTACACGACCGACATCCTGGCTGAAAATTAGCTCCGATGCATCGGATTGACAAACAGAATGGACTATTCGAGCGGATCCTTACCAGTCTTGGAACGTATCTTTCCGAGCTTCTGCATTCTTGTTTGGCGTAGTCGGCTATCGATTCGCCTGCCATTCTCAGCCCTCCAGCTGGTGCCCTATCAGAGAGGCGCGCGGATGGTCATTGGAGTTGAGACCCGGTGTGCCGTCCTTTTAACAATCTTTGCCGAGTGATGATAAAAGGGAAAGGGAGGCGGGGAAACATCTTATCTCTTTTGTACTTGGCTGCCGAGGGCAGAATACCGATTGGCTGCCTCGGCTGCGGTCACGGGATTGCAAGCCCTAAAAGACGGGGGTGATCCACTGCTTGAGTTGGGGTATATAATAAAAGGGTTGGAACGATGACCCGTCATTGATGAATTCTCATTGGACTACGTTCAAGCCAACCAACATGCATCTTCCCGAATCCCAGAGGCGCTTTATGGATAGTGTGCAGGTTGCACTCCGCAAGTATGATGCACAGCTAAAAGAGATCAATCACAAGGCAAGCTACCAATTATCAAGATCGGGGCATACATTAGTTGACCTTCACAGATCTGGTCCAACCCAGAGTTGGCATACGCTGAGCATAGTGCCCACGACCACATTTGCGAGCTCTTTGACTCTCTGAAGTCAGATGGGTATAAAGTTCGCCGGCATGCCTATGGACTGGATACAGCTCTAGAGGTTGAGTATACCCATGGCAGCGGCGGGCGCACTATCGCGTTTAATGCGGAATATGATGCTCTCCCAGGCATCGGACATGCCTGCGGCCACAATCTGATCGCAACTAGCTCAATCGCAGCGTTCATTGCAACGTGTGAAGCAATGAAGGCTAACACCCAGCCCTCTGACGTACCAGGATTTACTGTGCGTCTGCTTGGCACTCCAGCTGAAGAGTCTGGTGGTGGAAAAGTCCGTATGTTGGACAATGGGGCCTACAAAAATGTAGACGCATGTCTTATGGTCCATCCCGTTCCAATAGCGCCGGGCAACCCGGAACTTTTCAGCATGGCTACTGTGATAGAGGGTGGATTCCTTGCCAACGACAAAGTTAAGGTGACATTCACGGGCAAACCTGCACATGCCGCTGCCGCTCCTTGGGAAGGTATCAATGCACTGGATGCTGTGGTGGCCGCGTATGTCAACATATCTCTTCTTCGACAACAAATCCTGCCGACGCAGAAAATACACGGTGTGATTGTTAATGGCGGTGATCGACCAAACATTATTCCTATGTCCGCCACAGTCGATTATTATATTCGATCACCAACCTTGAAGACCTTGAAGCCTCTGACAGAAAAGGTACTCAAATGCTTTGAAGCGGCTGCGACAGCGACGGGATGCAAGCTTGAATTCGACTGGTATGTCTCTACTCTTAACATTTGCCTACCCTTTCACAAGTCACTAATTCAGCCCTAGGGGTATCTCGTATAATGACCTGAAGACGAATCTCCCCATCTGCGAGAGCTATGTCTCGGCAATGCGAGCAATGGGTCACCATACCTTGCTTGATAATTCCGGACAAAAGAGCGCGCTAGCTGGAGCTTCTACCGACATGGGTATGTAACAATCATTCCGTAAGGTCGACAAGGTTAACTAACGTAAATATACAGGCAATGTATCCTATGCGGTGCCTGGCTTCCATGGCATTTTTACCATTCCAGCCGAAGGAGTCAATCACACACCTCAATTTACTAGCGGTGCTGGATCACCTGAGGGGTTTCAGCGGTGCATTTCCTGCGCTGCGGGTATGGCCATAGTTGCTTGTCAGTTCCTAGTTGATGATCAATTTGCCGAGGAAGTCAAAAAAGATTTCCAAAGGGAGTAAAGGGCCAGATAAATAGGAAGGAGAGCACGTAGTAATTCACGCGAGCATATCAATTTGGAAATATAGAGAACCTTTTTTAACCCGAATTCTCGGTATCGCAGTGGGCCACATAAGCAGTCATTCTAATTCAAGAATCTCCCCCGCTCGTGTTATCTGGAGAATCTAACCTAAATTCTGCTTGAACCCAATCACATTCTGCGCATGCCCAGCTCAGGCCCAGCCAAGATCCTGCCAATATCTCCTCCACAACCGTAACCCTCCAAAGGTTCACTAGCCTTGCCGATGCAGCCAATAGCGGAGAAGCTGAAGGTGGCCTCTGTTAGTGCCGTTATCAGGGACCTGATCTAGAGAAGCTCTATCAAGAACCCCCTAACAACACACTCCTTGCTGAGATAAGATGACTCTCAAGCGATTTATGTATAAATAGCTGTCTTCAGGCTTCATTCTAAGACATAAGGAAGTCAGCAGTTCTTGACACCTCTGTAACCATGGCAAAAGTCTATGACAAGAAGGAAGCACGCGACGCAAACCATGAAGTTGATGAGCAGAGCTTCGGTAATGAAGCACTTGGCCAGCTCCAATCGTCCACATCTTACTCAAGTGAAGACGAGAAGAGACTGGTTCGAAAGATAGATTTCAGGTGGGCTCTTCAATTGGGTGGCCATTTGCAGAGGATAAATCCTAACTACCATTTACAATATAGAGTCCTTCCAATAATGTTAATTGCCTATATGATGGCATTTCTGGACAAACAGGCTCTGAGCTACACCTCTCTCATGGGAATTATTGATGATCTCCATCTAGTGGGTTCGGAATACAGTTGGGCTGGTAGCATGTTTTACTTTGGATACCTCTTTTTTTCGTGAGCCATCTGCGGCCATATCGTTATCAAAAAGGGCCAGCTGACGGGATTTCTACAGGTACCCAGCGTCATTGTTGATGGTCAAATTTCCTTTGGGGAAATATCTGGCGGTCAACTTGTTGGTTTTTCCATCTTTATGCACCTGCCATCCTGCTGACCATAACCTAGCATCCTCTGGTCTATCATTCTTGCTTGCCATGCAGCCACCACCAATTTTTCTACGCTTATGGCGGTCCGATTTTTCCTCGGGTGTACAGAGGCCAGTCTGTCTCCGGGTTTCTCACTGCTTACGTCCCTCTGGTATCGAACATCTGAGCAACCATTGCGCCATGGGGTTTGGTTTTGTGGTAATTCAATCTCGCTCATTTTTGGCAACCTTATCGCAGTTGGTATTTGGCAGATCCATGGTAGCTTGGCGCCATGGAAGGTGAGCGCACCAAAGAGGTTCATTTGAATTCAACACGCCTTCTAATGCTATCTTTAGTGGTTGTTCATTATCTTCGGGGTCGTCACTTTCTTCTTTGGGCTTGTTATGTTATTCTTCTTGCCTAATTCGCCCACCGATGCCAAATTTCTGACAGAGAAAGAGCGACTTATCGCGACAGAAAGATTGAAGGCCAACAAGACAGGATACAAGAATACTCATGTCGAACGTGCCCAGATTAAGGAAGCTTTCAAAGATGTCAAGACATGGTTACTTGCAATTCTCATCCTCGGGTTAGATATCCCGAATGGAGGATATACTACGGTAAGCTCAGATCCAATCTTTTTAATGGGCACGTGTTGATGACTTTGCAGTTCAATGGATTGGTATTGGAAGGATTCGGTTTCTCCATTTTCCACACGCTATTACTAGGCATTCCAGGTGGATTTATAGTATTTCTATTTGTTTTGGCTGGGTAAGTACTCCCTCACGTTTGTCGTACATTTGACTAACTTTATTAGGGGTATCCTTACATCCAAAGTGCGCCAAATTCGATGTATTGTCATTGTTATAATGACCATTATAAGGTATGCGGAGACTTTTGGACTACAGGGCACAAACAAACTAATTCTTGCTTAAGTATAATCGGTACTGTCCTTGTCTTCGTTACAACCTCGAAAGGCTCGCGCTACGTCGGTCTAATTCTCATGGGTGTCTATTCTGCCTCAATGCCAATATCCATGTCGATGATCAGCTCCAACGTTGGCGGATTCACAAAGCGCGCTACAGTCAGTGCTATCTACTTCATCATGTACTGTGCAGGCAATATTATTGGACCGCAGCTATTTTTCTCGTGGCAAGCGCCCAAATACCAGGTGAGTCCTGCAAAATCCAGGCCCAAGTCTAGGCGTGTTCAGATAAACACTAATATTGGAAAATACAGAGTGGATTTTTGGCCATTCTAGTGTGTCTTGCCGTTTGTGTTGTCGACGGTCTTGCATTGCTATGGTATCTTCGTTGGGAGAACCGAAGGCGGGATCGCATGGAAATCGAGACCGAATCACCTGGCGAGAAACACGCCGACATTGAGCCCAACAGCGGCCTGGCGGACATCACTGATTTTGAGAACCTGCGATTCCGGTACGTTTATTAGGCTTTACGGTGGGTGATATATAGGTGGTTGGTATGTCCCGAATCTGTGGTGTTTAGGTTAAGCAGAAGCAACATAGTTTGTAATGCCACATCTTACCACAATTCGTTGGAAATTTAGCATTCCACAGAAGCTTGGAATTTAGTTCGCCGATGGGCTCAAAGAATTCTTTCGTATTGGAATTCACTCACATTCCTCACATCCAACAAGAAATAGAAAACACTTTCAAGATGCCATAGGATAATAGTAACTTTAGCAATAAATGATTTCGATACAAAATGAGACAATGGCTGTTCAGCGTCATCCTGCTCAGTGTGGCTGCCTTTCCGGTCCACGCGGCATTCTGTCGGTGCCAACCCGATCAACCTTGCTGGCCAAGCGGTAGCGACTGGGCCTCGCTCAACTCTTCAATTGAAGGGAACTTAGTCGCAGTGAAGCCATTTGCATCTCCCTGCCATGACCCCAATTTCAGTGCGGCCGAGTGTGCTATCCATCAACAAGAGACACACAACTCATCATTTCGATCTTTGCAACCAGGTTCCGTCTCACAACAATATCCCACTTCTAATCGTTGGCTAATCTGTTATACTTAGGTGCTCTTCAGTGGGAAAACTGGGAAGCATGGCCAGCCAAAGGAGAGGAATGCTACATGGAAACGTCCCGGTCAACACACTGCTCCCAGGGCCGCATTTCGTTGTTCTCTGCTGAAGTACAGACGACTCAGCATATCCAGGCGGCGGTAAAGTTTGCCGCACAACACAATCTCAAGCTAGCCATCAAAAACACTGGGCACGACTTTCTCGGCCGTTCATCCGCTCCACATTCGCTGCAGATTCTCACCAACCAACTGAGAAACATCTCCGTCTATGACAGCTTTGTTCCCTCCGTTCCTTCTCATATACGGGCGCCAAAAGGGGCGAAGGCCGTTACGCTTGGCGCTGGAGTCCAGCTGCGCGAGATGTATGAATATCTGGGCACGCAGGGATTGATGGTTGTTGGGGGCTCATCGAATACCGTTGGCGCAGCTGGAGGGTATATACAAGGCGGGGGCCATTCTATCATGGGCTGGCTTCATGGTATGGCCAGTGATAATGCCCTTGAGTTTCAGGTTGTAATTGCAGATGTAAGTACCCAATCTCTGGTTATGTTTATTATTGCTGAGAATTCTGCCAGGGCACACTTGTTTTTGCCAATGCGTATCAAAACACCGATCTATTCTTTGCTTTGCGAGGAGGCGGCGGTGGTTCATTCGGGGTTGTGGTCAGCGTGACCGTGAATGCATACCCGGATTACCCAGTGCTCTTTACATCGACCAATTACACCTTGAGTAAAGCAAATGGTCCATTCTGGAATGGTGTCCAAGCATTCCATAATCACCTGGTAGAGCTCAACGACCACGGTGGCAGTGGATACTATCTAATGGCACCGCAAAGTCCGGTTACAGAAAGCCAAACGGAGGCATCAGCCGTACTCTTTATGTTTTTCGTCAACCAAACCGACATGAGCGTTGTTGATCCGCTCTTCTCTCCGCTAATTTCGGATCTGACGAACGTAACCGGTATTGAACCTTCATACAATACCTACGCCTTTCCGTCCATGTCGAACATGTACACTACTATCCTCACGGGCAATGACACGACAGGTACAATGATCCGCTTCGGCTCGCAGTTGGTGTCTCGGTCTTTATTTGAGACTGGTTCCTCTCAAAGGCTTACCAACGCCATGGAAAGGCTCGGAATGGGTTCTGGTGAATATCTCCTCGGGGTGGCTCTTGCCGGAGGCAAAGTAGCCGAAAACAGAGTTATGGAAACTGCACTTAACCCTGCCTGGAGAGAAACACTTGTCCATATGGTTTTTATGCGGACATTAAGCCCAAATATGTCTTTTGCTGAGCAAGAGGCTATAGCGGCCAATGTTACAGATGGAGTATCACACCTTAAAGCAGTTGAGTCGGGCAGAATGGGGGCGTATCTGAATGAAGCAGATGCCGATGAGCCTAACTTCCAGCAGTCTTTTTGGGGATCTAACTATCCTCGTCTACGGGCAATCAAAGCGGAGAGAGATCCACGCGATCTCTTTATAGTTCGAAAGGGCGTTGGTAGTGAGAACTGGGATGATAGTGGATTATGCCGTATCCACTAGACTGGGACAATACGTTGTTGAGGCGAGATGATCACGGGGGTCGCGCAAAAGGGGACAGGTACGGAGTGTTAGATACAGCCCACGAAAGCAAGGAAGAAAATTTCGCTTTGGTTTACCGTCACCAATATTACAGAAATTAAAGCTCAATCCTATTCAACAGCTACATTTTATTTCAGTTGCACCTTCAGTCCTTTGAAAGCCTCTGCATTCTCCTTGATCGCCACCTCAACAGGCAATCTCTCCATACTACTCGCCCCAAAGAAGCCATGCACCCCCACGGTGCGCGATAAAACAAACTCGGCATCTGCAGGCCGCGCAATAGGCCCGCCATGACAGAGCACCAGAATATCCGGGTTAACACGAACAGCAGCATCGCGAATGCCTTGGACAAATGGGACACATTCTTCCAACGTCTTGCCGCTGCGTGCACCAATGGCACCAGAGGTAGTCAAGCCCGCGTGCGCAACTATAATATCTGCGCCCGCGCGAGCCATCTGCACGGCATCGTCCGGTCCAAAGACGTACGGAGTCGTGACTAGACCGAGTCTGTGTGCGGTGGCGATCATCTCTACCTCGCGGTCGTAGCCCATTCCTGTCTCTTCGAGATTCTGTCGGAACTGGCCATCAATCAAGCCAACGGTTGGGAAATTCTGCACGCCAACAAACCCTAGCTTCTGGAGCTCGGGCAGAAAGTGTGCCATTGAGCGGAATGGATCTGTGCCGCACACGCCGGCCAACACGGGTGTGTTCTCTACTACAGGGAGAACTTCGCTGGCCTTTCACAGGTCGGTTTTAGCACAGTGGAATGAAATTGGGACGCAATGAAAAAAGACTGGCGCACCATTTCCACAACTACCTGATTCGCATCTGAGTATGGCATCAGGCCGGCCAGTGACCCACGGCCGGCCATACGGAATCGGCCCGAGTTATATATTAGGATCAGGTCGGCACCGCCTTGCTCGACTGCTTTGGCTGATAGTCCAATACCTGTGAGAGAACGTGAGTCGCTGCGGAATGCAAATCAAATATGGATATGAAACCTACCAGCGCCGGCTCCAACGATGATCGAGCCATCGGCGACAGTCTTGCGCAGTCTATTGAGCACTTCCTCACGGTTTGATGGGCGAGGCATTTCTCTATGATATTGCCTTGGAGGGTGTCGAGATTCAAAGTAAGTACGTCGTGCCCCAACTGACCCCTCACTTCCCCCCTCGCTGCCCCACGAATTACCTCATTGCGCCAGAGTTGCTCTGGATGTACCACAAACAGACTGAGTGTAACACAGCAGCATACTTGAACTCATCTCTCCTGCTTAAGTCGATGAGATCATCAGCGCCTTAGACAGAAGCCGCCAAAAATAAATCCAACAACAATGGCGACAGTCCTCCTCCTAGGAACATGCGACACTAAACTCAGCGAGCTGCTCTACACGAAGACGCAAATCGAGTCGCATGGCACCTGCACCGCGCTAATCATGGACATCGGACGCAACAACACCTCCCACCCAGATATCAGCATCACACAGTCTGACCTACTCGGCTCGGAAACCAATCTATCCAATCTCGATCGCGCAGAATACATCAGCGCACTTGCTCCACACGCCACAGCCCAGACATCCAATCTCTTGAACAAAAACCGCATACATGCAATCCTGGCCATCGGCGGCTCCTGCGGTACCGGACTAGCGACGACTGTTATGCGCGACGCGCTGCCAGTGGGGTTTCCCAAGCTAATGGTCTCGACCATGGCGTCAGGTGACGTTGCGCCGTATATAGGCGAGACGGATATCGCGATGATGTACAGCGTTGTCGATATCGCAGGACGCAACCGCGTGCTGGACCGGGTGCTTGCCAATGCTGCTGGAGCGATTGCCGGGATGGCTAGCACTTACTATTCCTCCCAATCAGATGGCAAAGAAAAGGCAGAGGAGAACGAGGACGGAAACGGCTGCAGGATAGCTATCTCCATGTTCGGAGTCACGACTCCGGCGGCGATGCGCGCGCAGCAGTACTTCCAAGAGCGTCTTCCAGGGTGCGAAGTGTACATCTTCCACGCGACGGGGTCGGGCGGTCGAGCTATGGAGCGACTTATTCGCGAGGGTCATATCGACGCCGTGCTGGACCTGACTACGACGGAGATGGCGGATGAGGTTGTGGGCGGAGTGCTTAACGCCGGACCGGAGAGGCTATGCGCTGCGACAGAAAGGGATATTCCGAGAGTGATCAGTGTGGGAGCTTGCGATATGGTGAACTTTGGTAGTCTGGAGACGGTTCCGAGAAGGTTTCAGAGGGGTGGTGATGATGGTAGCGAGGACGGGCTGAAGAGGCTGTTCCATGAGCATAATCCTACAGTGACGCTCATGCGGACGACGGGGCAGGAATGTGCTGCTATTGCGCGGCGGATTGGATATAATATTCGGGGTGCCGGAGGACGGAAGTGCACAGTGGTTCTTCCCACTGGGGGTGTTAGTATGCTTGATGCACCGGGGCAGCCATTTTGGGATCCTGAGGCGGATAAGATTCTCTTCGACATGTTGGAGGAGCAGGCGAAAGCCGCAGGCATTCCTGTGGTGCGAGACCCGAGGCATATCAATGATACCGAGTTTGCACAAGCAGTGGCGGAAGACTTGGTACGGTTGATCCAAGGGAAGCTCAACGAGGAGACGGGCGTGGTCTACAGATAGGAAATATAATGGTGTGGACAGCTTGATTAGAATGTAAAACTACTCACTACATAGCCACACCACGGCCTGCAGCCAGACCAAGGTATCACGAAAAAATCCTATCCCGTTAGTGTTGAATGCAAGACCCATTTCCCAGGTCAACCCACGCCGTAAACCCAATAGAAACACACACCCACACATCTCTTCCCCCAGTGGAAAAACAACCACATTTTAATGCCGTTGAAGGACAAACCACTTTTCGAGTTCTAAGTTGATAGAGAACCCTTTAATGCCAATCGTAACATCGTCGAATCATGTTGAAAGTCTATATTCCCAAGAAAAGAAATACTTGTGGAGAGAAGGAAATCCGCTTAGTAGCGGTAGATCTCGCTCTTGTAAGGACCGCTGACATCCAGGCTGAGGTATTCGGCCTGGACGGGGGTCAGGGTGGTCAGCTTGGCGTTGACGTGGTCCAAGTGGCAGCGGGCGACCTGCTCGTCCAGGGCCTTGGGCAGCACGTAGACGCCAACGGGCTTCTTGCCGGAGGTGCCGAACTCGACGTACTTCTTGCCGAAGGCGACGTCCTCGGCCTTGTACAGGGCGATCTGAGCCAGGACCTGGTTCGAGAACGAGCACGACATGACGAACGAGGAGTGACCGGTGGCACAGCCCAGGTTGACGAGACGGCCCTCGGCCAGCAGGATGATGTGCTTGCCGTTCAGGAGGTAGCGGTCCACCTGGGGCTTGATGTTCTGCACGGACTGGGCGTTGGCCTTGAGCCAGGCAACGTCGATCTCAATGTCGAAGTGACCAATGTTGCAAACGATGGCGTCGTTGCGCATGGCCTCGAAGTGACGGCCGACCAGGATGTCACGGCAGCCGGTGGTGGTGACGAAGATCTGACCGGCGGGGGCAGCCTCCTCCATGGTGGTGACCTGGTAGCCCTGGACGGCGGCCTGGAGGGCGTTGATGGGGTCGACCTCGGTGACAATGACGCGGGCACCCATGCTGGAAAGAGCCTGAGCGCAGCCCTTGCCGACATCACCGTAACCGGCAACAACGGCGATCTTACCGGCGATCATGACATCGGTAGCACGCTTGATACCGTCGATGAGGGACTCACGGCAGCCGTACAGGTTGTCGAACTTGGACTTGGTGACACAGTCGTTGACGTTGATGGAGGGCACGCGCAGCTTGCCCTCCTTCAGCATGCGGTACAGGTGGTGAACACCGGTGGTGGTCTCCTCGGAGACACCGTAGCAGTCGTTGAGCATGTCGGGGTACTTGGTGTGGACGAGCGAGGTCAGGTCACCACCGTCGTCGAGGATGAGGTTGAGCTTCTTGCCATCCTTGAAGGCGCTCAGCTGCTGGTCCAGGCACCACTGGTACTCCTCCTCGGTCTCACCCTTCCAGGCGAAGCTGCAGAAATAAGTTAGATGAGAATTGATGATAATAACACGTGTGGGCTTACACAGGGACACCGGCGGCAGCGATGGCGGCGGCGGCGTGGTCCTGGGTGGAGAAGATGTTGCACGAGGTCCAGGTGACCTCAGCACCGAGGTGAGTCAGGGTCTCGATGAGAACAGCAGTCTGGATGGCTGGACAGAAGAGTCAGATGTGATTTCATGTCTTGTTGGAAGGCGTTCCAACGTACTCATGTGCAGGCAACCGGCGATGCGGGCACCCTTCAGAGGCTGGTCGGCACCGTACTTCTCGCGGATGGCCATCAGACCGGGCATCTCAACCTCGGAGAGCTCAATCTCGCGGCGGCCAAAGGCAGCGAGCGACTGTAGGACGATGGCAATTAGCAATTGAGGCAGGGGGACCTACTAGGACGGAGGGGCACATACGATGTCAGCGACCTTGAACTTCTGGGCGGGGGCAGCCATGATGAATGTGTGTGATGAAGAAGAGACTGGAAAGGTAGTCAGTAATGGAAAATGCGACAGCGCCTAAGAAGGAGTTGACTGACTAGGGGAGTGATGGAATAGGAGGGAGGATGAGAAGGAAAAACAAGAAGGAAAGGGGAGAAGGTGGGGTGTTAAAAGTCTCCTCTCTCTCGACTGCGGTTACCTAAGGGACAGTAAGGGGTACTTCGTGATACTTGCTGCACGGGTAACTTAGGGTGATAAAGCAGGTACCTCAATGTACTCCCGTAGATCAGCCCACTCCTGGCTGGCGGGGCAGAGGAGTGGCGGCTGAATCAGCCAGTTATCGGCAACGCGGTTGATTGTGGCTGCCGAGGGACCTTGCATGTACATACGACTATCTGTCCAAGGTACTCGTTAATACTTAATTCAATTGGTGAAAGGCAGTCATAATTCATCACCCATCCATGTTGCAACTAGAAAGAAAAGACAAATTCCCGGAAAAAGAAGTCAACTCGCTGCATAACCCAAGGTCCATCCCATCCATCATTTCCAACGCAAAGACCGTAAAATCAGAGAACCACCGTGGCTGATCATAATAGACGTACTCTCGTATCAATAGGATATCTGAGCCGTGGACTGAGCTCCGAAGGGATTCCCATCACGATAGTTCAGCCCGTTGCTCGAGCCATGGGCCGACTCGATCTCATCGGGCCAGCGGTAGCGTCGAGATGGAATAGCGCCCTGGCTGCGTGAACGACGCACCTCCCGCTTTCGCGCACGCTCAGCACACTTCTCCCGGAATTCCTTGGTTTCCTTGCGCTTCTCATGAACCTCCTTCCACTCCCCGTAGGCACCCTTAATACCGAGGGCGGCAAGACCAATACCAAGGGCGTCGGTAGCATTCGCCTTCATTCTGCGCTTGCGCGCCTCCTCCGCCGTGATCTCGCCCGATTCCAGCTGCTCCCTGCGTTTCTTCCGTTTATCATACCGATTGTAGACCGAATGCGCGGCATGGATGGTGGCCACGCTCGCCAGCCCGGACGTCAGCAGCATATCCCGCTTCAACTTCTTGCGCTTCTCCCTTTCATCTGAACTGTCGCCGAGGTCAGAACAACTATCCGAGCTAGACGCATTCCCTCCGCGTGCCATGCCCCTCCCGCCTTCTTCATCGTATGGCGCGCTGGTGGGTGCGTAGGGGGATGGGTTTGTGCCGCCCAAAGAACGAACTCGACCTACATCTCGTGATCCCCTGCTCCGTCTCGAATCCCTGCCGTAGTCGCTGTCTCCATCGGAATCGGAATATGAATCTCGTGCGCTGCGCCTGCTGCGCCGCTCCCGGTGACGATCGTTGTCGCGCTCTGCTCCCGCTGCTCCCCCAAGTCCCAAGGCGGCTATGCCTTTTTCGATGTAGTCGGAGACACTCTTGCTACGCCTATGTGATCCACGCTTGCCATCGTCACTGTCACTGTCGTCGTCTTGTCGGCCGCGGGCTCGTGACCGAGATCGAGAAACATGGTCATAGATCTGTTTGCCTGCGGCAGCCAAAGCACCACTGGCAGCCAGGCCCTTGAGCCCGCTGGACGAACGATCGCGACGGCCGCCGTCACGGCCACGGGATCGCGAGCGTGAACCGTTCACGAGCCGGTTGGCCGCGAGGCCTGTCAGGGTGGACTCGATAATATGGCGTGTTCCATGTTTATTTGGGTCTTTATCGACGATGCCATCGGTACCACCGGCCGTGACAGCGGCGGTGAGGATACGCTTTCCTTTGGCTCCTTTCCAGTCACCTGGCTCTTTGCGCTGGCGGAAGGCTTCGATGGCACCGGCGGTCAGCGCGGCTTGAGCAGCCTGGGCAATGCGCTGTTGGCTTTTGCCACGGTTTCCACGGCCTCGGTCCCGACTGCGAGAGCGGGACGACGAAGAATAGGATCGGCCGCGCCGGTGGGAATGGGAATACGAGCGCCTTCGCCCACGATCACGGTCACGGTCACGGTCTCCACGACTACCAACGGCAGCACCAAGGCCTAGGGCACCGAGAGCTTGCTCACCGAGGGACTTTCGGCGCCTGTGACGGGGCGGCGAGCGACTGGGTGACGAAGGGGGGAGTATCTAGAGCGACGACCTGGACGGGTGTTAGGGAAGATCGATTCATATGGTACATCATTCAAAACATACGTCGATCATCATTATCCCTGGTCCTCCGGGGACGGGAGCGATAGTATGCAGCATCGGAATAGGGATCCGAAGCGCCAACCGACGACGCCCGGGGTACACGCTCGTAGACGGGTCGCCTGGGGCGGCGGGAGGTGTAGCCACCACGCTCGTAGGCATACTCTTCGCCGGGGGGAAAGTCGCGCTGCACTTCCTCGATGGAGTCATCACTCCCAAGACGGGGGTAGACTGCCCTCTCGTGCCGCGAAGAATAGCCTCGGGGCTCGTCGTAGGGATCAGCGTAGCTCATCGGGCGGGGGGCGCGGCGGTCGCGCGGGGTGTAGTTGCGGTCGTCGTAGTAGTACGCCATAATGGCGAGGGAGGCAGGAAGCCAAAAAGACAGGGATGAGGTGTCGACAATAAGGGTGATCTTCTACCGTCACCGGGGACAAAGTTGATGGAAGAAGGAAAGAAGAAAGAAAGAAAGAGGAGACGGTGAGGTGAGGCAGCAGTCAGACGAAAGTGAGGCGGGGCAGGTGGCGTCACGAGCAGGGAAAAAAAGTGGCCTCAGCCACGAAATAGACAAGGTTGGGGCCTTGTGTGGCTGGAGAGGTGATAAAAATAATAATAGTAATAGTAATGATGGACAGTCGGTCTATGGTCTAGGCAAAAGATATAGTCTTGTCACGGTGGATGACGTTGGGAACACAAACACACCGACGTCATCCTGCAGTGCGAAGGAGCAGGGAAATCGGGTCCAATTTAGTAAGGATTTTAAAAAGCACATCGATGTAACTACACCGTCTTTTAGCCGTAGGAGTGCATAGGGCAGATTAAAATGTACCAGAAGCTACATACAAAAGGTACTTGGTGATAAACACTCGTTCCATGGGTCTCGGGTGCCTGGACCCAAACTTTTATTCGCCGCGTGGAAGTCCTCTATCTATATACAGTACAGGCATACATCAAAGGCAATGGCCCCAAAAAAAATACGGGATAACATAACGATGTAGGTGGGTGGGTCCCTCCGTCGGAGTCGTCACGATCCGGAGGTGGCCCTACGGGAGGATGGCGTGGCCGGGGCAATTCGAGAAGCCCGTAACGGGGGTATTTTCCGCGTAGCTCTGCACAGCAGGGATCATTGCGGGGAGCAGTGGCAGATATTCATATATTCCACTCACTGAATGGAAGAATTGAGACAGACAGTTGTTTGTTGCTATCTCTCTTCAAGACGGGGGTTACGGGCCGAGTGTTGGTCGAGGCAGGGTCCCCGTCTCCGTGGATTGACTGATGCTACTCACGGTGCTGGCGGTACGTTGGTGTGAAGACGACTGGATCCCCCATCGCCCCGACTCGGGCTCCGACGCCGAGCGCATCTCGTCCGAGTGCGTGTTGCGGTGGGTGCGGATATGCTGCTTCATGTTGTCCTTGCGAGTGAAAGCCTTGTTACAGATCGGGCAATGCACGCTCTTCTCGCCAGTGTGCTTCTTGCCATGTCGTGCGGCGTGGCCCGAGGTTGTAAATGTAGCTGTGCAGCCATGACTGGCGGCGTACGGGCATGGGTATTTGTTCTTTCGACCGGTGGTGTCTCGAGTCCCGCTCGGGGTTTGTGAAGAAGATGATGATGCTGTTGCTTCTGAAGGGGGCTCCGCACGGGTCTCAGGCGGCGTCCGGGCGGGTGCTGGTCCTCGTGACGGAAACCGGTACCGGTCCCGTCGCAGGTCCTGCCTGGCGTACGGGTGAAAGGCGGATGATGATGATGGCTGGCTGGTGAAGTAGTCGTAGGCGACGGATGAGCCGTCTGAGGAGCCCGGAGAGGTCGGCTGCGCGGCCTCCGTCACCGGGTCAAAGGGATGCCGAGTGGTACCTCCCGGTGACTCGGGCAATGCATGCGGCCGGGCGTGGAACGGTTCACTGGTGGGAGCAGGCTGTTGCTCCGGTTGGTACGAATGAGCGGATTGGGAGCTGGGGCTGCGGTTGAGTCTTGGAGCAGAGCGGACGGCAAACGACGGGTTATCATCGTTGTTCAGGATCGACACAATGCTCGTCCTGCCACTGGACATTTCCTCGACACCCCAATGTCCGATCACGGGGGGTGGAAGGCGATGCTACAAGGGAAGAAACGAGTCAGTTTGGGTTTGCTAGACTTCTGAGCCGGGTTCCGAGGACTGCTTCGATTGTGACTCGGCCGTCCACGATGCACGGCACAGCAGAGGGGAGGGACGGGGGGAGAAGAAAGAGAAAGAGAACCCAAGAGCTGTCTCTCTCGTCTGTCCGTTCCCCGAGAGACGCAGCGAACGCACCAGTGGTTCTCGAAAGATGTTTGTCCTTTGCGTCGTGTAACAAGTCGACAACATTAGACCCTCACTCGGCACTCGCCTGCAGACCTGACAGGAGCCCGAGGACTCGAACCCGTACCCCGTGTGTCTGGTTGTGAAGTGTTGCGGCTACCAGATGAAGATCTGCGCCGAGATCGATCCCCACCGGCAAATCCGAGACGGTGAGGGAGAAGAAGCGGGCGGCTGGTCCTAGGATGAATTTCGTGTGTCTTGGCCGGGACTTTGTCTGCCGGGATTTCTTTTCGACCCTTTTTTTGGGGGGGCACCTTCATCAATTGTGGGGAGCACAATCCTCAACGGCAGTTGCAAACTGGCCTGGGATAATTGCAGGGGTTCGAAAGTCCAACGCCGGTTGTTGAACCGCGCTGAGCGCCGGCAAGGGTCTTCCAGAGAAGTGCGGAAGCTCCCAGGGACGCAGTAGGATGAAACGGGTGGCCCTCTGCGCGTGTCCGGAGAGGAGAAGAGGTGGGTATGGATCTTCAGGCAACGGCCGATCCGGGATCAGATAAGAAGAAGAGGAATCAAATTATAGAATACAGAGCAAGAAGCAGAAGAAAGGAGGGCGGTAGTGATGGGAAAGAAGAAAGGAAGAGAGAAAGGAAGAGACGAAATTATGCAGTCAGGGCCGGCATGGCATCTGAGGTGTTAAGTACGAAGCCAGTCATATTTATCCTGGGATTCATAAGGAATACCCACACGACGAGCGGACAGCCTAGCTCAGGGTCTGGTCGTGTCTTGTCCGCGACCCCCAGAAGCTCTGGCCATCGATACCGAGCACGCTATCACGCTAGCCCTGAAGTGGGCCATCAGAAACTCTCACGGAATACGGAGAAAAACAAAAACGACAATCGAACGGACTCGTAAGGAGATCCTGCGTAGTCCCTCGCAGGGCCGAGATCCACTCGGACAGTAAGAGAGACCAAAAAAAAAAAAAAAAAAAAAAAAAGTAAAATAGGACCCCTAGAGCGTCCAGTTACCCACCCCTGGATAAATGACCTTTGTGCAGACCCGTTTAAATCCGTCTGTTCCGGCCCGCCCCATTCATGATGACCCTGCCTCGTCAGCATTAGTGATAAACGGTATTTTTGAAAACTAATTTGGGCCGGGAATTCCTCGTGTTCAGTGAGTGTGCAGACCTGTACAGATAGACGATGCTATGTCCAATGTTTTGCTCTCTCTCGATCCCTCGCTCCGACCTCCGGATCACCAAGGCGACTAGACTAGGGCTCGGCTGGCCCAAGCGACGATGCTCCACTTGTGGATTCACCAAGACCAGAAACCATATCGGCAGAACTACGGGAGAGAGTAATGTATGCCGACAGCCTTGGCTTTTTGTTTCCCATTAACCCATGGACCCTGAAAATAGGATTCTTCTTGCCTCTCTTATCAGCCCCCCTCCCAGCGGACAAGTCTTTAGCCCGAGGCAGTAGTTAGTAGTGTAAGCCTAAAAGAATCCTCTAGATTTGCCTTTCGGAAGAGACACGCCCGAGTCCAATCACAAGCTCAATCTGCAATAGCTCCGACCGTCGATGTTGAGTCTGGGGACATACGTAAGTGATGATGTTGTTGCGCTCGTCACTACGCCGGTTCGGGCACCGTCCCCCGGTCTTTCAGCGGTGGGGGCATTATTCGGAAATCCCGGCAGGGCGACTAACGGTCTCGGACAGTACATACATTAATCAATATTAATGCTGCATCATTGGCGACTATCCAGGAATGCAACTGTGATGGTTACATAGAATTCTCTCTTCGCGTCACAACGCTCGGGCCTGTATTCTGGAACGGGCATTCTGCTCCGAGCTTTTTGTTCGGTCGGAAGAAAAACAAGGAGGCCAAAAAAACCCATACGAACGAACACGGTACAGCCATACCCTGCCATACTGCGGCCACGCACACACAACGCCAGAGATAACTTTATCTCACCGGATCGCCCAGTTACATCTCCATCTCCTTTCCTGGTTAGTGTGTAGGGCTCGGTTCGTACTCGTACGCGTCCACATGGCCCGCCCCGCCCGAGACATACATACATAGTACATTGTAGCGCTCGCTTCGAGAGTCACGGATACTCCTCCGTCCAGCTAGGTAATGCAGCGACGCGTGATTGGACGATTGGACAGAAAAAGGAATCGCGGTGATGTGTTGGTGTTGTGCAAAATGCCAACGTTGCCCATTCAGCTTGTATGATAAGTTACTTCCACTGCATACCGGCGAACTGTCGATCCGCCAAGCTTCTGCACCTCGATCTCGAACACCAGCGGCATTTGGGCCAGGGCATACGTACGCAGTCCACGTACATACTTGGACTGACTAGTGCACTAGCACCCTATACACTAGCCCTAGCTGCCGCATGAGTCAGGCGGCTAGGATCAATTAATACACCTAAGGAGATAGTACAACAGGCCCTTGAAAAAGCAGCTCTCTGATAGACTTTGGCCCCCCTTTTTCCTGTCTTCGACAAAATAAATGAAAAAAACACTAGTGCTAACTCTGCCAAGATCTTCCTCTCCGTATGGGCTCCGTACCTTGGACACAGGGACTCGTGTCCCTGTCCCCTCCTTCTACTACGATCGGGCTAGCCCGCGCGAAGCCTAGTGCAACGGAGCCCGAGATGGAATTCGGGCTTTATCTGGCTGCACTCGCCACGCCTGCCCACGCGGCCTTGCTGCCCTTTGCGCCACATTGCGTCCTGGAAGCCGCCGGATTGCTTGGCGCCATGGAGAGTGGCTCTCCCAAGGCCCCCGCCCCCCTGTGAGCTGGCGCAAGAGGGCGCCATCGATCGATCACATTTGGACCCCAAGTGTATGTAGTACGGTATTAGGGATCTGTAGTCTACCCGTAGCTAGTAACTAGTACATCGCTGGAGGATGCTTATGACACGTGCACGCTATTAGGTGCTCTATATTTAGCAAGCAGCGGCAGTTGTAGTAGTAGTCGAGCCGATTCAATTTTTATGATTTTTGCACAGCAAGCATACACATTCTTCTCTACAGCTCAGCCACAGCAAACAGTCCGGGAGCCATCTGCAGGGAAATTCTCGGCCTCGGCACTTTGAGCACTGCCACCAGACAGTCGATCCGGCAGCTCCCTCCCCCTGCAGGGGTGGTGGGGACCGGGTCTGACTGGCCCATTGCAGATCTATACGCCGGACTTAGTGTAACCGGTATGCAAAACTTGCTGTATGTGCCCGGTACAGTTCGTATGCGGTATGCTTATTTCCCAGGTATTATTGAGGGAGTATGATAACTCCGACTCCTACGATGGGAACAGGGTGATGTATCTTGCACTGCACTGACGCGGCGACCGCGTAGCTGGTCAGGGCATAGTGAAAGGTCTCTGGGTGGCGTTCCGCCTGTACACGACAACAGGGCCTCGCCTTGATTTGCAGGCGGGCGGATCGACAGGCCCCATCATCTAGGTTGGCTGGCTGGCTGGCACGAGGATCAGATAATAGTCTGGTGTACGGAGCGGAGCATACGTACGTGCCACGAGGCACATGGGGCTGGTTGGATCCTGCTGGTGTGCTAGCTGACGAGCTAACTAATAACAAGACAAGTGGGTTCCTCCGTGGCCCGGAGTTATACTATTTGGAGAAACCATGTGGCTTAACTGAAAGGGACACATAACCTCCCTTCCTACTTTGCAGACATGTCAACATCTCACCACGCGGTGATGAAACGATCCGCAAGGTTGGTTGCCATTCCTAGCGAGACAGGTACAATAACAGTACGTACGTGCCAGCCTCTCTGTCCAAGACCACCGAACCATCAAATCAGGATACAGACCGAAACAATTGAGCGTAAAAAAGGCAAGAATGCCGCTGAGTGGAGCAAGTCCGCCGCCAGGGGCGCTGACGAGGCCGTATTCGTACTCTATCGATAGTTCCATGTGGCTTCTGTGGCGGCGTCAGGGACTAGTCCAGGCTAGGCCAAGCGATGGCTAAATAGAAATAGGTCGTAGGTCGCGATTGGACGCGCAGACTTAGCGGGCTGCGTAAGCGGGAGACGTCATGTCGGTGGTTTGGTTTGGTGTCTGGGTAGAAGTTATTTTCTCTTCCTTTTTGAGCTCTCTGTGAGAACTAGCTACTGTTTGTCTAGTCTACCACTACTGTGCTTTGTAGATGGTTTGTATTAGGTGGGCACCGGAGCTAATTTTGGGACGTTGGGCCCCTGCGTCTGACGTGGATATGTGGCTATCTCTGGTCTGTATCGGGCAGTGGAAGTCTAAAAACAGAGGGGAACACAGGTACCCGGAGCTGGACCTGTCGAATCGGGCGCTATGGATGCATTATGAAGTCAGAGAGACATCGTCTCCGACTGGCCGCCGTCAAACCCTTCCTCATCTTTTGCCTAACGGCGATTACATCTCATCGCATCACACTGGTTATGTAGGTAGCAGCACCGCTTGCAAATAGTTTACCCATTTCAGACGGATATGTACAGCACAGAATAGCGACGCGAACACGAACACGAACACGAGCGCACACCCGATGCAATCAGGGAGGCAGTCAGCAAAGCCGGACACGGTCACGGCGAGAACGGACATGGACAACGAAGGGAAAAAAGGAAAATGCTCGAGAGGACAGTGGTGTGGCAATTCTCGCTAATAATTCGCTCGCACACAGACATAATAACGATGGGAGACATGCTTACTTATGAACAAGCCAGAAACGATGGTGTACCAGCTCAGCACATGCGAAACCGGGACACCCTGCACGAATAAGGAAAGGAGAGGGAAGAGAGGAGGACACTTTTACACGAGAGGAATAGGATAGTTAGGGCGGAAGGGACAGCCGGTATCCCCGGAACGCCATGCAACTGGAGGTAAACGAGGGACCATCAACGTATGGTGGTAGGTATCTTGCAAGGCGGGAGAGAGGAAAAGGTCAAGAGATAGCACCTGTAGCATGGCGCTTTGGAAGTGATCATGGATAGAAAGCCTAGCGTTCGGCATGGAGGTTGAGCCAGCTCATGTCGGAATTGAGATTGTCACTCCGACCAGACACGGGCAGCTCGTCGATATCATCTGGTATTACGACGCTGGATTTGCGTCCAGAGGCCCTCGCCCTCTCTGTCGCCATGCCATTGCCTCGCGGTACGGTGCCGGGAAGAGTCTGAGTATCGTTGTAGAAGGTCGCGCTGTACTGGCTGCTAGGCGGGCGCCCGAGCCAACTCTGTTGACTGTTTGAGGTCCAGCCGTAAGCATCCTTCTCCTCGCCGTCCGAGTTCAGACTGATGGAGTCCGCGCTGGATATACGGGCCGACTGGCTTTCGGGAATCACGAGTCCACGACCGCGGTCTATTGAGGTGTGCTCGGTCGTCGGGCTACCGCTGACAACCCGACCTGTGTGCTGGTCGAGGAACCCGAGATTCAGAGGAGGCAAGGTTGACATGGGCCATTCACTGTTGCGATAGTCGGATTTCGTGTAGCCGGAAGAGCTGACCGTCGAGCGGTTTGAAGCGAGGTTAGTCGCGTTGTTGCCCTGGAAGTACTTGCTCCACCCCTCGTCCGTGCTCCGATTCCCAGGCTGATTTGGGGTTTCCTTCCCAGCTGCATCAGATGATGCGGTTAAACCTGTGTACACGCTGGGGGCACCCATACGGCTGGATGGAATTGTAGACAGAGGGCTGTTGTTGTCCTTGGCAGAAGCAGGAGACAGTCCATACCCGACACCAGTGCCGGGGGGCTTTAAAGTCTTCTCGCCGGTCCTGCCATACATGACTGATGAATCCCCCGACGTGCTAGCCAGGGGAACGGGGCTTTTAGCCATGGGAAACGCGCTTAGAGTCAAGGGTTCTATCCCTTGGTCTTGGAAGCTCAGGCGGTCCAGCTGGTGTTTGCCACTTCTTGACCCTCGACCCCCAGACTGTTCCTCTTGCGCTTGCTGGCGTTTCACGCGTCGCCGAAGTAGCAAAAGGAGGATGCCAAGAATCAAAGCAAATCCGAGGACACCGCCGAGAGTTGCACCGATGATTACGTTGGTCGAGACAGGGGATTCACTCGAAGGTGCAGCGACGGCGAGGGGCGAAGAAGTGTTGGTAGCCGTGGTTGAGGTTGTAGGTGATGAAGTCGACGTAGATGTTGTCATGGTGGTGGTCGTGTGCGTTGGCTTCAAAACATTTTGGTTGGAGTTGCCATTGAACATCGCGGCTGTGTTCACCCAACTGTTGGAGGATGTGTTGAAGATGGCTAATGTATTGTCGCCACTGCTACTCAAGATGGCCACCATCCCATTGTCGCCCTGAGCGAGCGAATAGTCTGAAAGGGTTGTCTTTGGAGCAAACTCGCCATTATATGGGTGATCGCTCAAGCTCCTCTTTTGGGACGCGTCCACCGGTGACGCGGGGCTTTCGGGCTTGCCACCAGCTGAGAGTAGGGCTAAGCTAGAAACAGGGTTGGTGGTATCACTCATATCAAACGACTCCAAGACCTTACTGCCATCGGAGTTGGATACAAGCGCACAGCGAGTCGAGCTGGCGATGGTCGACGGGAGGGTCACTTGGGAGTTTTCCCATTCCCAGGAGATGGCGTTGTAGAGGAAGACATCAGTGCTCGTATCTGCGATCAAGGCGATCTCGGAGTCACTCCATGTGAGAAGACTAGGCTGGTATGCTGCCGGCGCGTCACTGTTGACAGGAGCCTGGATCTGCTGCCCATCCACGGTCGAGACGATGTAGGTCTGAGCCGAGGCTCCCGTACCATCGCCCTGACCGCCTGCATAGACCAGGATTGAATTGGGTGACTCCATGTACGCCGCGTTGTGGCCAGTTCGGTTGTTCATCATTGTCGAGGGAGTTTGAAGTGTCTGCCACTTCTGGTCCTTGAAGGAAAACCGTTGCAAGCCGCTATACTGAGATGAAGCGCCAGAACCACCGATAACATAAAGTGCTTTGTCACTAGGATCCCTTTCGATGCCGGCCACTACACATGCGGCGCCGGACACACTATTCTGGGCTTTGGGTAGCTGCTGCCAGGTGCCGTTCTCTTCAAGCGAAATCGAGGCTAGTCTGTCGAAAGCAAATGCATACAACGTGTTGTCGTAGATCGCGGTGCAATGCCCGTCCAGGTTCATGTGAAGCTGAGGGGTCGACATATTGGATGATGTTGGGGGGGGAAAAAGGCGAGGAATAAACAAGAAAGAAGGCGGAAGGCCAGCCGTCAGAGGGAAAGATTCGGACCGAAGGTGTCGTACAAGATGAAAAGGTGACTGCCAGAGCACTATCTCATATCGAACAAAGCAGACGCAATCAAATCCCAAGGCCAGCGTTCAGCCAGGAACCGCGCGCCGGCGGCAAATTGATGTCGCGTGTGTTCACAATAGTCAAATGGCGTGTTGGATCGTCGGAGAAATCGTTCCAAGATCGCGTACTCTCAAACCCTAAAAACTCGGGAACAGATGACGACAAAAGATCGTCGAAAACCCAATCGCATAAAGACAGACGTGGGCGCAGGTCCAGACCAGTCGGAGTCAATAATCGTGGAATGAGGCGAAAGCGTCAAAGAGACGAATAGGGAAGAACGAACGGGGTTGGCCGGCACGAACGAAGCTGGATCGGGGGGTCAGTTCTCGAGACATCAGGGGGCCTAAGAGGGAGGGAAAGGGTGAGACACACGGAAAGACGAGGTGCACAGCACATGGAAGGAAGAAGTTGAGCAGTCACCCAGGGACTCAACAGCAACAAAAAAAGGACGAGGCGAAGGAAAAGGGAAAGGAGGAAGGGTGTGAGTGAAACACGAGGATTTGATTACGGGGGG